ATTGTGCATGCAGTCTAAAGTCTGGCATTTTGTAGCTCTGGTAATTCATATTTTCTTAATATAAATTAAAAATAAAACCCACAACTGTTTGCTACAGGTACTTATGTGTCTGAACACAGGAGAAGTAGTGCTGCAAAAATCTGGATCTTTTGCACAGTCTCTTAGTGTTTTTCTTAGTGTTGCTAGAAGTAATTGTGAACTCCTCGGTCAGCCCTTCTGTAGGATATAGAAGCAGTTACTTGTCTCCTTTTAGTAGCAGTGAGATAGTCAAGTTGGCCTTGCAGAGGAAGAAGGCCTACAGAATAGACAAAATTATTTTTCTGCCTTCTGATGGGGTTAATTCTGACCTCGTAATGTTCTGATACTGAGCCTGACACATTTTTCCTTAGGCTAAAGGACTGAAAGTCTCTTTTAGGCACATGGTCCATTTGTCTGCTTCTGGGAATGAGTGAAGGTTATAGCAAATGCACAGTATCTTGGAAACCTTGAGTTTCAGTAATAAGCTCTTCTGCAAATCATAATTTTTGGTGGCTAACAACTTTCTAAATCTAGACAAGTTTCCATAGAAACAGGAAAAAGGCTGTGTGTGCAATTATGGTCTTACCATAATATCTTCCCTCCCACTCAGTCTGCTGAGGTATTTGGGGTATATATGTTAATAAGTTGAAATACTTAATAGGTTGTCTATCTTATCTCTGGTTTTTTGTTTGTATTCTCAAAAGCATTCAAAAAACTGTAGAAAGGTGAAGTTTATAAAAATTGTATGCTTGGTATGGCGCTCTGATTTAGTTTGAATGTTATGAAACAAAACAGTAAAGAAAAATAACCACTTTGAGTAATATGTTAGAATAAATGTGCAGATGATCAGCATAGGCACATGTATGCTAGTGGGTTCAGCTTGGAAGGGCTTGAGAAATCACCTGTTTTCAACTGAAGATCATTGCCTGCATAGCTGAGAGCCAGGATAGATTCACCATGGGAAAGTCATGCTTGACCAACCTCGTAGTCATTTCATTATAGAAAAATCTGTCTTGGTAGGTGAGGGGAGAACAGTGGATACTGCCTACATTGACTTCCGTAGGGTTTTTGACACTGTTTCCCATAACTGTTGTAGAGAAGCTGTTGAAGTACGGGCTGGATGAGCCAGCAGTGAGGTGGATTGAAAACTGGATGAATGGCTGGGCCCAGAGTGTGATGGTCAGTGGCACAAAGTCTCGATGGAGGCCAGTAGCTAGAGGTGTACCCCAGGGGTCAGTACTGGGTCCGGTCCTGCTTAAGATCTTTATTAATGGATGATGGGACAGAGTGTATGCTCAGCATGTTTGCTGATGACACAAAACTAGGAGGAGTGGTTGATAGGCCAGAGGGTCGTGCTGCCACCCAGGGTGACCTCAGCAGGCTGGAGAAATGGGCTGACAGGAACCTCACGGAGTTCAGCAAGTGGAAGTGCCTGTGGGGAAGAACAACTCCATGGGAACCACCTGGCTGTAAGGCAGATTGGCAGAAAAGGACCGTGGGGTCCTGATGGACACCGAGCTGACCGTGAGCCAGTGTTGTGCCCTTGAAGCAAAGAAGGCCAATGGTATCCTGGGCTGCAATTGAAGGAGCATTGCCAGCACATCAAGGGAGGTGATTCTTCCTCTCTACACTGGTAAGGCCACACCTTGGGTACTGTGTCCAATTCTGGGCTCCCCAGTACAGGACCGATGCGAGAGCTACAGGAGACAGTCCATTGAAGATGATTAAGGTGCTGGACCATCTATCCTATGAGGAAGGGCTGAGAGAGATGGGGCTGTTCAGCCTGGAGAAGGCTTGGAGGGAGCTCTTCAGTGTTTACAAATGCCTGGAGGGAGGGTGTAAAGATTGAGCTGGGTGGTGCCCAGTGACAGGCCAGCAGGCAATTGGCACAAACTGAAATGCAGGAGTTTCCCTCTGAAACACTTTCAAAGCAAGAAGCACTCTTGGTGTGAGGGGGACCAAGTACTGGTGCAGGTTGCCCATGGAGGTTGTGGAGTCTCCACTCGGAGATACTTCAATCTGTCTGGACATGGTCCTTGGCATCTTGTTCTAGGTTGCCCTGCTTGAGCAGGGAGGTTAGACAAGGTGACCTGCAAAAGTCCCTTCTAACCTCAACCATTCTGTGGATTGTGTGAGTCTGCATAGTTCATTTCAGTGCAAAATGAAACAATTTCATTTGTATCACCTTTACAGTGAAATAAAAAGGCAATGTTCCATGTTGTGTGACCTTCAGGACTGACTTAAACATTCTTCTCCACCTATGTCAAAGTGCCCATTTCTGTTCTGTTGCTGATGGTGCTGTGCCCTGACATTGCCCGGGGCTCAGCCATTTCAGTTGCCGTATTCTAAGCAGGATATCTGGAATGACTTCGCTTAAAAAAATAAGAACTTCTGGGCTCTTTGTCTGTTACAAAACTGGCTAACTTTATAGATGATGGAGGAACAGAAGAACAATTGGGAAATGCAAGACAGTGAAAAAATAGCCCTGTTGCTGAAGAGTTTGTAGCCTGGAAGTAGTACCTGGAAGCATCCAGACAACCTGTTGCTATTTTTAAGGTGTAGCCTTACTGAATTAGTCCTGTTCACTACAGAGGAGCACAGCTGTGTATTCTGTCAGGAATTGCTCCCTGAGAGATCATCTAACTGCAGATATCAAAATAGTGTCATACTGTAGCCTGTACATGTTTCTTATCAAGCACAAGGACCACTAATCACTGTCTTTATTGTGTAAACCTGATATGATGCAGGCCTTGCTAGACTATACCATCAAAGAGCTGAGAGATTGAGAAGAGGTAAACATCCAACCCCAGAAGGTGCCAGAGGCTGGATGACTGCCCAAGAAGCATGAAGTCAGCAAAAAAAATCTGTGTTAACTGGGGGAGTTTCTACACACATGCACCCCCACCCTCATTCCCACCCCCCTACCCCCCCACCCCATAAGGAGCATGTGTGCTAATTTACACAGCAAGCAAGACTATTTCAGATATAATTAACCAATAGCAGATGGAATGGTAATGATGGACCAATGAGCATAAACTTAGGTTTTTACTAATCATGTAACAAGATAAATAGGCTGTAGATCCTTTGTGTGTTGTGCTAGCTTTGTGGAATTATCCCCCTAGCACCCATCTTTGCACAACTATGGAATAAACTGGTATCTCGGCTCTGTGTGTGAGAGAATGGCTTTTGCACATTGGGCAAGACACCCTGTTTGAGGGACAACAATACTAGAAGCAGTGTAGTGCTGTTGTGTGGCGTGTTTCATTTTTTTTTGGTAACAGTTGTTTCTTCTGATGAGAGGAAATTTTTCTAAATGTGCAGCATATAAATAAATGGGGAGAACAGCTTACTCTTCAGTGTTCTGGCCACGTTGCATCTGCCTTAGGAAAGGGACTTTTGATGATGTTGAATAGAACAAAGGTCACAAATGTCAAGTTATATTTTAAATGAAGTATCAGGCTTTTGGAATGTTAATGATAGTCTTTTATGGTTTTGCAGGGAGCTTGCCCAAAGCCTTGTGTTTTTGTACTGGGGGCTTGTTCTTCATTTAATTATTTTCTGGTTTTGTTTTTGTTTTTCTTGCTTTAGTGATGTTCTGTGGTCATTTTGCTTATGTTTTGAGCAGAGTTAGTGTTTCTACCACAGACTTAAGGAGAAGCTGACAGAGTCTAGTATTCTCTGACCAGGTTCTTCCAGATATTCCATGTGTGGAGAGTGTAATGTTTAATATCAGATTTACTTATTTGGAGATACTTGATGTGTCATGAGACTTCTGATTTTGCAGAACAATCCAAAATATACTGAAAGCACAATGCAAATGTACATTACACTTGGCAAAATATCGCAATGGCAGTATACAGTTGAATCACAATACCAGGGTGATTCCCATTATTGGTCTCTACAGTAAGCTCACTGTCGCAACATGGGGCATCCTCTGTCACTGGGAAGGAACATGTGGGTTGAAGGCAGCTCAAGCCCATTGCATTCTTCAAAATTCTTTTGTTAGTTTTTCAGTTTTTATACTCTGTATTGGTGTGAGCTGCATATTGGCTCCCCCTGCACTGGCCTGGCTAGCTGGGGGAGACATTCACACTCTTCAATGAAAATGGGAGAAACGTTTAAACCATCAATTGATCCACTCAACCAACTCAAGGAACCCTCCAAGAGCAGCCAGTCAGCAGTGTTTCTGTCGTATGTAGATAAGCAGGTGAAATATGAAAGTCATTACCTTTACGAAGTCATATAGTGAACATTAAAGAGAATTGACTGGGATACTCTGCCTTGGCAAGGGCTATTCTCTGAAAAAAAGCACTGCCTGTGTTTTCATTTACAGAAGTGTTTCTTGTTCAAGCATCTACTTAGGATCCTTTACATGGGGGGAGTTGTGAGTTTGGCTAAACTAACTTTTTCCTTGCATGAGTAATGTTGCTTTGAACTATATAGTTCCTTAGTAGACCTGTCTGTTGCTTAGACTGCCTTATTTTGAGAATTTGGTGTCTTGGCAAGGAGTGTTTCCCTAGAAATTCTGGAGAAGTGTCTGCTTGCATTACCTTGATAGCGGGGAGAGGATAGCTTGAGGGCTGCCTCAAGAGCTGATGCTGCATGGATTTTAGCACTGGTGATCCTGTCCGTGATTCCTCAGTTAAGGGTACCTGATTTTTTCTGTTCTAAAGACAAAGCAAAACGAGGGTCTGGATAACTGCACCTGGAGTATTTGTGGGTTTTGAGATACAGGAGACCAAGCGTACAAATCTTTCTGGGATGTTTCTGCATCTCCTGAGAATTACTTTTTTTTTTTTTTTTTTTTTTCCCCAGGTAAGTAATTTGTTCTGTATCTTTAGTTTGCCTGATCTACTATGTCATCCGTCAAGAAGTCAGGAAGTAATAATAAAGCCTGCCTTTAACCTGTCTGTTGGCTTTTACTGTAACATTGTAATTAATACTCACATTTGACCTATTTTTTCCTATGCTGTCTGTTGCAGTGCGTCATGGCCACAGCAGGGCACTAAACAATATTAGAGGAAACCAACTTTAAGACATTTTCCTGCAGCTGGTTGGAAAAGCAGTTGTCACTGCCTTCCTGGTGCAGCATGGCATTTGGACTTGGTGTTCTCTGCCTGTTACTGTGGGCAATAACAGGTAGGATTTTACTTCTTGTGTGTCTGAGTCACACAGAACGAGTGAAGCAAAAGCTCCTGGAGTGTGTGTACATGTGTGAATGAAATAATAAGGCAAGAGCTTGGAAATCTTGTGACTCCTCAGTGCAAAAAGTGCTTGTAAGGTACGGCTTCATAACTGGCAGATGATTGCAAGGGAGGCAGGCAGTTGCAAGGAGCTGTTTGGAGCCGATTTCAAAAGGGATGTTTTAAGGGAGATGCACGAGGCAAGAGAGGGTAGTGGGAGAGTTTTCCTTCTCTCTCTCTTGCAGGACAGCAATTTAAGAATGATGTATTGCTTGTGTTCTGAGCTGCCTTTTTCTTCTGAAGTATCATGGGAGGGGTGATTTACAAGAAGCATAAATGTATTTGTTTATATCCCTCACCTCATCATTTGATCTACGGACATGTATTTCTTTTCAAAGACCACAGGAAAGTCCTAAGTTTCTGCTTCAGTCACAGAGATAGGTAAATTTTTTCCATAATCAGACAGATGAAGAATGATAGTAATTGTTAATACTGTGTCGGTGTCATAGGGAGACTTAATCTGGTACAGTCAGTTTTGACATGGCAACTACAACAGATACAAACAAGGGGTTTATTTCTTTAAAAGGCAGTGTTTGAATTATGGCTGTGGAGATACTGGCAGTACCTATCATAGCAGGAATTGAGAAAATAATGATTGCTTATCTGGCTTTCATCTCCTCTAGTGTAAACAGGATTGGCTGTTTCATGAGGGAGAGCTTTGCTGATGTGCTACAGCTTGACTGCTGAATTTGGAAATGTTGGATGAGGGGGGATAGGTATTAATTACAGCTGTGCTTGTAGCTGGTTTGAAGTAGTCCTCAAGATCACCCTGAGGATCTCATGGACCTGAGGTTTTTGTTGCTGTAGTAAACGATAAATGTGCCTTTTATAAATAAATAAAATACTCTCCTATGAGCCACTGAGTACCTGCTGTGGAATCCATGCCAGTTTCTTTAGAAAAGACCATCAAGCAGCTTCAATAGGAGGCAAGAAATGTGCAGTAAATTCTGAATTTTGACTGTGGAGAATGTCACAGTTTTATGCTCTTGACAATGCTGTTAATTGTTAGCAGGCTAGAATATCCACTGTGTGCATGTAGAAAAACTTGTTTTAATTCTCTAGTTGCAATTTTGCTACCCCCTGTTGATTTATCTGAGAATAAGACCATTACACTGAGATTGCTGGCTGTATTCCCAGCCTCTCCCTGTATTTCAGGTACCAGCAAACAGTGTTTAGGGGCTAATATATTCTAGTATCCCATATTATTTTAGTATTTATTTCCATCTTAATTCATAGTAGTTTTCATCGAAGTAATATTAACTCTAACTAAACTGGAAGGTACCTACTGATTTCCAGGATATGTTTGCTGAAATACATCAGTGGATGCTCACCTTTGTTAAATCCAAAAGACTTCTCTTTTCTGCAAGCTTTAAGGTGAACTGACTCAGACTCAGAAATCTGCTAGATGTCCATTCTGCAGTTTTTCTCTGCACATGAGCTTGTGTTTCTAAAGGCTACTTTTTCTTAAAAAAAAGTTTTCTTGCCACTTGCTTTAACTTAATGAGAAGGCTGACAATATAAGAAGGGCTTGACATTGCATTGTTGAGAGAATAGTGAAACAGGCTTGTTAGTGAATATATCTTCAGAAGGATAGTGAAGAATATGCTCTGGTTTGTCAGATTGATGTGGGATACTCTCTCCTATTTGGATGACTTTTTTTTTTTTGTGCACGGTGGCTTTTGGTGAATAAGTGTTTTTCATGAATGTGGTAGGTTGACCCTGGCTGGCTACCAGATGCCTAGCAAGTCACTCTATCACTTCCCCTTCTGAACAAGACAGGGGAGAAAAATATTATTAAAAGCTTATGGGTCAAGGACAAGGAGATCACGTACCAATTAGTCAAGAGCAAACCAGACTTGGCATAGCGAAGTTAATTTATTACCAGTTACTCAGAGTAGGATAGTGAGAAGTAAGAACAAATGTAAAACCACCTTCCCCCCACCTCTCCCTTCTTCCCAGGTTCAGCTTCACTCCCAATCTTTCTGGCTCCTTCCCCTGAGCAGCCGGGGGGAATGAGGAATGAGGACTGCGATCAGTTCACAAGGCTTCATCTCTGCAGCTTCCTCCTCATGTTCTTCCTGTGTCCAGTGTGGGGTCCCTCCTACAGTCCTTCACAAACTTCTCCAACATGGGTCTTTCCCATGGGCTGCAGTTCTTCAAGAACTGTTCCAGCACAGGTCCTTTCCACAGGGTACAGTCTGTCAGGAACAGAGCGCTCCAGCATGGATCCACTTTGTGTTGAGGATTTGCTTTTATGTAACTGAGCATTTTTTGGTCTATTTGTTCTCTTTTTCCTCCCCTTGCAATGCTTAATCTGCAGTCAGCATCCTTACTGAGGCCCAAAAGAGCACTCTGGCATCCGGGATGTACCCCTGTTTAACAACTTGTGAGAGTTCAGGGAGAGGAAAAACCAAATAACCTAAAAGCAGGTCCTCGCAGAAAATGTGCTTCTGCATGGGCTCCTCTCCATGGGGCTGCAGGTCCTGCCAGGAGGCTGCTCCAGCATGGGCTCTCCATGGGGTCACAGCTTCCTTCAGGGCTCATCCACCCACTCCAGCAGTCTGCCATGGGCTGCAGGTGGCGATATGCTTCACCATGGACCTCCGTGGGCTGCAGGAGGACAACCTGCTTTACCGTGGTCTTCAGCGCAGGCTGCAGGGGGGAACCTCTGCTCTGGTGTCTGGAATACCTCTTCCCCCTCCTTCTTCACTGACCGTGGTGTCTGCAGGGTTGTGTGTCTCATATTCTCACTCCTCTCTCCTGGCTGCTGCTGTTGTGCAGTGTTTTTTACCACTTCTTAATTATGTTATCACAGAGGTGCTACCAGCGTTGTTGATGGGCTCAGCTTTGGTCAGCAGTGGGTTCCTCTTGGAACTGGCTCTGCCTGACATGGGAGAAGCTTCTGGTGTCTTCTCACAGAAGCCACCCCTGCAGTCCATTTACTCCCTCCTCCTGACTACCAAAACCTTGCCACATAAACCCAATACAGTGAAAAAGCTAGAACAGTAGGCAGATCATCTAATGGATACAAATATCTACCACTGACTGATGTTTGTGTCTCTCAGGAGGCTTGAGCTGGGTGTGGCAGTAGGTGTTAGTTTGTACCATGTATACCATGTACCATGCTCTGTCACTCAGCATCTCAACAATTTGGATGATTGACTTCCTAATCCTGTGAATACAGCTCCTAATTTCTCCACAGAGGCATTCCTTATAATGTCAGTCTCATTTCCTCTGGCTTATATCCATTCATTGATGAAGTCAGCTTATATTGAAATAGATTTAAATTATTCTGGCCATTAATAAAAATCAATAGTTTTTATGCTAATGCATTCAATTTATTTTTTTTTTTTTCCTATGAGAGATGAAGACATTGCTTTCCATCACAGAAACGACAGTTTACTTTGCAATTAAGAATCCAGCACCTTGGAATCAATTCAATCTAGCTCTCATCTTGAGCAGGCATATTCTAATCTGGCGTTTGAGGCAGACCTTGTAAATACTGCTGCTGAAATGCATTTCTGCAAATATAATAACGTTCTCAGGGCTGACTTTCAGTTTTCTCATACTCTTTGTGTTCATATTGTGATGCTTTGTTCTGAGATTAGCCACTACAACAAAAATGCAAAGGTGGATGGGCAGGTAATTGCAGTCACAGGTGTTGTGCAATCTAGTTGTGAAATCTAGTTTTTAATTCCATGCATCCCAGCCATAGATTACATGACCTCCCAGAGTCTTTGCTAAACATCACCAGTATCCTTTTCTTTACTCCAGGGGAGGGTGTTTCTAAATATATCGCAAGCCATCAATTTTCAACACATTACATTACTGCTGGTCTTGGACTTTGAAGAATAAGATGAATACCCTTTCCTTCCCATGTATCTAATGCATGAAACACAGGCCAGGAGTGTCAAAGGACACCTTAAGACATAGGTATGCCTTTGAAATGACAGTGGAACCACAAGCCTGGGGTTGCAGTGCATTTTTTGTTACTTAGACTGACATGGCTAAGTGTTCTAGTAATGTGTTCTGGTTCACATGGATCTTTCCAGAGAGACAAGATGCTGTAGTGCCCGATTATGATCTCTGAGATTATAGTGAATTATGCAGTATGCCAGGTTAATTCACATTATCCACATCTCTGTTGGAAGTGGTCTGGTGTTCCTTTGTGGAGGGATGTAATGGCTGCACCCATGCATCTGCCCTTCTAGTCTCCAACTGCAAATAACCAGTGTCATTGATGGGACAGATGAGCTGAGTGATTCAACATGCTTAGGTGCTCGTGTGTATATTAGGGGGAGAATGGGCTGTGGGTTGGATGAGTTGTTGTGTTTGTGTTTTTTTCTGCCCTGACCTCCCTCTTTGAATAGCACTCAGTTGATTTATCAGTGACAAAAAGGGACGATAATGCATGGAGTAAAAACAATACCTGGAGAGGACCCTAAGACCCACTGAACTAATAAGGAAGCTTTCACAGATCCTGGACACAAGAAGTGAATGATAAACATCATGAAGGCTGCTGAAATGGCCACAAAAGCTTTGCAGCTCATTGTTTGTAGATGTAACTAGAATACTCTTTGCTTTAGCTTTGTGTTGAAGATTTGCTTTTATGTAGCTGAGCATTTTTTTGATCTATTTGTTCTCCTTTTCCTCCCCTTGCAATGCTTAATCTGCAGTCAGCATCCTTACTGAGGCCCAAAAGAGAGCTTTGGTATCCTTGATGTATCCCTGTTTAAAGGCCTGTGAGATTTCAGGGAGGGGAAACACCAAATAACCTAAAAGTAGCCTGTAGAAAAAGAATAAAAATACATTCATGGTGAACAGAGATGCTAGATGTTGCTAGAGGAACTGATGCAGTGACATTTCAGATGTTGATGAAGTTCTAGGTAATCCTGCTTTTCTTGTTTCCAGACCAGTACTTTCTGTAGGCCCTTACTAAAGCTGCTGGAATATAAGCCTTTCTCAGCATTATCATATAAAGCATGATTTTTAGGGGTTTATAACTGCTGTGGAAATTGCCTCTAGCTTGAAAATTGGAGTTCAAATTCTCCTCTTAGGTGAATGTCATTTAAAAAACCCTGCTCATTTACAGAATTAACTAAATTGATGCAGTTTGAAAAAGAACAGAATGGTTAAATGGGCTGCCTGACTCCTATAGTTCATTTTAACCCAGAGCTCTGCTGGCTCCCCTCTCCTAAGTTGTGCAGACAACTTAAACGAAGGACTTGCAATAACAATTTGGAGTCTCTGCCAGGGTCTTATGTTCTCAGAGATGAAAGGGAATGTAGAGGAAATATGCAATGTGAACGAAAAAAAATCACAAATACTGAGCATCTCGTGGGTGCAGATGAAGATACTTCATGTCTGGGCTATGTTAGAATAGGATAGGTTGTTTTAAATTCATGTTCCCCTGGATAGATTTTTTTCTTTACTGAAAGTGTAATATGGAATGATAAACATCATCCCAGCTCTGTATGAAGAAGTAACTGAGGTCTGAAAAGTGGTACTTGAAGCTGCTTATCCTTTCTTCTTCAGCTATACCTATTTGCAAGTCATTGATCTTTTCTAAAATTTATTTTTGTTTCATGTTTTTCCTCACCCCAAATAGACACCTCTGCAAAACCATCATAAAGTCTTGTCCGCTCTATCCCTCAGCGTGTGGTGCAGTTTTTTTGTTTCGGGTTTTTTGCATGGAACTTTACCTACTTTCAAGCTGTACATTCATCCCAGGCAGTGTGATGCCCCACAGGTATGTCAGTGGCTGTATTCAGATCATGTATTGTGAAACAGCGTACTGCACTTCAGCCCAGATGATGTGGTGGGAGCCGTAGCGCGGTGGGTGTACACACTGCGTGTGTAGGAGAATCTCTGCATCTCCAGGCCTCTAGGTCATGGTCAGACCTAACCCCTCTTGCCAACCTATTCCTACACCTTGATTTCATTCTTTCTGCTCATGAGCTCAACAGATTTGAGCTGAAATCCATTGGTCAAGCTGCCTTTTTCTCCTGCCATATACTGTTGTGAATAAGGAGGTTTGTGTTGCCAGAACTCAACTGTTAATGATATGCAAAGCAAGCAGAGTCAACTTTGTTGTACATTGCTGTGTTAGCTCCACAGTGGTGATGATGTTTTCATTGGTTGAGTTAGCAAGTCTAGTTGAAAACTGTGTTAAGAAGAATGTCCTGGTTTTACTCCACTGTTTTTTGAAGCATGATCAGATTTTTCAAGTTGCGTTTCAGAGAGAGGAATTGTGAAGAGCGGATACAACCAGGAAAAAAAAAAAAAAAAAAAAAAAAAAAAACCAAACAAACAAAAAATTAACTAGAAAAGATGTTAAAAATTGACTGAGATATAGAGTTAATTCATGCGTGGTTTGAAAACTTCACACTCAGTCTATGGTATGCTGTGAAAATAGTTCTGATATCATACTAAAAGATTACAACTTCACTACAAAGAGAGGAAAGATGCTTTCTACTGGAGCAAGCTCTTGGGATTTCACATGACCAGTGGGGAAAGCAGCAAAAGTTTGAGAATTTGATCCAGCTTTTAGATTAAGCCCAGTAATTTTAATGGCGTGAAGGACTCTTCATGAAGCTCAAGTGAGATACCAAATATTTCTCCTATGTATATTTTTTGCTGCCTTCTCCCTCAAATGAAGCAATGACATGTTATAGCATCTTACAGAGTTTAGTTTCAAAACATGTTTTGCTTGCTCTACTATGGGGGTAATGGAAGTACCTCATGATTTTTTTGTGTTCCCTGCTCTGTTTTGTTTTCAAGTGTTGGCAACTGACTTTTATCTCTGTTTGTATTTGTAGCAAGGGAGTAAGAGGTACTTTGCAAAACGTACCAAGATCCTACACTGAAAGATCCTCCAAACTACAAACACTACTGCAGAGGGACATGTTGAAAAAACAGTAGTGGTGATATTAGTGAAAGGAAATGAGCTTATTTAGGTAGGGTACCACCTGTCTTTATCTCATCTCCTGTGGTAAGCCATTTTTGGTCACGGTAAACTATTATGGCTTGGTTGTAGTGTTGTGCCTTATGTTGGTGGTGTTGTTTCAGGTTCCAGCTGTGAGCAGTGCAGAGAAGGAGCCACGTACTCAGGTGCAGTAATATCTCCCAACTTAGAAACCACTAAAATTATGCGAGTTCCTCATGCTATGTCAGTGTCGGACTGCATCGCAGCATGTTGTGACCTCTCTGGCTGTGACTTGTCCTGGATGTTTGAACGACGCTGTTACATTGTGAACTGCCAACACAAAGAGAATTGTGAACCTAAAAAAATTGAAACTGTGAAGTCCTATCTCACTTTCGTGCTGAGGTCTTCTCAGAGGCCGGCCTCGCTGCTAGGATTTGGGCAGGTGATCCCAAGCATGGTTCACTCTGTAGGACTCCAGAATGAACCGTCTGAGGAAATGAGTAGCCTGAAGGAGCTGTCTCTGCTTGGCAAAGATCCCAGCCTTGAGGAGATACCTGAATACATTGATGATTATAAAGAGTTGGAGCAGGACCCCTTCCAGGTGAACATCAAACATGAACAGAAGGAGAGCATGGATTATGCTGACTGGGGCCTGATGGTGGCAGGTGAGAACAGCTTCAACTCTTCTGTGGGCGATCATGGAAATAACCAGGAAGACTTTGCTGAAAAGAAAGGGATGGCTGGGAAGGTGGAAAACCTGAATAAAACCAGCTCTGAACTGAACTCTGTCACTGAGCACTCCATAGAGAGCTTGCTGTCTCTCCCGGAGATTACACCATTCCCTGGGAAGACATTTGGAAGTGAAGCAGCTGTTCAGCTTGCACAGCCTGACGATGCTTTGCAAAAAGAGGTATGTTTGCTCTTCAGGAAGCAGGCAGAGTATGGTGAGGCCACTCTGCAATTGCTTTGTTTTTCAAAACAAATTAGGTTATTGCTTTGTAGTGTAACCCTAACACTCAAATGACTTAGTCCTGTTACAGTGTGGAAAGGCTGAAGGGAAGAGGATTGTCTTAATAGGCAGATAATCACTAAAGGACTCTCTTTCTATCAGATAATAAGGAGCAGAGCTCCTCTTAGGACACTGCAGGGTTTCCTTGGAAGCATACAGATGAGTGAGCTTGGACCTGGTGTAATAGTATTACGGTATTCTTTCCTTCTGACCCTTGCTGACAGTTAGCTGAGCAACACTGGTGGTCCCTCTGGTATCCAGAGGCCAAGATCATTAAACATAAGTTTCTCCATCAACAAAATTAAGCCTGCTGAACGGGTTTTATGGTACTAATGCATAGTGGCGTTACAGATGTAATGGTGCTGAGTAAATACCTTTTATAATGCTTTTAAAACATACAAGGAAGGCAGGGTAAATAAGGAGAGATGGTGGTTTTGGACCATGTTGTACAGCAGGATAAATTGGATAAGGTGTCTTTGTTTTCAGAAACCTTTTCTTGAGTCTGGTAATAAGAAAGATAAGGTAAATACCTAAAACCTAATTTAGACACTTAAGTAAGATACATCTGTTCTTTATGCCAACCAGTTTCATCAGTTGGGACTAAAAGGGCTCTGGTTCCTTAAGAACAGGATGGGATTAATTGGAAAGTTGAAGAAGGCTGTAAAGTCAACATTTACTGGGTTTCACACACACCCCTGCTAGAGGGAAGAGGAAATTAAGCAATGTTAGCTGGATTGCTCTAAATTCCACCCGATTTTGTAACCAGCAACTACCTGTCTCTTGCTATAAAAATGATAATTTATTGCCGTTACGGTAAGTCAGAAAAAAGTATGTAAATAAGAAAGTTGCATAAAGCTGTGACAAGTGAGGTTCTTGGAGGGAGTGGTTGAAATGGCAAAAGTACATGTGCAAAACAGTAAGTCTTAAGATACAGTCAAACTTTGATACCGTTGCGGCCCAGAGGTGTGGCAGTGTCTGGGCTCTGCTTTGAGATCTTTTAGATATTCTGAGAACCTCTGGGATTCCTGGGGGGGCTTGTGGGAGTTCTGTGAGGAACATGAGTGGTTGCTGCAACTGGGAGAGGACAGCTGGCAGAGATTGGGGCCTCTAGCAGCTTCTCACAAGCTCTTTCAGCTGTTTACGACCAAAGGGTGTGTTGGGCTTTTGCCGTAGGTGGCTCATGACCATGGAGGGTGATGCACCCTTTGAGCAGGTGCTGGGGGGAGGCCTGGGAGCTCTGCCTAGAGATGATGATGAACTAGTCAGGAGTTTATGTGAATCAGGGCTGGCAGGCTAAATGTTGTGGACAACATTAGGGTGCATGTCTGCCCCAAGACTGCCTGATTAGGAAGAAGTAGATGAAGCCTTCAGGCAACTGGAAGGAGCTTTACATTCATAGCCTCTGGTCCTCCTGGGGGATTTCAGACACCCCAGTACCTACTGGGCGGGGCAAGAGAGCAGGTCACAAGCCATGTGAGAGGTTTCTGGAATGCACTGATAACTTCAGGAAGCTGTCAGAGGTGATTGTGGAGTTGACAAGGAGAGAAGAGGCTCTGCTGGACCTCACCCTGGCACAGGCAAGGAGGGATTGGTCAGGGGTGTGGCCATGAGGTGGTAGAGTTCATGCTCCTGAGAGGGGCAGGAGTAAGTCAAAACCAGGGTCATAGCCATGGACATCAGGAGAAGCCTGTTGTGGAATCAGCTTGGAAGGATCCCAAGACTGTCCTGGAGGGTGGGGACCATGACAGCAGGTTGCTTTTCAAGAATCACCTCCTCCAGGCTCAAGATAGCCTGTGACATTTATGATTGACCAAGTTGGTCTGGAGTGTATTGGCATGAGTGAGAAGATACTAGAACTTGTCTCCATGTGTATGGAAGAGCATTTGCCATCAGATAAAGTGCTGTTGTGAGCTAAAAAGTGGGTACTGCTTCTGCAAGCAGAGTTGACAACTCTGTATTGACCTAAAGTGTGTGGCAAACACAGCTGAACAAATTTGCTCCCCATCTCTAAGGAATCATGTGAATACAGCTTTATGAAAGTTGAAATTTCACATCTTGCAGTGGTAATGATATATATATATATATATATATATGTGGCCAAGCCTACTCTGTAAATCTCTACTTTAATTTTGGCACCCAGCCAGAATAGAAAGATTTTTGCTTTCTCTTTGTGCACACTGCCTGTGTAGATGGGAGTTTATTGCAAAGTGAAATGGAGAGAAACCTGTTTCTCACTGGCACATGGAGGAGGCATTCCTGTGCGGTCTTTACATTGTGCTGACATTATGCTAGCACAGTCGCTGAAATTCCTGTGGAAACGCTGAGGAATGAGCTTGCTTCTTGCAGTGCAGAAGGGACAAAGCTCCAAAACTTGGGTCAGTCTCTAGCCACAGCTGGTAGTGATGTTGAAGAGCTGCTAAGAAAACTATAGTTAGAAGGTGATCTGGCAGTGATCTGTTATCAGAGCTGTAGAGGGTTGATGGGATAGCATTGAAAGCAGTTCATGAAATGTATTGTGAAATTACTCTGAAGGCTCTCTGTTAATGTAGAGAAAGGTTAAGAATCTGGAAAAGCAGAAGGTTTTGAGAAACTGCCAAAGCCTGTGCAACTTTTGTTTCCCAGATGGGAATCCTTTGAATGTAGGCATTCGTAGAGAAATTAAGATGACGAGAGGTTTTGTCAAACGCCTTCCCTAGGTTCAACCTCAGTCCAGACACATCTCCTCTCCCCTTCCTAGTCTCTACTCCCCTTCTTTTCACTGCATATTGTGCTCAGTCCCTTTGAGGTGACCGGTGGCACAGGAGGTTGAGGTCAGTGCATGGCAGTTTCCTTTTTGACACTTGTTGCTTCTTTCTCTTTCCTGCCACTGATCCTTCTTACTCATTGCCTCTGCTCCAGAGTGGGCTTCTCTGTGGGGCTCAGTCCCCTGGGGGGTGGCATGAAGTGCCTCCTTCCAAGAGGGTGTCTCCAGCCCGTCCACACATCCCTTTTCCCGTCTCCTGTCATGCATCCCCCTACCTCCTCCTGTGTCCCCTGCCCCCAGTGGCTATTGCCCTTTCTGAATTACGTCTGAGTGGTTGCACTGTTGGTGTGTGGTGACTTGTTTCCATCCTTTGCCAAACTGCGACCACAGACAGGGATGACCCCTGCAGCCAGTCCTCTGCCACCCAAACCCTGCTGGTTATGCCTAACGCAAACTTCAGGCTTGGCTTCAAGTTTTTCTGGTTTGGGTACAGCACTCGTGACTCTAGTGAAAAAGATGCTGCTTGTGATAAATTCTGGTGATAAGAAGGAAATCTTATCTGTCTTTCTCTTCAGCAAGTAGATGTTTTAATCAAATCTCACATTGATTGTTCAGGCACAAATTTGTGTTTCCTTCTGAAAAAAAATGTTTCTTTGGAAATTCTGTTATTGAAGAAATACTAAATTTTTATACTGTATTAAAAATGTTGAGATGTTTCCAAGTAGTTTTCTCCCTGGTATGTGATCAAAACTGCCTCTCAAACTGTTATCTTTTTGTATAGCTTACGAAAATGTAAAGGTCTTAAACCCATTTTTGCTGATAACTTTAATGAAATACCTTCTGTTTATTACATGTTATATGATATTTTTCTCTCCCCCACTTAGTTCTGCCACAGCGATTCTATATCTCTGTTCCTAGACTCGTGCTGACGCATTCCCTTCTGCAGCTTCCAGACAAAGCTGTTCAGATGAGCGAGACAGAGCAGGGTGGCGAAAGTGCGGTTCTCTCCCTTCACAATAGTCAGCAGGATGCAGTGTCCTCAAGTGCTGTGTTCTTTGAGCAAGTACCTGGAGAGAGATCTTAAATTGTGAGACCAACCAAACACAGGCCTCTAGAATCTGTGCCCCAGGAGCATCCTTACTATAAATGTAGTCAGGTGTAGGGGCTTCTGTATGTGACTTGGGATAGAGCATATGGGGTCTGTCATCTAACTGAATGACCTGGCTTTTGGGTTTACATCAGAGTTCAGGGCGATCTTACAGACTGTCAGCTTGTAGCAGCTCAGTAACATGCATAGATTTAGAAATCTGTAAAGAGTCACTGCTGTCAAGTTGACCAAAACAGAAATCTGCAGTGCTGCCCATTCCTGGAGAGAGATACCTGTGAAGTATTAATTGTCTTTTTAAAATTTCCAGTTAAGTGCTGATTTGTTAAGCAAGGTGAGGTTTTTCAAGTCTTGGATTCCAGCTACTGCTATGTTGATGATGCAGTGTTTCAAACATCTATTCAGTAAGGTAGGCCTGACTTGATTCTTGAGTTTATTGCATTTGCAGGAATAATGATGCAGTCAAAATGCATAAAGCTCTACTGAGAAAGCTTAAGATAGCTGACAGCATATATGTAATGAAGAGCCTTTTAATGTCTGATTGATGTGCCTTCAGAATTGATATTTAAGAGTTAGAATGAAGTGGAGTATCAGAGATGTTCATATCTTATTTTGGCTTTGTTTCAGTTTTGAGGCCTGTGAGTGCTGAACAGTCCTGTTTGGTTGAAAATGCATTTACTTGATCCCTAGGGGGATGTATAAGACCCCTGAAAGATGTTTTAATATTTAGATTTACCTGTCAAAATTGTTTATGTCTTTCTTTAAGTCTGCACTTCATGTCATATGGTATGAGGGTTTGCTCTTTTGCAAATCCCCAGCTACACAATTAGCAGAGGTCATACTTGCTTGAAATCATTAGTCAGATAGCTGAATGCAGAGAAGGAGGGAGAAGCAGACCAGTGAAAGAGCAGAATTTCACTGCTGACAGAGCTGTTCTCCATAAGGTTTTCCAGATAAATGAGAGCAAATGGTACTGCAGTTATGTAGTAGTCATATATGCAGAGGGACATAGAAGAAACAGTGCTGGGGAAGCAGTTGTATAAAACATAACACTAGCAGCTCTTGACTCGCCAGAGTCCTGATCAGTTGTCTTCAGGAGTACTCGAGGAAGATGCTTCCGTGAGGGGGAAAGGTGGCTTGCCTGGAGGAACAGAATGGAGCAAGGCAACGTGGTTGGACTTTTTCCCATTCATGGAGGGAAAAGAAAGCACCCAGGCTGTGGGGTTAGCCGGGGACCAGAAGTGAGGAAGGATCGCCCTTGGTATGATGCTGTTGCCTGTGATGTAACTTTGAACTTCCCCAGGGAACTGCATGACTTATTTTTTTTAACTGGGGTATTACTGTTTTCTGGTGAAATTATCAAGAGATTTTCACTCAAGTCAATCCACAAGAACTGAAGGATGTGTACCCTCAGAGTTTGGGTGTTTATTTTGTAACAAACAGTAATGGCTGTACAGGTGGGTAAAAGCAAACAAGAAAACCACAAAACCCACGCCTGCCCTACTTGCTCTCAAAAAGAGTCCTCCTTTTATTTTCCTTTATCTTTCAGTTCCCAAGCTGGAATTTAGGTTAATCTTGCCCTCCACATCTGCTGCAGTGTGTATCTCATTAATAATTTGTGCCCGAGAGCTCAATTTCTGATGTTGCCCCTGCCCCAATTATTTGCTGCCTGCTAATGGTCTTAGTTTAACCTGTCTTTTTGGCTGTGACACCACGTGCCACAGAGCACCTTTTTTGACTGCAGAGTCTTGCCTAGGCTTGCTGACTGAAGAGGTGTTTGGTGCCGTTGCAGAAGAGAGTGTCCCAGGAAAGGTATGTTTGAGGTGACTTTGTCCCCATTTGTCCTACAGAACCAGGATAGCTTCTCAGCTGATAGATTGTCACAGGGCAAGGAGAGGAGGAAAGCCAGAGGAAGCTCAGAAAAGTAGATTTCCTTCAAATTTGGAAGTCAAAGCAACACATTGGTTTGTCAGACTCTGTTAAAGAAGATATTTTTGGAAGATGCAGGATGGAGTGAGTATGTAAAGGAGAGCTGTCTGGAAGAAAGACCTTTTGTCAGGGTACAAGGCAGGATGGGCTTTTGAGGTTCTCCCTGTGCGTGATAATGTTGTCAAGGGCAAGATTCCTGCCCATCTGTGTCCAGGACCTATCTGGCAGTGCAGCTGGTAGTGTGGTCCTTGGCATCCTCACAGGGTAGGCAGCCACAGTCCCCAACACTGCTGTCACTGTCCCAGACGCACAGGGACCTTCTCGCTCGGCCCTTGTTGAAGGCAGAGGTGAAGTTGCAGATGACTTCCATGCTCTTGGTTCCCTTCTGTCCGCATCCAGGGCAGAGCTGCTCTGATTTCTGACCAGAGTGCAGAGTGAGAGTGGAGCACCTGAAATACAAGGAGAAGCTGAGAACTGGGAGTGTTGAGCCTTAAGCAGAGAGGGTTCAGAGGGATCTTACCAACGTGTATAGAAATAACTGTGGCAGGAGTGAAGAAGATGGAGCCGGGCTCCTTTCAGTGCTGTCCGGTGACAGCACAAGAGGTGAATGAACACAAATTGAAATACAAGGAATTCTTGTTTAACAATAAAAACCTTTTTCTTTTTTTTTTTTTTCCTGTGAGAATGGTCAAACACTGGAACAGGTTTTTCGGGAAGGTTGTGGATTCTCTGTCCTTGGAGGTATTCAAAACCTGACTGGACACGGTCCTGAGCAGTTGCTATAGCTGACGCCGCTTTGAGGAGCGGGCTTGGACTAGGCTATCTCCAGAGGTTCCTTCCCACCTCAGCTATTCTGGGATAAGTGTGTGCATTTTACCAACCTTCATAATTCTTCAGTTAATAGATTATTTACAAATAATAGCAGTAGGTTATGTCTTCATGTGACACACACAGTAGCCATAATTGGCAAAATGCTTTTCTCTAGACATTAGGTCAGAAATAAGTCTTGAGAACGTAAGGAAAAACTATTGGGCCATTGACACTAATGTGTCGTTGAAAGGTGACGGGGTCAGAGCAAGAGGGGTAAGGTGATGGGCAGGGCTAACAGTTTTGAGTTATTCCTTCAAAACTTGCTGTGTCCTTTGCTGCAGTTCTGACTTACTAACAAGGTGGATCAGTGAAAAGAATGATACTGCTTGATGACTGAAGTAGAGAGATTTAGGGCATTTTATTAGTGGTGAGGAAATAAGAAAACATGAGCAAGTTCTGGTCTGAGCAGGTGTAGTAAGAGGCAAGGATTCTGTTGTATATGTGTGTGTACAGCATGAAGACAATAATACTCACCACACAGACTTTGTCATTGGCTTTTAAAGGTTTATGACTGTATTTAGACCTGTCCTACTGTTTGTTATTATATTGAGAACTGATAGCTTTAGTTGTATCCCAGGTTACCTCATTTTGATGACCATAGCCTACACTGTTCTGCACATGAAACTTGGAAAATGATTAGCATTTCTTACAAAGCCTGATTGGAAAAAAAACCAAACAAAAACAAACAAACAAAAACAAAAAAAAAAAACCACCACAAACAAAAAAAACCCAATACAGTCCTCCTTTGATAGATACTCTGATATGAATAAAACCTCCTAGTAACATAAATTGGTAGGCTCACCCTACATACCGTTTAAAAACCAGCATGAATCTAAATCTAGAAATGTAAAAAGTGGCTCACTTATGACAACTGTTTCCCTATAATTCATTTTTCAGGCTGCCACGCCTTCCCCTTCTTCAGACAAACTGGATTTCTCCCCAGGTGTGTCAGAGAAGACCCAGACTCCCACAGTGGCCCCAGAGAATGTCACTGAAGGTGGGATCATGCTACTTCCCACTAATACTGTGCCATCTGAGCCCACACAGCAATTCACCCCCCTTGCTACTGTTGCTGAAGCAGGTAATGTTTCAACACAGCCGGAGATCTGAGGGGTACCTGCAGGTTGGACAGTGGGTGGGGATGGCTTTACTACTGTTAGGCTTCCAACCTGTTGTTAGTTATGAGCTTGCTGTTTATCCAGATGTAACATCATCCCAGTTTAAGCCTGTAGAACTAGAGTAACACTGCAAACTCCAGGCCCCTTAGCCAGTTACTTCAGAGGCAAAACTCTGAGCAAGTCAATCATTAATGGGAAATTAGAACTCAAACAAGTACAGCAAGGTAAAAAGCAGCGATTAAGAGCCTGTGTTGAATGGGTTAATTTTTATACTTTATGAGAAATACCTGAGGCTTTCTGGACTTTCAGAAGTCTCTTCTAGCCATACTGTTATTTTTTTGTGACTCTTCTGAACATTTCTCCCTCTCAGAAACTCTTCGGTAGAGTTCCCACTATATATAGTTGTCAGATATCATGCAACAGCATAGATGGGAACTGGGGAAGCTTAGCCCTTAATAAAGGAGAAGCCTAGCCCTTAGTAGGGGAGAACATGACCTCTTCGTCTTGGGAAAAGAGAGTTTTGCTCCAATTTCAAAGCTGTGAGGAAGCTTAGTAGACATACAGCTGCAGAGCAGAAGTTTTTATTTTGAAAAGGACATGTTTTAACCACTGTGTCCTCTGTAGTTGTGTTAAATTCTGTGTGTATGTTAGGGTGTCTCCTTTTTCCTGCTGAGTTTCCTACCTTCCTGTGCACCCTGACAAAGGGTTAGAAAGGCCACAAGAAGCAGAGAAGCACAGATGTGTGTTATTCTGCAGTCCTGGTGTACTGAGGGATATGGAGAGCTAAGCCCCTTGATTCCTGGTAGACCAAGGCTGGATTGGAATGTTCTTGGCACTCTCTGCCAAACTGCAACCTGCCAGCCAGGATGGTGGTAGGAGGTAACAGGAAGAGATAAGCTACAGGAGGTCCCTCTCCAAGGCAGTGGATCATCATGACCATTGAGTGTTGACTAGACAGCTCCTCCTCCTTCACAGGAAGAGGTTGAAGAGGACTCAAAAAGGAGCTTGGAAGAAGCAGCTGAAGGGAAGGTTGTGGTGAATCTCACCGTAAGTACTGATTTGTGCAGGCATTGCCTTAAGTTTGTGTGTTCTCAGCCTGTTGTGGTTTGAGCTCAGTCAGTAGCTAAACACCACACAGCTGCTCACCCACCCTCCCCCCACTTGGGAATGGGGAGGGAATCGGAGGGGCAAAGGGAGACTCGCGGGTTGAGATAAAAACAGTTTAATAACAGTAACAGAACAGTACGCTGACAGCAGTATCAGTGGGTGATGTACCATACAGCTGCTCATCACCCGCCAACCAACACCCACGTGCTCCCAGCTGGCGATCCTGAACACCAAGGCCCCACAGCCACACTCCCAGAAGTGGCAGCCCCTCCTGGCCCTCTCCTGCCTTTATATAGTGAGCACAGTGTCACGTGACATGGACTATGGGCCAATCGGGGCCCAGCCCTCCAGCTGTGCTCCCCCCGCCCCCGCACACAGGTGAGGGCACTGGGACCTGGGGAGCCCCTGGGGTCTCAGGGGGCTGCAGCTCCTCCCGCTGCCAGACCAACGGGAGCTCTAGGCCAGCCCCAACCAGGACACAGCCCTACTGTCTTGGAAGTCTCAAAGACAGTCCCTCCTTCTCTCCTTTGGTCACCACCCTCAGCTAGCCATTTTATTCTCATCTGGTGTGGAGGTCAGGGTATAAACCTCCACTCCACTGGTGTCTAGGGCGACTCCCATGAGCAACTAGGGAGCCTTGGGTGCATTTAGGTAGCAGTGACAGAAAGTGTGCAGTCAGTGTGGCCTCCCTTCATTTTTAGACCTGTCATCTGCAACTGCTAAGTAGCCTCTTTCTTATTTATTGAGTTTGTAAGCTGGATGTTTAGCCACAGGTGAATGTTGCCTTTGGTGAACTTTTGTTCTATGGGTTCTCAGTATTAAAAGGAAGATATTTAAAACCTATGGGAACTTTTCCTGAAGTTGTACTTTGATATGTTTCTGTTGGGGACTAGATTTGTGGACTTTGGCATTTTTGGAAGAGGAGAGTTTTCACAGATGAGAACTGGGAGTGTGTTCCTGTATGGTAAATAGATTGAATTTGAAGTTCAGCTACGAAGCAACAGCTTTGCTCTGCTGTAGAAGTGGAATTTTAAAAGGGACACTGAGCTGGACATTGAGACATGCCTCACAAGTGCCTCACAAACATAGAAGTAGTGCTTCTTGGTGAAAGAAGGCATGATATTAGTGTTCTAGCATTGACTACGTTACTTTATTTAATCAGGTTTGTTCTGGTGTGGATGGCTTTTTTTGCCTTATATAATTGCGTATTTTTTAATTCTTGCACTACCATCCAATTACTAAGGAAAATGCATAATTCTCTGATGTGAAGCAATGTCACTTGTGATATACAGGAGTAATCAGAATGCTTTTCTCTAAAAAAAAGTAGTAGGGGAAATGACACTTCATATTTGGGGAAGAAGAAAAAATTTGGTTTGGTAAAATGTGAAAGAGCCATAGTCACTCTTATAATAGATTATTATTTGATTATGTATTGAGGAATTTTTTTTTTACTTGCCTATTCACTGTAGAGTGTTTACCAAATTTTACTTGATTCATTACAAATACTATTTTAAGATACTAAGTTTATATCCCTACCATCTGTTAAAACATAATGTACTCGTTCTGTCTTAGATACAGTAAAAGAACTTATTGTGTCTGCTGGAGATAACGTACAAGTGATGCTACCCAAAAATGAGGTTGAACTGAATGCCTTTGTTGTCCCACCACCACCTACAGGTGAGTTGAATGGCCTTGGCATACAACATGACGCACACACTACCAACCTGCAAATGCAGCCAAGTCCTGAGCTATGTGAACATCCCTACCTCAGGATAAAACCATCTTTCTCATCTCCACCACTACCTTTTTTGTGGCTCCAACTGTAGAGAGGATTTCCTTCTTTAGATTTGAGGTTTGTTTTTTTTTTTAAGTGGCTGTTACTTTCAGAACCTGAGCTCATTAGCCAGATGGTTCAATAGAAATCATCTGTTTTCTACCAAAAGGTGATGTGGCCCAGATTATAGCATGTTGATGTAAAGCATGGGTATTGAAAAGTAGGTTCTAAACGCAACATTTACATAGCTACATATGAAATATGTATCCTTTGCTGCTGCAATTCAGGAGCTGGTAGTTTTAAGGTAAAACACATTTGCTTCATGTGAAGCTGTTTTTTGTGAAGTCCATGAACTTGGTAAAGCAGCAAGGATGTACAACACATGGGGTTTAACTTCTATTCGTACTGCTTCATTTGGTAGGCTTAAACACTAGTAGGCATGATTTTCCTACTGTAGCATTTTATCTGACTGATGGTGAATTTCTTAGTTTCCTGGGCTTATCTTGAAGGCAAAGCTCATTACACTTATGCTGTGTTATTTCTCTTAGAAACAGCCTACACCTATGAGTGGAGCTTAATCAGTCACCCTGCTGACTATGGTGGTGAAATGGAGCGCAGGCACAGCCAGACCTTGAAACTCTCCCATGTAAGTGAGCTGTGAGCTCAGGCTAGTTGTGTTTGTGTGGTTCTTTCACAGGAATCTAACAAGTGGGGAAGGGCACTTTGATTCAAGGAGTTGGAAAGACTGCCAGAGCCTCTTCACTCGTACGTGTCACCAAAACTTTGCCAGATTAGAAGTGTCTTTTTTAGAGTGCTTTAATAATTCTCTAAGAGGAAACATTCCTAAGTGTTTGCTTTGTATTCCCCACTTCCGGGCAGTGACTAGTGGCCTTTTGCATATGTGTTTACAAAAGGAGCTCTAGGTTTCATATATCCAGATTTTTCTCTGTTTACAATACAATTGGCAGATTTATGCATACTGCTTTTGTATAACTCTGCGTGTAACCGGATTTGTTCTGTGTTTGTCTCAGTTATCGGTGGGACTTTATGCCTTCAAAGTGACGGTTGCTGGTGAAAATGCCTTTGGTGAAGGTTTTGTAAATGTCACAGTCAAACCAGGTAAATAAGTTGGCTAAAACATTGAAATTAATTTCTTCAACACAAGTAGTTGTACAACATGCTTATCTAATTGTCAGTTACTGTCCATCAAGGACATCTGGTAGTCCAGTCATGCAGAGAGGTTTCCTATCTTGGTGTCTATAAAGCATTTTAAGGAAGTAGAATTGAGGGTGTTGCTCATTGTATTTAAGTGCTCTCTGGTCTTGTACCCTTCTCAGGCAAGGCCTGAGGTAGCATCATGCCACCTTTCATGGTCCCCTCCTCCAGTACAGCTAGGAAGAGCAATTAGGTGTTGAGTGGGCTCTAGCTTCGAGTTACAGTGCACAGGTCTGATCTAAGTTACACCTGTTAGAAGTGCCTGCAGCAGAAGACTGCCACATCAGTGCACTGCTCTTCAATAACCTTTTCTCTCCCTTGTCCAAAACAGACAGCAGATGCTGAAAAGCTGCCAATCCTAGATTTAAATCACTAGAGACTATTGATCTGTAGAGTTAATGGATTAGTTTTGCCTGGGGCTTCACTACATTTTTTTTTTAATTTTTCCCCATCTTTCTCACAGCAGTCAGAGTTAATCAGCCACCCATTGCCATTGCTTCGCCCAAAGTACAAGAAGTTTCTCTGCCTACAACTTCTACCTTCATTGATGGCAGTCGTACGTACTGGACTATCCTGTGCTTATATCCTATATTTTCAATATACAGATACAACAGTATTGTTTGTCAGTTACAAGTGAAATTCCTTCTTCTCACTCTACTCAGAAGTCCCCTGAGTCATGATTTATTTTGGGGGTTTGAATCCAGTTATAAATTATTTTAATAAATGAAGTGATAAAATGCAGCCTTGCACTTAGGGATTGAGATGCAGTGTGTTGGAGGCTGCTGCTTCCAGACAGCAGCTACTCTTAGAGCTTTTTCCTCTCCTGCCCAGAAGGCTCTGTGCCAGTACAGCTGGGGCCGTGGTAGAGAGCTGTCACATAGGTATGATGAGATGTCAGAACTGTGTTCATAACTACTGAGAGCACACATGTTGGCATGTGCAGAATTTGACTCATCTGTGTGTGTACATAAAGAATGTTTTGCTTCTTTAGATAAATTATACCAAATGTAACTTGGAATTTGTGGTTTAACAGCTATGGTACACGAACCCTGTTTTGAATATGCTTGAAAAGATAATTGTAGAAAACCAGTTAGGAATCAGTGCATGAAAGACTTGAGTATTCATTCCATAAATTGCTACAATAAACTGTTATGTTTTTCTTTAATGAATGTAGAAAGTATGGATGATATGAAGATAGTGAGTTACCACTGGGAGGAAGTTAAAGGTCCTTTGCGAGAGCAGAAGGCGTCTGCTGACACACCTGTCTTGCATTTGTCTAACCTTGTTCCTGGAAACTACACTTTCAGGTACCTGTGTAGATGCTTTCCTTTTGGATTTTACCTATTTCGGTGATGTCAGCTAAATGTTTATTCCTCTTTGTGCTCACATGTACCTCCTCAAACAAAAAACTTCATTTTTCTGCTGGATGCTGTTACTCTTCATTTTGCACAGTGGAGAGACACAGGGAGCAGTTTTATTAAAAAGTGCTTACAATGATTTTGTGATACTGATGTAGTGATACTTTACAGCACAGTTATGCAAAACAAGCTGTCGGAAATTAAATACCTCCCACTCCCAGCAATGACAACAGAACACCTTTTTTTTTTTTTTTCCCCCCAGCTTAGAAGTTGGCTAGTATCCTGAGATAAAATCTGCAGTCAGGCTGTGAAAGTCATCCCCTGAAGGGTGGTGGCAGACAGAACAGTACTGGGAGACCGATCCTCACAAGGCACTGTTGTGTGCTGATTTTAATAGGAGTCGTTCTGTTCTTCATAAAAGCCTCTGCCTTGCTACTGTCTTCCTCCATTTACCCATCGCTTAAGCTGGAATTTGCCCAGACAATGGAAGCAATGTTTGTGGTTCTGGGTGTTTTAATTAAAATCAGAGTTCACATTCTGAACTTTGTAACATAAAGCCTAGTCTGCACAGAAGCTTCCCACTGACCCAGCCTGGGTTATTTGGCTGCCAGTGGGTAACAGCCTACCAGTTAATATATTGTGTATCAGTGTAGCATCAGGAGAATGTTGAAGCCAGTGTACATATACGTTAAATGGGGTGCTTTTCATAAGCTCCACCAAAAATTGCATAGCTTCAACTTTCGTCCTCTGTTCTGGACTGGAATTGTTCCATAATTTACAGTGGAAGAAGAGAGCATAGAATTTTTTTATTATTATTAAAAAGGGCAGAGCTTGCTTATAAGCAGTGCTCTAAGTGTGTTCCAGACCCTAGGGAGTTAAGGAAACATTTACTCTGTCTGTGCACCTCTAGGGAGGCTGAGGTACTTGAACAACAGAGCAGTGTATTCAAGCTTACAGGAAATTAGCTGATCAGCCAAATCCAGTGCTCCCGATATGCATGGATGTACACCCACTGAAAGAATATGTGCTTCTTAATGACAGCATTAATGAGCACTAGTTTTGTTCCCACTGGGGGAAGACTTCAAAAGCAGTTCCCTTCCATGTGGCCAGCTGTATGCAGTTTTCACAACAGAGGAGAATTAGAAATGTAGATGGTTACCATGCTGTGGAGGGGTCTTTAACTTTCAGGTGTTTGCAGCAGTCTCATTGTAAGATGATTTCTTGTTGTATTTCTGAGAGGCAATAGTGTTTTTTTTAAAACTTTGCACTTCTTTAGTTTTGTGACTTGACATCTTCAAAAATCTGAGCTGATATTAAGCTCCATTAAAATTAGTAATAGTGTGCCACAAAGAAATAAGAAGTTAAGAACTGCTACTGTGCTGTAAGCAGAGCTTCTGAACATCATCCAGAGTAGTTTTGGATGTACATGTTAACAAGACTGTTCTCACTATGGCTGATGAATGGAATCCCTGGGTTTTACTGAATGAATTTTTTAAAGAATTTACAGTGAAATCTGTTTGAAGTCGCCATTGACTGCAGGGAAAAGATTGCATCTGGAATCCAGACTACCTAGTCTTTTTTTTTTTTTTTTCTCTTAAAGTTTGAAAGCTCTGTTTGAAAAGAGTCTTCTGAATTTCTTTCCTAGCTTAGTTGAGGGATATGTGTTTCTGAAGCAGAAGTTCATACAATCTAATCAGTGGCTCTATTTTAGGTGGTATTTGAAAAAGCACCAGAAAAAGTTAACCTTTGAATTTAGGACTCTACAGAAATTAATCTCAACAGATTTCCAATATTGCTTTTCCTGTCATAGACTCACAGTAATTGATTCAGATGGAGCATCCAACTCCACCACTGCATCTCTGACTGTCAACAAACCAGTGGATTACCCACCTATTGCCAACGCAGGACCTAACCAGGCGCTCACCTTGCCCCAGAACTTCATCACGCTGAATGGAAACCAGAGCAGTGATGACCATGAAATAGTCAGCTATGAGTGGTCACTCAGTCCCAAAAGCAAAGGCAAGGTTGTAGCAATGCAGGTATGTTTATCTCTCCTTGCGTACGATTGGAAAGCTCTCCTCTCTTTGCCTCTAATGCTTACCTGAGTAGCTACTCAGCAGCACTGAAATATCTGGAGTGCTGTTACTTCTTTTTTCTTTGTGTTTGGGTTTTTTGTTCCTCTCTGATGTATTCAGCTCTTATTTTAGATACTGCTTTTAATTCCTTCTCATAGTTTTTTCCATTCCTTGTGGCCATATCTGATTCCTGCTGTTGTTTATTCCCTGGTGGTCTTGGAAGACTTTGAGTTCACAATGTCTGTCCTTGGACCCTAGAACCCTGCTCCACAGGTTTCCATCTTCTGAGATGCTGGACTTGCTGAAAGCTGGTTTGGGGAGAATGTGGGGGTAGTCGGAGTTTTCTTGTAACACTTTCTCCTGAAGAAAGTAGGATTCCAACAGAAACTTTTCTGAATGCAAGAGGACAAGACTTTTGGCAGTGTTATGAAGCCATGGTCTGTAGTGAGGTGTTTAGGCTCACTAAAAAATGGCTTTCCTGTGAACGCTGACTGAATTTATGTTCTTATTTTTGTGGCTGTATTTTTTTGTAATCTGAGAAGTTGTTAAAAATTTTCAGTGGATTTGCACTCAGTAAATTGGAGGTTCTTGTAGCTCTGTAGACAGTTGGGGTAATGAATGTGATGAAGCCAGCTGAAACTCAAGCCATTTTTTCTAGAGGACATGATTTCTGCTGTGTTGCAAATGCTTTAGACCTTCAAAACTGAAAAGAGATCACTTTGTAGGTCTGTTTAGGAAAGGAGTAATATTGATGCAAGCATGTACTGTAGAGACAATTATGAAGTGATGGAATGGCTTATATCTGTTCATTTACTAAGACAAACATTTTCCAAAAGCATCCATGCAACCTAAACTTCTGGGTTTTGAGAGCTGTTCAATCTTAAAGCAGCCTTCCTGACAGAAGAGAATGAGTACTCAAGATATTTAGTGGATTCATTGGGTATTTAATGTGGAAATACAAGATCATTTTACAGCTCCTTTTCAATAACTTAGTAATCTTTTTTATGTCCCTAAAGCTGAAGATGCTGGTCTCAGGTGTGTTACATGGTGTAGCTGATTAGAGTGCAACATAAGGGGGTACCTCTGCTGGTTGGTTAGTCATTTGTCAGGTCCCTTAGTTCTCATTATCATCTTTATCTGAACAAAATCCCACCAACTAATTACATTGTAATTGTTATTCCTCATATGAGAGGTGCCCCAAATGTTGATTTTTATTAGCAAAAGGACCTATAGCTGGGCCCAGTCATTTTATGAGCTTATATAGATATCAACTACTAGTGCTGGAAGAGTATATTTGGGACAGAGTTGTCTTGTTTAATATGTTTTTTCCATAAGCCTGACTGGCTGGGATCAAGTCAAACTTGGTTTTGTGTTTAAGAATTTTTACAAATACTATACTAAAGAATGTCATTATGTTTGCTTTTAAGAGATATCTAAGGAAATGGAGTAAGCTGTAGTAATTTCCATTACTGTTTAATTTCCTAATTGAGGAAGTTAATGTCCCATGTGCTTAACAATTATTGTTGTTCAGAAATAATGCAGCAATTATACCAACATAAGAAATGCAGGCTTATTGTCTGTAGATATTTGTCTGGGTTGGTAGGAACAGTTACAATAATGAATAAATTACATCTATTTGTGCATCAAATTTTAAGTCTTCTCTTTGTCTACAGGGTGCTTAAACTGCTTTCTCAAACCCTGTATTTATGAATTAAAACAAATTCTAGTTTTCCTTCACATTTGCTCTCTAAGACTTTACTAATCTATAAGCATTTCTGTTTTATCTCGTGCTCTTTGTCTTTACAAATGCCACGTAGGGCGTGCGGACGCCGTACCTCCAGTTATCTGCAATGCAGGAGGGAGATTATACGTTTCAGCTGACTGTCACAGACTCTGTGAGGCAGCGGTCCACAGCCGAGGTCACTCTGATCGTACAACCTGGTAAGTCAGCACCTGGCACCTCTGAGTCCCTTGGGACTGGGCCAGCCTGATGCCTTAGCACTGTCCTCAAATGCTGCCTCATCTCCCCGTACTGCACCACTGGGATGGCAGTCTGAATGTCCGGTATCCCTGCACTGAGGGCTCCTCCACCTCCATTTTCTGTCAAAGCCAACAGTTGAAAAAAGTGTAGGATCACAGTTAAGTCCAGGTGGTGATCTGAGCGCTCATGCCGGCCCAATTACGTAAGGCACCATGCACTGAGATGTGTTTGAGTGTACTTCCAAAAGATAAAATGTAGTCTTTGAGTTTAATATCCTACAAAGACTGTTTTGCGAAACTGTTCAGAGTATCAGTCAGTGCTTTGTTCAATTTTCTTATTGTTTTGCAGTTCTCCCTCAAGAATCTTTGTGTGATCTGAATTCTCATTGATTGTACTTTCTAGGGAAAAGTGTCAAGCAAGGAATTTTCAAAAGCTGCATATTTTACACATTTGTTTAGATTCGGGAGCTGAGTGATGAATGGCCCAAATGGTCCAGGCCTTGTGAGATATTTTTTCTGATGACTTTTTTTTTTTTATGTAACCTGTTTGCCTCTTACATCTGAAGTGGCCTTTTCTGCCCATCCCATCTGAAAGTCTCACATTCCACCATGGGGCAACATTTTATCTTACTGTTGTTGCTTATTACACATCTTTTTGTAGATGACCCCTTCTGGGAAAACTTTACAGCTGGCATTTACTGCAGAAATCAAGAATGTGAATTGGAGGTACAGCATGTGGTGGTGCCTTTTAGATCTGTTATAGTGTGGAACTAGAAAGATATTACTGCTGAAGTCAGGTCTAGGGGTAAATAAATATCCAGGAAAATGGTGGGATTGCCAGTTTACCATGCCCCAAAAGCAGAGGTTCAAAACAGAATAATAGGTTATATGTTTGTGCACTAAATCCTCAGGCTCTAAAGTGGCATTAATTTAGAGACGTCATGCTGACCTTGAGCAGCAGAAAACCTGGGCCAGTATCATCCTCCGGGGCAAAGAACTATATTCATGTAGGTTATTTTGAAAAGGATGCAGTGGTGGAACCAGGAGACTAACCCACCACTCCTGTTATAAAACATTTCATACAGTGCATTGAGCATGCTGCAAAATTTCTAGAGTGTGACTGTGACTTCAGATATGACTGTGAAAAAAGGAAGTACTTGCTATGGGATTTGGCTTGTTGCAGAGCTGGTCTCTCCCACCTGGTATTTTCTGCTGGTTTGTGCCTGTTATGCTTGTGGTTTGTACCTTTGGGCCAATATATCAAATTTGTAGTACAATATTTTGTGTAAAATCTTCTCTCTGGCAATCCTTACCAGTGACTACTTAACAAATATCGTACACTAAATACTGTTTTTACAGAAAGTAACAGTCCTCCAGTAGCAGTAGCTGGTCCTGACAAGGAATTGACCTTCCCAGTAGAAAGTACTACTCTGGATGGAAGCAGAAGCCAAGATGACCAAGGCATTGTCTTCTATCATTGGGAAAATATCAGGTATCAAGAGGTTTTACTAATCTCCAGTAAAATAGAAAACAAAGTGAAAGGTGCCAGAGCCTCTTATGCAATTGTGTTGGGTGATGCACTGTTTGAGAACTGCTTTGAGGATCTTCCCACTCAGTTGATAATAGGCTAGGAGACAGGAATTTTATGATCAACTTGGAAAGCTTAGGCAATCTCTGCCTATGTTTTGCAGTGTGTCATTTTGAGGCCTGCTGTTACAAAGTTAAGAGAAAAATGACGAACTTCCATGTCTCCTGTTAAAAAATGATTTTAACAGGCTTGGGTGCCCTCTTGTAACATACAAAACTTTCCCATCAGTGCTTAGAACTAGGGTTTCTCAGTCGCTTGTTTGTTGAATAATAAATTAAATTGACAATCTGTTTAGCCTGAGCTTTCGATAGTGGATAACGAAAGCGCTCTTGAATGATAACTGAAAATGTTTTACAAACGTTTGTAGTTGCATGTTTATGTGCCAACCTAATTGATCCTCAATAAAAGGACGAGGTATTAGCTCCTGCAACTGACACATCTGTGGCATGGGAAGAGATTTGCTGGCACCCTGTACGTGTGAGTGGCTCTTAGAGCAACAGCATTGGCATGCTCCCATGAAATAGTATAGCGAGGAGGCTGAACTTCTGGGGTGCATTTTCTACTCTTCCATTCACTGGGTATGTGATGCTTGGGTGCTTTGAGTGTCTTGAAATAATGGATTTATGAGTTCTCTGATCTAAACTTGTGTCATACAGTTCTTTAACCATCAGCTCTTATAGTGGTGGTAGAACTGCAGTATACATAAAAGCAAATAGCATAGGTGATGCTGCTGAAAGAACAATTTGGCTGGCTGTGCAGGTTTATTTTTGAATTGTTTTGTTTCAGTGGACCAAGCTCTGTACAGATGGAAAACGGTGACAAAGCAATAGCAACTGTGACTGGTCTTCAGGTTGGTACCTATCGCTTCAGGCTGACTGTGAAAGACCAGCAGGGCTTAAGCAGTGCATCTGTGCTGTCTGTCACTGTGAAGGAAGGTAAGCCTGGTTGCCGCTGCTTAGGGTAGGGTAGACAACTTGCCAGTTAACTCAGTCGCTGACAGAATGTAAAGGAAATTGGAGCAGAAAGGGATAATGTGTGTGTTTGTAATATTTCAAGGGTATTCGAGGAAAGTTACTGTTATTTTGTAGTAAAGTCATATAGTAAGTGACTAGTAGAATTGACTTCACTTACTACAAGCTTTTTTAAAGTTAAATATATGCAGAATTAGTTGTAATAAAAATGCTCCCAAACACTGTTTTTGAGCATGGTGTGCCTACTTCATTAGGAGGATGTGGTTTTATTTATTCTCAAAGTTAAGCTTTGAGCAGAAAAGTAATTTTCCCGCAGGTTTTAAATAACATCCAAGAAGCGAGGTCTTACAATTTCCACTTAAAAACAACATTAAAGACCTGTATTTTGATCTTTTTGATACAGAGAAACAGTTGCTGTGGTGTTGTTTTTATTTTATTTTTTTTTCTCCAACATGCATGCTGTAGAAGAGGCTTTAGGATAATAATACCTGCTGTTGCGAGATCATAGAATCATAGAATTGTTTCAGTTGGAAAAGACCTTTAAGAGCATCAAGTCCAACCATAAACTTAGCACTGCCAAGGCCACCACTAAACCTTGTCCCTCAGCACCACACCTACACATCTTCTAAACACCTCCAGGGATGGTGACTCAGCCTGTTCCAATGCTTGACAACCCTTTTGGTGAAGAAATTTTTCCTAATATCCAACCTAAACCTCTCCTGGAGCAACTTGAGGCCATTTCCTCTTGTCCTATTGCTTGCTACTTGGGAGAAGAGACTAACCCCCACCTCGCTCCAACATTCTTTGAGGTAGTTGTAGAAAGTGATCAGGTCTCCCCTCAGCCTCCTTTTCTCCAGACTAAGCACCTCCAGTTCCCTCAGCTGCTCCTCATGAGACTTGTGCTCTGGGCCCTTCCCCGGCTTTGTTGCCCTTCTGACAGAGGTACTGTCAGGTACACCTGACAGGTTTTATAGCTTTGACTTACGTTGCATCCTCAGGTTTGCAGGTGGTGATAACCCAACCATCTTTTGCTTCATGTTGTTGCTTAGGGAGTGATTTTAGCGATCTCCATGGGCCTATGCCTCCTTTTAAAGAAGGTGGTGTAATACATATGAAATCTTGTTTGGTTCAGAGTTCGGCTTTCTGTCTCATACTTTGTTTTTTGAGGGGAGCGATGCACTCTGGCTCTGCAAGTATGGTACCCATACCTTTTATAAAATGATAGCAGAGTTACATTAGAATCTTAGCTGCTGACTTTCTTGAAAACAGTGCAACCTGGTTTCTTTTTCACTTGGTATCACTGCAGAACGAATGAATCCTGGAGAAGCTGGATGCAGTTTTACCCATGTGCATCATCGGTTGAACTGTTTCAGAGTTTCAGTTAGGTCTTTAGTCAGAAAGACATGGGAACAGCTCTGCCCAAATGTGTCTCGTGGTCTTATCCATGGTGTGAAGTGTAACCATAATGTGTACTGAAGACAGTCACAAGTTCATTATTAAAAATATTCACTGCTTCAGTAGCCAAGTTTAATCAACTGGTTTATTTGGAAGATACAAGATGGTCACTTGTATCATAGAGAACTCTATGCTTTTCTAAAGAACAGAGATCTCTAGCCAATGCCCTGGAGATCTGTCCAAAATTGAATTATTTATTTCCAATCTAATACTCAGACCAGTGAGGTATTTCACTCAGCCTCACAGCTTCCTGGAGCTCTGTCTTATCAGTTGTGTTTTAAACAAAAGTTGGGGATGTCTGGTTTCTGTAAAGAGAATGTGTTCATGTTTGTTTGGTGTTTTAGGCCATGCTCCCAATGCTTGCCTTAATTTCACTGCTAGCAGTAAGCAAAAAGCATTTAGAAAGTGGGTTTACTCTAAGTTTTCTGATTACACTTTGCCTAAATACAGGCATTGTGAAGGTATAAAACCTTACTCAACGTTCTCTTAGGTAATAAGTGATTCTCAAGATGAGAACAGCCCAGCATGGTGGTCTTGTGCTGGTCTGTGTTTCTGAGAAGACAGAAAATCTTTTTGCTTGACTGAGAATGTCTGATGCTTAAGTTCCTGTGAGACAGAGTACCCCACAATGCTTTTTAAAAAAGATCTTTCTGGATGGTACCTTTTACTGGCGTTTTCCTCATGGTGCAGCTCTGCTTTTGTCAGATTGTAATAATCCTGGAGCTAAATTCTGTATGCCTGTTCATCCTTTCCCTGTACCTTTGACATGGGATTCTGTTGTTCCTGCCAGTAACTATCTGGTAAAGAATTGCAGTGTGGGTGTAGTGTATTGGCAGTGGCATGTCACATTTTGCATGGTTTGAAAGCAAGTCCTTCTCCTCCACTATTTTTATGTCTAGAAAACAACAGTCCACCCCAGGCGCGTGCTGGTGGGAAGCATGTTCTAGTGCTTCCAAATAACTCTGTTACCTTGGATGGCTCAAGGTCTGCTGATGACCAGGGGATCGTGTCGTATTTGTGGATTCGGGATGGTCAAAGCCCAGCAGCTGGGGTAAGTTTCTAGAAGGATGTAATGAGTCAGATTTGGCTCTTGTTATACATTTAGTGTCAATGCAGCAGGGTGAGCAGGTCCGACTCATAAGATGCTTTGAGGCCTGGTGTCTTGTTTCTGGTTTGTGTCCCCTGCTGTCTCTCATGCTTTGGTTCAAGGGGCTTGCGGTATATTCAGTACGGCTACAGAATATGGTAGTGTCATGGTTTAACCCCAGCTGGCAACTATGCACCACACATCTACTTGCTTACTTCTCCCTCTAGCCCAGTGGGGTGGGGAGAATTGGGGGTGGGGGGGGTGGGGGAAGTAAAACTCATAGGTTGAGATAAGAACAGTTTAATAACTAAAATAAAAAATAATAATGATAAAAATTAATATAGCAAAAGGGGAAGAGAGATAAAACCCAAGAAAAGATAAGTGATGCACAGTGCAGTTGCTCACCACCTTCTGACTGATGCCTGAGCAGTGACTGGCCCCTCCTGGCCAGTTCCACCCTGTTGTGGTTTGAGCCTGGTCGGCAGCCAAACACCGCGCAGCCACTCTCTCCCCCTTCTCTTCCGGCAATGAGAAGGCACAGATGAGCCAGGCTTGGGGTTTGAGATAGGACCAGGAGGGGTAGATCACCCATTATGGTCACGAGTAAAAGACAGACTCATTAGAGGAAGAAAAAAAAGAAGATATATTTATAACAGAAACTAACAACACGTAACAGAGTAGGACAGTGAGAAGCATTGCCACATCTTGAGAACACCTTCCCCCACCCCTTCCTTCTTCCCGGGCTCAGCTCTGCTCCCGATATCTCTACCTCCTCCCCCAGTGGCGCAGGGAATGGGGGGTGCAGGCAGTGCTGCCACTTCTGCCATCTGCAGTGGGGGGAACTTCTGGAGCTTCTTCCCCCTGCTCCATTGTGGTCCCCCTCTCACAGGAGACAGTCCTCTACAAACTTTCTCCGATGTGAGTCCCTCCCATGGCTGCAGCCCTTCCCAAGCTGCTCCGGCGTGGGACACCCCCGCGTGCTGCAATCCTCCCAGCACTGAACTACAACAGCGGGGGCTACCTTCCCCACAAGACCCCGGCCTTCTTTGGGCACAGCACCTTGATCATGCAGGCAAAAAACACAGGCCCTATATCAGCGTCTGCTCCACCGTAGATCTCCATGGTTGGCAGGGGGGGCCGCCCTGCCATCTCCCCACAGGATACAGGGGGGTCTCTGCTCCGGCACACCTCCCCCCTCCTTTCTTCCTCCGTTCCTCCACTGACCATGGTGTTCAGGCAGCTGCCCCAACTCCTCACCAGTCCCACTGCCCGTCACCACGTCCCTTCTTAAATACGTTATCGCAGAGGCACAGCTGATGGGCTCAGTTTTGGTGCAGAGGTGGAGCTGACTTGGAGCTGGGGGAGCTTCGAGAAGCTTCTCACAGGGGCCGCCCCTATAGCCCCCTCCCCTGCCACCAAAAAACCCCACCACTCACTCAACCCAGGACAACCCCAGTTTATACACTGGGCATGACATTCTGTGGTATGGGGCATCCCTTAGCCTAGTTCAGGTCAGCTCTCCCAGGTTTTTGTGTACCTCGTCTCTGGCAGAGCATGGGAAAGTGAAAAATCCTTGAATTAGGGTAAGGACTACTTAGCAACAACTATGACATCTATATGTTATTATCAACATTATTATAAATCCAAAATACAGCACCGTACCAGCTACTAGGAAGAAAATTACTCTATCCCAGCTGAAACCAGAGCAGATAGCTGAGTAAGAGGACTGCAGCAATATGGACTTAGTTGGGAGAGACTTAAGACAGAAGAGTAAGGTTGTGCTTTCTAAGAGGAATTGGTGATAGTACCAAGCTAATGCATTTGAGAGAAAAATCATCTGAAGTCCAGATATTGCAAAGGAGGAAGGGTCTGAGAGAGCAAGAAGTACTGATAAAGGCTAAAGAATTATGTGGTACCAGATTGTCCTGGTTGGGGCTGGCCTAGAGCTCCCGTTGGTCTGGCAGCGGGAGGAGCTGCAGCCCCCTGAGACCCCAGGGGCTCCCCGGGTCCCAGTGCCCTCACCTGTGTGCGGGGGCGGGGGGAGCACAGCTGGAGGGCTGGGCCCCGATTGGCCCATAGTCCATGTCATGTGACACTGTGTTCACTATATAAAGGCAGGAGAGGGCCGGGAGGGGCTGCCACTTCTGGGAGTGTGGCTGTGGGGCCTTGGTGTTGGGGATGGCCGGCCGGGAGCAGGCGGGTGTGGGTCGGCGGGTGGTGAGCAGCTGTATTGTACATCACCTGCTGATATTGCTGTCAGTGTATTATTCTGTCACTGTTATTAAACTGTTTTTATCTCAACCCACAAGTCTCCCTTTGCCCCTCCGATTCCCTCCCCGTTCCCAAGTGGGGGGAGGGTGGGTGAGTGTCTGCGTGGTGTTTAGCTGCTGACTGAGCTCAAATGATGACACAAATGAGGCAAAACTTTAAGATAAAAATTGTGTTTGGTGCTACGTGTGTAGATATCTTGCCTGGCAGACTGTGGTGAATAGCCTGGGTCATTAGGGCAGTGGAGCCTGCTCTCCAAATGCAGGCAGACAGCAGAAGTACCTCATGAAAAAACGAAGTTTTTATGTCAGCTCCTAAAACTTTTACCTATCCATGCAAAGTGTTGTGGACAGCTCTTCGCAGTCTGGAAGATAGTAGCAAATCTGGGAGAGGAGGAACAGCAAAATGATAACAGAGCTTCTAGAAGCAATTCATATTTGAGGGTATGAGAAGAATTGAAGAGGTTTAGTTTAAATATAATTGGCAGAGATGATAGTTGTAAATACATGAACTCCAAGGAAAGGAAATAATTTGGGAGGTAAAGCAGAACTAAGGATACTCAGTGAAATTGAGAAATAATAATGTAACTGTCTTAGATTTTCAAGCAGATGAGTACTTGAAAATGTCAGCTGTTCTCCCTGTGTTTTTTTCTAATGAAAATATCCATACTGGGCAGACATCCTCATTAACTGCCACTTCCATATTTCCATTACTCTGCTATGAACTGCGGATAGGTCACATTAGTCCAAAAAGCCAAAGCAAGAATTCACACTGCCATACCAGATAGCCAACTTGATAGTCACACCTGCAACTTTCTATGAGGGTATGATCATCCTGGTACCATTTTTTTCTGCAGGATGTGATCCATGGCTCAGACCATGAGGCAGTACTGCAGCTAACTAATCTGGTGGAAGGAACCTATACTTTTCACTTGAAAGTAACGGATGCAAAAGGAGGCTCAGATATTGATTCAGCAACTGTTGAAGTACGACCTGGTATGACAATTAAAAGGTCATCGATACATTGTGAATACCTCATCTTCGTTCTCCTTTTCACTGGTTTATTTCAATGTTGAAAATAACTCTCTCAAGTTAAAACACAAAGCAGACAGATCTCTCACTTTATATCTTCATATTTTTCTCTCAGTAGGTCCGAGTGTATTATACTGTATGTCAGGATTCTTAACTACCAATTACACCATTGCCTTACTGGAAGCATAAATAAAAATAATTCTTCCTAGTTAATATTATCATTAGGTTTTTGTTGCTCTTCGTTCCTTGTAGGTTTTTATTTCTTTTTTTTTTATGATTGCTAATCAGCTTGGCCAATGGAAAGAGATGGGAGTTGAGCATTAAGTATGATGCTGCAATTGTGTGTTTGAAGGTTGAAAGTGTGTTTTTACGCTTGTTTTCCTGGTTTTGTCCTGAAGGAGAAAAACAAGCCTCAGAGAGATTGAGGATTTTTTAAATTGTCTTCATGGTTTGATATTGCCTGTGTGTAGATTTGTTTTCAAAAGCAGAATAAATGGCTGTGTGATGGAAGCATAAGTTGAGGTTTCAGGAAGTGACTCTGAAATCTTGGGTCTGTCGGCGATTCTTGTTTGTCTGTTTCCTGGGCAATGATTTTATTTCTGTTCCTTACTTTATTGTTGAACATGGTCACAATAATTGGCTCAGGATTCTCACTGGATATCTGTGATACTTGTTTGTTTGCAAGGCACTCTAGAAGTTCAAGTATTATTTAACAGAACCCTCATGTTTCACCTTTGTGAAGGTAAACATTTGGTATTTCTCAAATTGACCATCCTCATTTAGACTCACTGACACACTATTGCATGCTGCCATATGAGTTCATCTTTGCCTCTCTTTTCCTGGGTGGTAGCCAGTAGTAGGTAACTAGCAGGGAACTTAAGTATTAGACTCACCTAACGCTGCCCTCTGACCTTGAGATAGCAGCTTCTGTTCCCCTAAATGCTGCTATTCTGCATAGAAATATGTTTATGCTGAACTGAAGTACGCACTGAAGCGCTTTCTTTCACCTGATAACTTGGGTTTCTATCTTAGGACCCACTGGGTTTGTTTCAGAGGGAATGAGAAAATGTAGGCTTCTAAGAACACAAAAGGGTTAGGTTATAAGGGATATGGTTCTTACGTAGGAAAATATAGTATTGATAAATACTTTTGAGTACTGCACGTTGTCTTCAGTTGGTACTGAAATATTTGCCAGGCTCTGAAAGAATAGCATGTCCTCCTTTTGTTAGATCCCAGAAGGAGTGGTCTGGTGGAGCTGATTCTGCAAGTTGGAGTGGGGCAGCTGAGCGAACAGCAGAAGGACACCTTGGTGAGACAGCTGGCTGTATTGCTGAATGTTTTGGACACAGATATCAAAGTTCAGAAGATACAAGCCTACTCAGATATAAGGTATCCTGCATATAAAGATACAAAGATACTCTGCTTGCCAGGAAGATATGTGTTTTTCATTGACTCTTTCACAGCTCATAATTAGTTTCAAAATAATCTTTCCTAAGAGGACAAAAAAGTGAGATAATTCTAAACAGTATATACTTTAAAAGGTAAATTTCTAATGTTGTGGTAGAAAATTGATGAAGTTCTCTAGAGGCTCAGAATGGAAGCATTTTCTTAACTAAAGATTCTAAATGAATTCTAAATTGTTTCTAAATTCAAAATTTTCTGTATATTGTTTTTTATTTATTCCTTTAAAGAAAATGCATGCATATGTTTCAGTGTCTTTGTTCCATACAGTCCTGCTATTTTTACCAAATACTTTGTCACAGTGAAGCAAGTACCGTATTTCAAAATAAGGTTCCAGCTGTATCTGATCAAACCTGTTTTATTTTTCTTTTCTTCTACTTCCTCTCTAAGATTTTGATGTTCCAAGTATTTTTATAAACATTTTCCTGGTTAACTGGTGTGACAAAAATCCATTTTTTGTAGAGAAAACTACACAGTGGATACTCTTAAGTGTGATATCTTACTCTGAAGTAGAAATATCCCGTCTGCTTGGTGTAGAGGCCTAGAGATAGCTTTGCATACCCAGAGAAACTTCTCAGCATGATTGATAGAACCTGTTGACATGAGTCATCTTTAAGTTACTTCTTGTTAACTACTTAAACACTAAGATGGGCTTTAAATTACTATTTAGCTCTTGGGAAACCTTGAAATTTAAAACCAAACTGTTTGAAAAATGTAGCATTTATAGCTATGGTATTTTTAATCACAGCTTCCAGTTATTGCTTTTCAGAAAAAGATGTTCCCTGAAGTGTCATGAGACAGGATGAGCTCAACACCACCCATCTTAAAAAGGGGGGGGTAAGGGGAGGAGGGGTCCCACATGAAGTTCTCTGACTCCCTTGCTTCTGAGCTTTTCCTCCTCTTAAATTCAGATTCTAAAGTTATTCAGACTGCCTCAGAGTGCTTTGTAACAGGTTCTAGGTGAGAGCGGGGAAAGCAAATGTATACATACTTCTCTTAAAACGAGAGTCAGGAAGGCCAAGGAGAGAATTGCATTTGCTGTTGTCCTCACCTTTCTTCTGTGAAACTCAGAAGCTAGAGACCTTCTGGTGCTCCTGTCTCAGGATGAAGTCTGTGGCATTTGGATGGAGTTGACTGATCCATGGACAGAGTTCCCTAATCATTATCAGTGGTGACATTTGCTTTCCAGAAACAAAAACAAACAAACAAACAAACAAAAAAAAAAAGGCTGTGAACTGAATGCCTGACAAAAGTGGTCTTTGACAGCAGTCATGACTTTAGCTGTTCTTTCTGCAGCACTGCGGTTGTGTTCTACGTGCAGAATGGGCATCCTTCCAAGGTGATCAGGGCATCAGATGTCTCACGAACTCTGCACGTGCAGCTTTTGAAGGAGAAGGCTGACTTCCTGCTTTTTAAAGTCCTGCGGGTTGACACGGCTGGTATGTTTTGGATGGTGCTTGCTCTTCTCAGATCTTTGCAGGCATTTGGCTAACAACAGCACCTGGAGACAGTGCCTGAAGGCCTTCTGTCTGCCGTCTGGTGTCTGGGCTTGGATGGAGCTTTCTGAAAAATTACGGTGAAGACAATACTTAAAATGCTTATTCATCTGTGATAGACTGGTGACAGTTACTTGTAGTCTTTTAAAAAGACATCTGTAATAGCAGGCAAAAGTATATCTTAATCTGGTCTGCATCAGGAAGGCCTGGGGAATGAGGAGAAAGATACCCTAGTCGGAAGATGGGCAAAACATATTATAGCCATAATATAGAATGTTTCCTGTCTCTGGTTCCTTCAAGGCTTTTAGTGTTCAGTAATAAGATTGTAAAGTAACTTGTTTTTTTCTATCAGGTAAAATGGTCAGGTGATCACTGTGTTACAACCTAGTCTTCCAATATTTGCAGTGTAGACAAGCCACTATGCTTTCTTATAATGAACTTTTTCTTGTCCCCAGAAAGGTGTTTGAATTTCAAAGCCTGTTTTAAACTTCACTAGTAATGTGAATATGTTACTCAGATATTACAAATAAGATTTCTCCACAATTTAAAATCAGGATATAATGATCCGTGTGGAACCAAAGCGAGCGAGCTCTGGCAATAAAATGGTCCTTGATTCTGTAGTAAATCCTGTCTTTATCTACCTGTTGAAAAGGACTGTTGTTCTATTGTATATGTACTTGGATTACCAAAATGCATAGGTGTCACTGGAAAATATGCATTAACATTTTTCTTGATGTAGCAAATCTGCTACTCTTAAGTTTTAAGGGGAATAACTTTTTATTTTGGTCTGATATGACACATTGATCTAGCAACAGCTACTGCTGTAAGCGTATGAGGTATCTAAACATACTGGCCCCCTGACGCTGTAATTCAGCTTTGAAATACTGAAATACACTCTAGTTAATTGGTCTTGTACCTCAGAACACTGATATTCCTAATTTCTCAGCTACTTTACAAGTTCTTACAAATATGTCATAAAGAAAGGAGCAGGTCTGAATTCCATAACTTCAATTTATCTTTATTTCTGGTTAGAATAAACTGTTCGTGATTTGTATACAATTTCAATATTATATACATAAGATATATTCTTATTTTTTCTCTTCACAGCCAGCAGTCTGCTGAACAGTAAATCTATTTAACACATAACACTAAAGGAAAGGGAGATTTAAAAAATCAGAATGTTATGAACTAGATGCTTTACCACCAATCTAGTCTCACAGTAAGAGGATGTGTGACAAATTGTCCATTTACACAACTGATTCAGTTTGGTGTTGTTCTTAGCCTGCCTTTTAAAATGCTCTGGACATGGACACTGTGACCCCATAACAAAGCGCTGCATTTGCTACCAGCTGTGGATGGAAAATCTGATTCATCGTTATCTAACTGATGGAGAGAGTAATTGTGGTGAGTCTGGGTGTTGTGGCATGTATTTAAAGAATAACTTGTCATCTTGTGAGACTGTTGATTATTTGCTATCAGAACGATGAGTACTTAGGCAGATGCTGAGGGGAAACTAAAAGAGTCTCTTGGTTTTCCAGCCCAGCAATATCTTTCTATAGAAAGATACTTGAATAACGTGTTCAAATGATAATGTCTTGACAGTGGTAGCCAATATTTAAAATACTTCAAAAGTTTAAATTTTAAAAAGTATCACTATTTGAGGAAAAAAGCATTAAAACTTTGTCATGGGAGAGAGCTCTTGCAACAATTAGGCACCAGTTGGAAGGGCTGTTGAATAGTGTGGGCATTGCAAAGCTTTTGAGTAGCATTCATCTGATAGTTGCAATGCTGAAAAAGAGGCAACATCTTTGATTGCCTGAGTGGGTGGTTGCTGCTTCTGTGCCAGAAGTGTGGTCTGACCTAAGGAAAGAAAACACCAGTGTTCTGGACTCAGAAATAGAGTCAGCTTTAAAACATCAGCTTCTTAGCATGATTAATATCACTGTTTCTTTCATCTTGCCTATTGCACCTGGGAAATGCAGTTTAGTTTCACCAGCTTAATCATGTCTATATTCTGTGGCACACCTAACATGTCAGCTAAACCGCTCTATTTCAAATATTTAGTAGTTTTAATTTAACTAAATTGATCTTCTACTTAAGTTGAAATAAAGCTCAATTCTTAGTACTGTGCAGGCTTGGAGACATTTGCTGCGCAATGTGCTAGTCTTCAAGTAAATCCATAGAAATTTAGAAGGATCCTGCTACAAGCCGTTAAGTAACCATGGGCCATGTGTGTGTCTGTTAGTGAGCAAAGACTAATTGACCGACCAAAATGGGACAGCAAGTTTTAAGCCTGAGGCTGGGACCTCTGCAACCCTTCCGTAAAGCTATGTTGTTCCATAGTGTAATAATAACTCTAAAATAGTGAGTGCACACGTGTTGGAGTTTGTATTATTGCACATCTCTCTACCCTTATCATCTTTTCCTGGATTTACAAATGTAAGCATGCAGATAGAGGAATCTATCTCTAATCAGCTGCTCTTTTAAAGCACTACTAAAATGCCAGACCCAGAATACACTTACATTTATTTCAGTTAGAGGAAAACCACTGAGGTGGTAACTGTGCATTCTTGACTTTCAGTTCCCACATAGACTTCAGGTACCTTGGGATGGTGAAAGTTACTGGAGTGGAAGAAAATTTTCAAATCTGTCCCTTGAATCTGGAAGCTTAAGAATTTTTAGGGATTCTTCTGAGAATATGAAGGTGCTAAGTATTCCTAAATTCCTGTTGCCACTCCTCATTCCTTGGGATTGGTTATTTTAATAGAGTTGTATTAGAAATTACCCTATCAGTATAACTTTACAAAGCACTGTTGTGTTTCTTTTTTCAGAGTGGAGTATACTCTATGTGACTGTATCTGTTTTTATTTTGATTGTCGTCATGGTAGGGCTTGGCTGGTTCTGCATCTGCTGCTGCAAAAGGTACATGGTTTGTGTTTCTTTTTGATGGGATATATGCAAAAACTGCACACAACTGCCACATTTTAGTCCAGTCCTTAACACTAAACTGCTGAACTGTTTTCAGACACCTGAGGAGCTTCCTGTAGCTATTCTGGTATAGACACATTCTTTGAAAAAACGGAGTATCCATTTGTGGCTCTGTGCTCTTCTGCATTTTGAAAACCAAAAATGCAATATTGAAATGTCTTTCATATTAAGAGATAATGCATGTTAAAATGCTGTGAGTATACTACAGATCTTCATGGTCTCCCACTGAGCATTCCAGGTACAATATGCTAAGAAAAAAGAGGCATACCCTGAAGGTCACTGACATAGGACTGTTCTAGTCCAAGGGAAGGGAGCTGCTCCCAACCTCGTGTCTTCCTTGGACATGTGGCTGCATCTGGCTGACAGGCAAGGAGTACTCCAGTGATCTCAGTCACACAAACTTCTTGCTTCCTCTTTCCTTAGTCGCTTTTCCCTACTACTGCCTGTCGTTCCCTCTCTGCCCACCCCTCCAGTCTTTCCTAGTGAGCCGATAAGAAATTCTCTTTCAAGTGGCAAGCCCCTGCAAGTAGTGTCACTACTGCAAGTGTTTTTGCTGCTGCTGCTCAAAAAGCCCAGAAAATAGATAGCTTGTTCAGGTGTTAGCAAAAATGACATGCTGTCAAAATCTTTCTGGATTGTCAGCTTTTTGTAGGGTGTTTTTGCAGTCTGTAGAGCATGCTGTTTGAAGTGTGTGGGAGTTTATACCAATTTCCTTTTTATCGTTGAAGGAACAGCCCTGTTAGTAGAATGGTTTAAATAGAAGTATGTCCCAGTCCACCCTCACAGTGTGGGGTGGAGCCTCACTGGCTTGTGTGGATTTGATAAGAAAGGGATTGTGGAGTTCAGCTGCTTCTGTCCCTTGTCCTTCATGTGGCTTGTTCCAGAGAGTTGGGACTGGTTGATACAGATATGTGTTTAAAAAAAAAAAAAAAAAAAAAAAAGAGAATTAAACGTGTCACAGGACAGAATGACAAGACATTCCCTTTGCCTTGTGGAAACTACAGGAAAAAGATACTGTAGTCCAAAATTTGGCTGGAGTTTGGGAGGTTTTAAAGGTTTTGTTGAATTGACAGATTAACTCAATTTTTCTTAGAAGACTGTAGAAGGGAGGCCGTGGCTGGCTGTTGCTGTAATGTCTGCTGAGCAGTAGGTGGCTTCTCCACTGTGCACTATGCAGTCTGGGTGGGAGTGCTTCTCCAGGCATTGCCAGAGTGAATCCTTGCCTTGACAAAGGGCATGTCCCCTGTCCCCCTCCCCCAAGTTATGAGAAAGAGGGCCTGAAAAATGCCTGAGGTGCAACAGCATCTTCTAGCAGGTGCCCCCTTGGTTTCATGTGTGAATGCCCTTATTTCTCCCCTGAAATCCTTTGTTCGTTCCCTCTTGATCCAAGACAGCAAACAGTTCTCTGTGTGTCCCTCTAGCTCCAGGACTTTTCCTTGGGTATATATGAGCAGATGAGTAACTCCTGCAAATAGCTGAAAATAAAGATGATGATCTTAGCAGCATTGTGGAAGTAGATGCTGGGGAAGGATTTAAATGAAGAAAGAACAGGTGGGGATTTGCCTACAGGCCAGTAGGGTTTTCTCTCTGCATATATCTGGGTGAGCCAATCTCCATTTTTGTCTGGTCTTCTCTGTAAGCACAGTCAGACAAGCACCACTTACACTTTCTCAATTAAAAATAAAATAAAATTGGAGACTAATCAGTTCTTACAGAAATTTTATTTGGAAACAAATGAATATGTCTACCTTGTGTCTAGTTACTCTGTTGAAATTGAACAAACTGGACCCCTGTGGCCTAGGAAAGCAAGTTGATCTTTCTTGCTTTCTTCATCTTTGTGTATCAGAGAAAAAATAAACTATAACCTCCAGTACAGATTGTACAGCTGCTTTATACAGGTATAAACTGGAACAACTCTTCAAGTGGAGGTGAGAAAGTACAATGAGGTTCTGTGTATTGGGGTGCACAGCTATGTGTATGAGAAGGGAGAGGGAACAGCTTTATGTGTTCATGTGAGAACTAAATGTCTTTTTTAGCAGAAAGAGGACAAAGATAAGAAAGAAAACAAAATATACCATCCTAGATAACATAGATGAGCAGGAGAGAATGGAGCTGCGACCCAAGTATGGTAAGCACTGTCTGTTTCAGCTGGGAGCTCATCCACTGAGCTTACAGTGAGTGTATTTGAATTGACACCTGCAGTCAGGAGGAGCCTGGAAGCTGGCCTAAAGTTCGGGAATGGCAGAGGCAAGCATAGGCAATTAAATGGTTGGGGGAGGATCACTTTGTTTCTTTCATGAGGCCTTGGGCTCAGCCACTGCTCTGAGCTTCTTTGTTAATCTTAATTTGGAACACCTAATTGTCCTACAGATTTTTCTCTATGTAACCCCTCCTGCCCTGCACACACTTTAATCTGGAGCTGGTTTTGGTGTTCTGTAACAGTTGCCTGCTGGCCCATGAGTGCCCTGTTAAACATGAGTAGACCTCAGCTGTTACCCTCTATTCCCATATATTTTGATTTATCTGAGTTTCAGTTTTTAGCAGGGGAAATATTAAAAGCCAGGGAAATAAAATCACCTTGAAAAATTGCTGTCCTAGAAAGACAGAGATAACATTTCTGTAGAAACCATGGCCTTCCATTGCCCCATGTGTTAATCAGATAGTTGAGTGGACAGACTCATCTCCGGATTCAAGCTACTAAATGTACATTAGCTAGGTACTAAGATGATCTAATTGTGAATATATGCATTTAAATTTTAAACATTTCAGAGTGATGAACTGATGGGCCTGCAGGGAAGTCAGGAGAGTATCTTCCTGTCAGTAGATGATACCTCCTAGAGCAGTTTCTATATTGGTAGTGCCAGTGGTGGACACTGTTAGGCTGGATTGCAGAGAATGTTTTCACTTACCTTTCACATCCCAGCAGAGGAGAGGATGGTTAGTTGTTGCTAAAAAGTGAAACCTTTCTAATGAGCTTATTTTTCCTTTTTTTGTTGTCAGGTATAAAACACAGAAGTACAGAACACAACTCCAGCCTGATGGTCTCTGAGTCAGAGTTTGACAGTGATCAGGACACTATCTTCAGCAGAGAAAAGATTGAAAGAGAGAATACTAAAACACTCATGAATGGATCCATCAGAAATGGAGTTTCCTTCAACTACAGCTCCAAAGACAGATAACTGAATGATGGTAAAAGCACCGAACATGCTGGTCCAACACATCTGAAACATGTCAGCCCACCTCTGTTTTTCCAGAACCAAAAGCTTCCTAAAATATCAACTAATTGCAGATAAATTTCTAGCACAGTTAGGAGAAGGAAGGAGGAAGGATTAGGTGGTCAGCTAACTTCTCTTGTCACCATTATAGGAACAAGGAAAAGCACATCTTACTTCTTGCATGTTCCATGCTGAATGTTTGTCTGAACTTCAGAAGGCCTTTTTTCCTGTATCACTGCTGCAAAACTAGCCAGGGCTGCTACGCTACTGATAGTAACTGAGATGCATACAGATTCATGTCCTGTGCACCTGTCAGAGAAGCAGTGTGATTGTGTTGCCAATATAGATAAATTCCCTTAGAGGTACAAAGAGCAATATGTGACCACAGGCTCCATCTTCATTTTCAGTTTAGTTTGGGAACACGATAGAGCATTTTTAGTGTATTGTATTTAACTCTGACTGTGCTTGTGACTTCTAGGGTAGTGCTCATCGGATGGAAGTGTCTTTGTTTCCAAAGGAAGTTTACAATGAGCAGTTGCACTTACTCAGCTGTAATGCGATACATCTATATCCTGGAGGGTGCAATGTTCCCTGTATTAACATAGAAAGTATGGTGCCTGCAGGGAAGTCCAGTCTTAGGTTGCTTCTGTAATGAAGCTCTCTGGAGACTGCCACCTCCAGCCAGGAAACAGTAGCAGAAAGGCATGAAGGACTCAGTGCCATGTTCCTTCAGAAGCATTTTGAATATCCCAAACAACCTTTTGCTTAGAGAGCACTTCTAAGGAGCTCAGGATCTTTTAAGACTGAACCCTCAGCTGGGATGAGTTTTCATTTGTCAGCCTCAGTGCTCAGCTAAAGAGTGTGCCAGGCATTTGTGTAGTGAAATGCTTGTGGCAAAGTACCCTATGTGGAGCAGGAGGTTCAACACCTACTTTCCTTCTCATGGGAATTGGCACTCTGGAAGGTTTTGGCTTGAATGTTAGATTGTTTTACTTTTTGTTTGCAATCTGGATAATTTCAGTGTGCTTGTTAGGCTTTAAAGACATGCCCCTGATAGCGTTCTTGAAATCTCAAACTGAAGACCTGGATTTTATACATAAGCCTCACTTGTGAGGGGCATCTGTGTTGGTGATACTGTCTGGCCATGACATCAGCCTTTCCTGGGGGTCTTTTACTGACGTGCTGAAGTCTTGGGCTGAGCTGGAGGAATGATATGTTCCAAGGGAGAAAACATTCCTTTGGGAGCATTTTGGAGAGGTTTTGTTGGGTTTTTTAAACTTTTTTTTTTTTTTTTTTTAAATCTGGTGGTGGAGAATTCATTAACAGAAGGGTGAAGCAGTATAGAGATCAAGGGCAGCAGTTGAGAAGGGTCAGGGAGGAGACATAGCCCACCTCATCGCAGAGCCTCAAACTAGATGAGGCAAGTACTCAAAATTAGATTTATTCCAATCGCAGTTGTTTAGCATTCTGACAAATGCTAGTGAACTACAGGTTTGGATGTGTGTCAAACAGAACTAATGCTACATAGCTGACTTAAGCTTAAGTTTTAGGGATGTTGACCCAAAAATCAATCACCCAATAACATGAGGGCTCTCAGCCTCAAGGAGTTACCTTGGGCAGCGTCCCGATCCGAGGGGAGAGTCCCTGGATGCAGACACGCTGCTCCAAGGAGGGCTTTATCAGTTTGCCTCTGGGGGTGGGGAGGCCCCCATTTATACCCTAGTCGAATCTGATCTGTGGTCATACATGGTCAGTGGTCTAGAAATGTCTCTCAACTGGGGCGTTCTGTTGGCTGAAGGCTTTGACTGTTGGTGGAAGGGCCTTGCATTTCTTATCCCTCCACCAGGTGTGGTGTGTATGTGACCTCCAAACTGCGGCTTCTAGTTTTAACTTTCCTTTCAGCAGTGGAGAGGTTCTGATCTTTATTGGGGTGGGTGCACCTGCCACAATCTCCATCATGAGGAATAATCTGATGGAGAATTTTGGGACTTTTTTCTATCCTTTCATAGAAGCCCAACACAACAGAGTAGTTGGGTTTAACATTGTGGCTTCTGGGCTTCTCTTGTTAATGAAGTTGGGCAAAAGTCAGAACTGTCTAGGTTAGAAGGAATCATTAGTCAAAACTTGCAGCAACGTGGCATGCTCATAACTGGTTTCATATTTTTGATTCTCAAATGCAGCCAGCAACAGTCCCTAAGGCTGTTAATGCTGCACCGAGGAGCATTTATCCTGTGCCCAATGCTGCATTTCTTTGGAGAGCTGAGTGTAGCTGCAGGAGTCATAGTGGTGGGAGAGGCTGTGAAGAGCTAAAAAGGGCTAATGCAAGCATTTTCCACGTTTTTTCCCATTCCCACCAGCAAGATGCAGTATATATGGTATGACTTGCTTTCCTGGGAAGCCAAGTTTTAATTCTCTGTGTATGGGGCTTTTAGGCTATTTATTGAAAAAAATTACTTTAGCTCACCCTCCCCCTTCTTGAGTGTGTGTGTGTGTGTATATATATTTTTAAATAACTGGGTCAGTAAAAGCAAGGTCAGCTTTTGATGTCTTTCAGTTTCTGCTCCAGATGCAATGCTCACTTCTGGTACAGATGCATTCCTGAAGAAAGTTAAGGCCCGCTCAAAGTACTGATTCTTATTTTTTTTTTTTTCCTTTTAAATCAAAGTGTTGGGCTTAATCCATTCTATCCATTCTGCACAAATTACCCAAATGGTCTAGCAGGAATTTTGCTCTTTAGAAACATACATTTAATAAAAGTTGTTGTATAAGCAACTATTGGCCACGCTGCCGTTAATAGTTCTGCTAAATACTGTATCCAGTGTGCCTTTATCCATAAACTTATCTTTTAGTGCATGTCAATGCAGTCAGCAGTATCCTTCAGTTTTGTGAAGTCAGTCATGTCTGTGTTTTGAGTTTATCTTATGTTTTTAAAGTTGGTGCTGAATCCTAGGAGGCTGTTCTTTCAAGCAATTAAAATTCAGACATCATCTTTAAAAAAAAAAAAAAAAAAAGCCCTAGAGACTGATCTTCTGGTAAAGGAACTACAGGAATCACAAACCTGCTTTCTGCAATGCTGCAGAATTCCCAGGGCTATTCTCCCTCCCCCTCACGCATGCTGTGGGTGCAGATCTTTGGATCTGTGGTAAGTTCATGTGCCATGAGAACATATGCATGGCTTGGCTAAGTATTTCTCACTCTAGCAAATAAGAAACAATAGACCAATTTCTTACTGCATAAGGCCCTGGCAAGTGGAAGTTACGTACTGAATTCTGTTCTCTAGATGATGTTTTGACATCTCCATTGCTAACAGTGTTTAGTTATGTTTTGAAAGTTGAGTACAGTTTAAATTTTTGAGCTGCTTCTAATTCTACTAGTTCGATTCTTCCACCTGTTTGGAAGGAGAAGTCATTCCTCTTACATAAGATCAGGCTTGCTCTTGATATGCAACTTGGACAGAAGTTGAAGATAATACTTTCTGACTCTGTGAATTTGTGGTATCACATGTTCGTGTCACTAGGCCATGCATGATTTTGTCAGGAATTCAGGAGAGACTGTAGCAAGCCTTGTATCTTGATTCAGTATAATTTTTCTTTCTAAAACTGTTGCTTTCTTGCAGAATGTCAGGTCATACCTGGAATGAAAGGGTCAAAAACCTAGCTGTTAAGGTGCAAACACAATGGTAGAATCCCGATACAAGCCTTCTGGTTTGGGTTATGATGGGTTTGAAGCAAGTTCTCAGTCCTCACGTTTACTTCCACACACCATGTTCCTTCATATACCGAAAGAGTGCTGGCAGCTTCTTTGTGAAACAGGGATGGGGAAATTCCCAACAGCCTCATCTGCGCTGAAGAGCAGAGGAGACCAGATATGTCTGGCCATGTATGGCTCAGAGTCCACTGAAAATGAATAACTTCAGTTTGGCACTGATAAGATATTGCCTCTCTTTGAAGGCAGATGGTGTGCTGATGCAGTGCCTCCGAGCCTTGATGTTAGCACTGGACTTTCGTTTGCATCTTGGTTTTACATTTATACATGCTGATGCATGCACAAGCAGAGATTGTCCAGCTATGTAAAAGGACTGCTTTTATTTGCATTTTAAGTAAGAAGTATATTTTGGAAAAAAACTTCCTTACCATTACTGCCTGAGGCATTAAACAGGTTCAGCAGTCAGCACAGTGTATCCACAGCATGAAACTGCCATGCTGTGGACAGGCCATCGGCTTGTGTTTTTGATTTTCTTGACTGAAATACTACTGCAGTACAAAACAAAATTTACCTTGTCAAATCTGCTGAGATGCACATCCATATTCTCTGTCCTATGCTTTAGGCTTTCATATCAACAGAGTAGATTGCTGAGAAATTCAAGGAAAATGTGAACAGTTTAATTGCAGAGGACTTTTTATTTGGGGAGGGGAAAAAAAAGGTTGTTCTTGTTTTGTGTATAAGAATACGTTTTCAACTGCATCCTTTTAGCTAAAGAGAGTCTTAGCAGTCTCCCTCTGTCAGAGGCATCAGATACAGGTACTGTTAAAGAATCTGTTCTGTGCTGTCAGCTGTGTTTGCATATATGATGCTAATTTTCCATTTCTTTCTTGGTCTCTTGTGGGCAAGCAGTGTGTGAACTTAACAGAGTGAGTGAGTGCCTGCGTGTTCTCTATGCTGCAGTTAGATTTTCCTTAGGCAATTCTGATGTTCTTGAAATAATTGAGTTCTTAGGCAAACTTCCTATCCCTGTTTTAAGCCTCAAGTGAAACTAGTCTTGCCCCTCAATGTACTAATACTGGGCTGGAGTCAGCTGGAGCTTTGGTTTGGTGGTAATAAAAGAACAGCTATGTTAGTCTTCTGAGCCATTTATATGAGGTTTGAGAGAGGTAAACATTCTTCTAGAAGAAGGGAAATGGGATGGAGGTGAATTAGTGTTTCTTAACATCAGCTATTGCTTATCATTGATCCCTAACTAGAATACTAATCCCTTACTTGTGCAGCAAAGGAGAACCTATTTCATACACCTTTTAGGTCCTGAACTCCCCAAGGCAGGGGAGTGAACCTTAAAGCTTAGAACTAAAATTTTAAAAAGTAAGGAGAAAAGACAAATGATTTTTTCTTTTGCACAGGCTACGAATCAAGAGCAGATGAGTCGCACATCAGTAGTTTGTCTCTGGAAGCACTTCTCCCTGTGGGTGGATGGGTGAGATATCACAGAATTTGTATTAGGAATCTGTTTCTAGAAAATGTTATTTATTGCAAATGATAATGTATTGTAACTGGAACCATTTCTGAGCTGAATTTACTACATTTATGTAACTACTAATAAAGTTTTGTCTTTCCTTCTAGGAACTTGTCAGGTACTCTTTTAGACAGGGTATTCTGTATTGGACTCAACACTCAGGTCAGGCTAAGATATGTTGTATACCATAGCTTATGTCTGTACTCAAACATAAAAGTAGTGCGGTATCTGATCCTTCCCATCCTACTGACAAAAGCAAAACAGTATTTTTTTCAGAAAGGTAACATAATTCAGTACATCAGAGAGCAGGAAAAAAAAAAAAATTACTACAGTTCATGGTAAGAACTGTAGTACTTGTCCTCACTTGGTTTAAGTGGCTGTGTGTAAATATTCACCAGCTGTCATGCCAAGTTTGGTGATTTCAAAAGTTTTGTGGCTTACTCTACAGCAAATCTGACACTTGAGTGTTGTAAGTACAGTGGCTGGTTTGCAGTAATCAGAGATACTAATGCGCAATATAACCCGAAATACTGCTGTTAGCTAGGGGTAGATTATGCTGCCTGTTCCTGAACTGGAAAAGAAAAATCCAAGCATCAGTGTGTGTGACGTTTGTGCTAAATCATAATAATACTGTGAGATACAAGTGTCCTTCTGTAAGGAAAAAGCATACAACATAAAAGCAACTTTAAATGTCTATGGATATGTGCTGTCACAATCTAGGTGGTACCTCTGACCTCTGTACTGGACTCCTGCAAGGGGGAATACTGGCTGCTGAGGGCACTGATGAGACCCATAGTGTCCTTTATTGAAGACTGGAATTGGCCTGTTTGCTATTGCGCTGTATTTTTGGTACCAGCAGTAGCATTCCCCCTCCCCTTTTGAGGAGGCTGATGCAAGCCTCTAGACTTGTGCACCAGGAGATAATCAGTTGTGATTCTGAAACAACTTCAGCCAGTTGTGCCGAGTAGCTTCAGCCGTCATGGATAAAGTGAATAAAACCACCAGCTTCTCATGTCTTGGAAGGGCTGAGGCAGAGAGTTTTGGCATTGAAAACACTTTAAAGATGTGCTAAAATTTTAACTTAAGAGATTCCAAACACATTACTTAAAGGAGAACATTTAAGATAGCTCAACCCTTCCCTAAGTAGTAGGGCTGAGACAAAGGGCGTGACCAGTTCCAGTTACACAGTTACTTCAATACCAAGTCGAAGTGTGAAGCTCCTTTTACTTACAGGCTTGCCCAACTCCCAACATGGGCCTGATTTGATTTAGAACAGTAAAAACTTTTATTCTGTGCAAACCATTTAAACAGCTGTTTCTGTTCTGTGACTTAATCATGAAAGCACAGTTAATCCTAATATGTGTCTAAAAATCAGTGTCTGGGAAAGGGATGGGCTGCAGAATACTGGCCTGCTTAAACATTTCTGGTCTTGGTGACGAGAGATAATAAAGTGCAATCTGCCAGCTACTGCAAACAAAACTAAGTACTAGATAGTGGTCAGGCTTGCCATGCTTCTCAGTCAGACTGATAATCTGTCTTTACTGGTATTGGATCAGTGTTACCAGCATTAAGAGCCTTCCTCACTTACTCTTGAGCACCTAAGGTAACTTGCTAGCTTAGAGCACAATGGACAAGGCTTATCTTGAGTGACTTGCCAAAACTTGTGCACTGGGGCTGGACGTAATTTCTACCTATTTAAGCTAAAAAGGTTAATATCTAGTAGAACAGGAAGACATAGTATCTTAAGACTGTATTACACAGAGAGGATGGGCAGGGGATGTCAAACAGCAGCTGTTTAAAGGGTCACGTAAGCAAATAAAATGGATATTGGCTATGCCTAAGTTGGGTTGGAATTTAGAAGAGAGTTTCTGAGGCTTCAAAACTGTATGAATTGAAATAAAAAAGCTTCCAAGAGTTTAAATCTTAATAAAGTAAGTAACGAATTAAAAGGTAATCATGTCCTGAAAGCAGGGAAAGGCACTCCGATCCACAAAGATTGTATGTTGTGGCAAAATGCCTGATTCAGCATAAAATGTCTGATGGCATATTAGTATGTCAGAGTAGTTTCATCTGAGTTAGATTCAAGGGACTGTAATTGGGGTAAACAGAGTATTATACCTCATGAACATATGGATAGGAAGAAATGCCTTTTTTTCCAGTCCTAAAGCTGGCAGAACAAAAAATTCTGTACAAATCTGAGACTGAACTTCATGTAGCTGCTGTCAGTTTGTCAATTTAACATTGAATGAGGTAATACATCACAAAATCCAGTGCTTTCACAGACATTATTTATTAACTGAAAACATTTTTCCATCAGTTTTAATATCTAGAAATTGCTAAACTATCACAACTGTAATCAACATAACTGAGGTGTGAAAATTCAAGTAGATCTTTTGTTGAAGAATCACAGCTTTTGCTATAAAGACAACTTTAAGATTATTCTGTGCTTAGCTGATGGAGACCTTACTGACACAAGGATACTATGCTGGAATCCAACCACAATCCAATCAAGACAAAGGTATTCTTGAAGTTCATTACATACCTTATCTTTAGTTAGGAGTTGTGCTTGTTATTAGGCATAGTAAAAGGTATTATTTGTAAGAAAAAAAAGTAAACACATTAATTTTAACAGTGCTATTCTCAGAAGACACCCCTAATTTTAAACGCACAAGTGCATCAGATCAATAACTTTGCAATGAATAAAGCAGAAAGTTAAAGGATTTATACTCCACCTGCCCTGTCCCAAGAAGTACACCCACATTCAAGACTGCACTGTCATACAGAATAAATGAGATAACTTTAATTTTGACCTTAGACTGCAGTTCACAGGCAAGACATATTTTAAGTCTGTGCAATTTCAGTGGCAGATATTCTACCTGTGTACAATACCTACATTACTGTATTGTGGTACCCAGGCACCAAGTTACGACCTACCTAGTGACTCGTTCTAGCAGCTTCCTCTTCCACACCACTGTATTCTCCAAATTCAGGCAACCTGTGCGTTCAACAGCCTAAGCCAAGAAGTTTGCTATAAGAAAGTTTCTTGCAACTAGTGTAGAAATAGGCCATCCTTTTTTGTGTTCTTGATAACAAGCACATATGCTGCAACTGATAACAGTATTATATCCTCACCATCTTAAATGTGTATTTTTGGCGCATTGGAAATTACTGGCAGGGCAGTAAGTGTCCTTTAACCACCCTTCGGTTGTCGTGATGCACACACACACTCTACTGACAGATAATGTGCTCCAGACCTACCTGGTCTCAAATGTTACACAAATATTAATAAAAAATATTTAAGAAATAGTAAGTAGCAGTCAACGCTACCTTACGTGCGCTTCAAAAAAGCCCCATGAAACTCGTTCTGGCTTGCTTTTTTTCTCTCCCACCCACCCTTGTCCCCAAGTTGTGTGTTACCTGGTACTTCTTTGCCTGATTGGATAAAATATCTTAAAATATCCCATTTCATAGGGCACATTCATTAGTGTATAGGAAGAAGATCTTTGTTGCCTTCTTTTACTTATTTTTAATAATTTGTGGGTAAAGCCCCACCAAATAAAATAAATTTTGTTTCCTGTGTTGGTTAATTTGCCCTAGCCTCTGCAGTGCTGATACATTTGCCAGATTAACATTGCACATTTTTTAAAGTGCTTCTTTTGACTGCCATTAAAATAATGTTTAAACAGCATTGTTCATTTTATATTAAGGAAGCTTTATATCATCTTCTGAAGATGACAAAATAGGGAGGTGATGTGTAGAAGTCTCACCTCTAATCATGTCTCTTTAAATCTTTATTAGGTCACACATTAGCTGAGTTCAAAGGTTTTTAAACCTTCCTCCCTAATGGACATTCACCCATGTAACTACAAATCCAATTCAAGGCACAAAGCCTGTAGGAATGGAACCATCAACCTGCTCCTGTTCTTTGGAGATGGTGAGTAATGTTCCTTTAGACACTGAGCAACGTTTACATCAGTGACTGTACTTCTACCCAAGGAGAGTCACATCCTTTTCATGGGAGGGAGTTTATCTGTATTATGTCACCACTTGTACTTCCTTCACACAGCCCTATCGTGTCCCCCAAGTTACTTGTGCAAGTAAGCATCCCATCTTCCTCCTGCTACTCACTAAGCCAGCAACTCCTTGTCCTGGACTGTCTTGTTCCCGGGACTGATGGGGCTCACAGACATCAAAGACCCTGGGTATGCAAGCTGTTAGGCATCAATTACAGCTCTTTGCTCAGAAGCTCAAAGCTGACCAGGGGACAGCTCTGCAGCCAGCATTAACATGCACTGAAAAAGCTGTCCATTTGCCTGCATGGATGCCTAGCTCTGGCTAAAAGCAATTCCTCACCGTTCAGACACACCAGATTCTCCCACCGTTAAAAGAGACGTGCCTGCTTCTAAAAGAAGGTCACATAACCACATTAGAAAATGTGAGTATTTACACAAATTTCTAAAGGGAGACTGCCATCTCCAAATCCTCCCACATCTACACTTAAACTTTAGAGGCAGTAGAAAATGGTGGTCTAGTTTCCCCTTGCTATAGGTTATGATCTATTTTCATTATGCAGAAGCCTCCAAGACCTCCTCATTACATGGGGGTAATCCAAGAATAATAAATGGGCGTTCTTCTCTACTCCTTACTAAAAATTATGGACATTGTGATCACATTGCTGAAAAAACTGGATGTATAAGCGAGGTACAAGTAAAAACACATGGCAGCACAGAATACTGTACATATCTCTACACATACAGAAGAACAGCATTGCTTAGTTTTAAAGAAGGTAGAAGTTGCATTTGTACATATTTCTGGGTCAAGAAGCTTATTAGAACTACAGCATTTTTTTCCAAACTGTTGGGATTGTGCTTTTTGAAGATTTTTATAAGCCTCCAAAGCAGACGTACTTTATCTCTAAGTACTCATCGATGCCATATTTTGAACCTTCTCGCCCTAAGCCAGACTGTTTCACCCCACCAAAAGGGCACTCCACTGAGGAAATTATGCCTTCATTAACACCAACCATTCCAACTTCCAGCTGTTCTGCAACTCTCCAGATCTGAGCTGGATCTTGGGAGTAGAAATAGCCTGCCATGCAGATACAGAGATACAGGAAAGAAAATTAATATCAGGAAGAACAACTGCAGGAGACTGTGAAAAAGAGACTTACTGGCATTAAAAATCATCACCCCATAACACAAAAGCTCATCAAACCACAGAAATACATTTATCTGAGAGAGAGGCATACCTGCTAAACCCACGTCAGCTGCATTTGCTATAGCAATAGCTTCTGCTTCAGTCTCAAATCTGTCAAGAGAAAAAATACAAATGAGGCCTGCAGTTCATCTACTGTCTTCCTGACTTACTGACAAGCAGCAGCCATACCAGAAATCTTCCAAAGTGTATTTTAAACATCTAATTTAATTTTCACTTTGAGACAATGGAGGAGTTTCTACCACTTCTCTTGATCTAAACCGCAGTTAAATAGCTAAGATTGCCTTTATCCTCCCTAGATACTGGTAGCTAAAACATTTCCTTCACATGGATTAGCCCATCAATTTCCACAACTACACAAGTGCTCTCAACTATGAGAGAGAACCGTATGTTCTGCCATCACATCCAGTTGCTCTGGACAGAGGCAGGGAAGGTTTTAAGGAAAAAAAGAGAACTCTAAATCATCCTCTGTCAGAAAAACTTAGGACTAGTAGATCCCATGACAAACTGCAAGGTCCTGCCTCCTACTTCATGCCACAAATCATGAATTTGATGAACATTTTGCTGCTATCTACCCTTGCTTAACTACTGATGTAATTTATAAGAAAATAATTTTCAAAAAGTTGCAGAGATCCTAAAGTTGGGTCAAGAGAGAGAAAGCAACCACATATCCAACGTAAGTTTTCACACGTGTACCCATCTCGATCACAAGACTTACATGATCGTACAAAACCATCTTTTTGCAAACTGTCATTCAAATCTCACTTATTCAAAATAATCTTTCATGGTTGTTTTTAATTGCTATTTTCAATCTGGAACATGAATAACCTTACTTGATAACTGGTGCTAAAGGGCCAAATGTCTCCTCATGGGTGCAAAGCATTTTTGTTGTAACGTTACTAAGTAATGTTGGCTCAAAGAAATTCTTCCCCAAGCTGTGTCGTTTCCCTCCAGTCACAACAGATGCTCCTTGAGAAACTGCATCATGAATGTGTCTCTCTACCTGAGGGATGTAAAACAAAATACTCCAAGTCAGCATTTAGGGATGAACAATAGTATATTTTCCACTGAAGAAAAAATACTCCCCAGTATTAAATAGAAAATTTTGAAGAGGTTTATACTTTGCAGGAGACCATTTGCAATGTTATTTAAAGTTTCTCTTGAATTTTTACTTCTCAGTCTGACATAATTTCAGAGGGATAAATTACGAGTAGAGCGCCAGTCTCATGGATGTTAAAGATTCAGCTTTTCTGTTGAAATGAAAATATTACATCTAAGATGAGAAAAAGTCTTTGCAGGACTAAGAAATACGCCTGATATCGGTGATCAAGCACTATGAAAATGGAAGTAGTGACTGTCATTTAAAGAGAAACAGCTAACTTTCAACACGGTACTGGCAAAAACATTTTCCACCCACTACAGCTACAATTCATCCAAAGACAAGTAAGCAATGAGAAAACTAAAGCGTCAGTCTTCACCTAGAATACTGTCCTTTGAAATGACAGAGAGGCAGTTAGTGACTATATACAGTGCTTGTTCATTGTATGGATGGATGTTTATGACGCGTACACACACGCTATACTTTTGTGATATATAAAAGGAAGTCATGAAGGAAAGAAATTAAGAGTATTTTCATATTCTGTTATTTTAAAAACAGAAAAAAAATCAGGCAGCATTCAAGTATAATGGACTCAAACCAAGCCTGCACATAACTGAACCATAGTATCTCAGAAAGTACGAACGACATAATTGAATAATCTTTAATCTTACGAAGGGTAAAATACAGAAAATGTGACTTATTGTGATTTTAAAAAAATTATTTCCTGGAGTCACGAGTCATCCAAAACAGAAACCCCAAACCATGCACATAAGATTTCAAGTGATTATAGCATCCAGAGCTCTCATATTTTTAACCTTGATGTTTTACTCTGCTTAGTGATTGCCAAACGGAGGCACTGCTCTTCAAAGCAAGCTGTCTGTCACACTGCTTCAGAATTGCAGGGTCACCGCACAACTCTCACGGCGTATCCAACTGCAGTAAATGTTCCCGAGAACAGCTAGGAAGTAATCAGGAGGAATCAGTTTCTCCTAAAGGCAGAATCTCTTTTTCCCTTGAGGAAATAGGGGAATGATACATTAGCAAGCCACATCTGTTCGTCTGTATGTATACATGGACTCAGAGGAGAGAACACACTTCCAGCCACGCTGCAAACACATTCGAGCAAAACAAGCGTGAAAAAAGTGAACTGTAAATCTAAAGTTACTTTATGGATCATAAAAAGGAAATAAAGGTGTGAAAAACTAAATCTTTTCTTTATACCTTCTCCACTGCTTTTTCATTAATTAGTGGCCCTTGTGTAGTTTTTGCATCAAATCCACTGCCGACGTGTAGTTCTCTCTCTATAGCTTCAGCAAACTTTTCCACAAATTTGTCGTGGATTCCCTTTTGCACCAGGAAACGGTTTGTGCAAACACAGGTCTGAAAACAAACGTGAAAAGGAAAGTAGTTTATATTGTATTTAATCCATCCATGAATTCATTCTGGCCTTCATGCCACAGTATCGGGTTAGTACAGTGACTTGTCCTCTGCCTATTCTCCATCACCCTAAGCTGTTGCCAGGCTTTGCCATTTCTTTCACCACCCCTCTCACTTTAGAAATACAACTTCAAGAAGCTGTCAGTATGTGTGTGAAATATGCCACACTGCTAAATTTAAGTCGCTTACACTGGGAAGAGGTTTTGTGAGTTCTGCGGATTAGCCAAGGTCCAGAAGCTCCAAGAAATACCTTCTAATTAGACTGCAGAATGCTGAACTGAGCAGCAGAGCCTCAAATTACAGTTGGTGGTGTGGGGTCTTTTTTTCTAACTCCTTCATTAATTTTGAGTTTGCTTTCTTCCCTAATTTGTTTTTAAGTGCTTTCAATGGCCTACTTATTTCTGCTACCCCTTTGCTCTGACTATCCTGTTTTGATTGCTAGTCTCTCAAATGTAACTGCTGCTTTATCCTTCCATGCAGCAGGAGAGGTGCCTTTTATGTTAGATCTTGTCCAATCTGTGTCTGATCATTCAGCAGGTCCTTGTCCACATTCTATTGTTTCCCTTCTTTCTTCCCAGGATTAGTCTTATGTTTTCTTCTTGTGTTATTCAAGCAACATTTTCCCAACCAAATGAACTCACAATCCCACCAAACACTTGCTGATTCTCCAAAGTTGGAGTTTGTCAACTTCCTGTGTAGAGGCAATAGTTATAAGGCTGGAACAGTCTCCACACAGACCTGCCCATCTGACTATTCTGGAAAGTGATGCTCTTAAAATTTTTTTGACTCTAAGTGAAATACATTTGAAGCAATGTACAACTGAATCCTGTCTATCACTTTTTTAAGCTACTCATGGAAAAATCTAGCCATGAGTGTCTTAACAGATTTCAATCACCTTAACTCCTGCTGGGTGCTTTCAGAACACAGAGACTTGAATCAAAAACAGAATCTTGCAGATAGAAGCATTTCTCACAAGACTTGAAGCCATTATTTTAAGAAATAGCTAGGCACGTGTTATAAAATACAGTCCTGAGAACTGGGACAGGATGGTGTCTTTTCACAGCTCTAGTTTTCCAATGAATTTACCGCTAACAAAATGTATGACAAAATGCCTTATCACTTCTCATGCTCTTGCAGGGGGTCCCAGTGAACATCCTCTTTCCCAGTGATATTATTGCCTGCCATGTATGTCGTGAAAGTACCTGGGATTTTACAGTGTTGTTGTTCAGACTGGCTGATAACTGACTTGAGTGCCCAGAGACACGTGTGACTCCAGTATCTCGCTCTTCACAATGAAGTGTCCTGTGCTTTCCTTTTACATAAAATAACTTATTTACAGCTAAAACAGTATGCACAGCTCCTCATCTTCCAGAATCAAGGACAAAAAGTTACTCTTACCTGCCCCGAGTTTCTGTACTTGGAAGCAAGGGCTCCTGCAACAGCACGGTCCACATTGGCGCTGTCAAACACGATAAAAGGAGCGTGTCCTCCAAGCTCCATGGAAACTCGCTTCACAGTGCCAGCTGCGTGTTTCAGCAGTACCTGCAGGCAACAGGGGAGACACAGAAACCTGTACCTCCACCAGATGTGAACTGTGGAACCACAGATGGAAGGCACTGAAAAACTAACTCTGTCAGGGAGTTAATCTGCATCTTCTCTATAATGCTAGACCATCTGTTTTCTCCTATGACAAAAACAAGGACTAATTTCCTTCATTAAAATCTTTAGAGATTAAATTCTGGCCAAGAAATAATGAAGAGAAGGATTTTCATCAACTCCAGTTCAGGTCATATATCTGATCATATAATCATTCTTGTTTGGGTTTTTTTGTTTTGTTTTGTTTGGTTGGGGTTTTTTTCAGCAAAAGTATCTTGACTACTCTTAAAAGATTTTTCCAAGGTCTGACAGAATTTGAGATTAAGATTTGCCTTGATACCAGACTTTTCATTCTGCATACAGCCATCCCATAGAATTCTGTCATCTGGCCACACTCCACAGTTTTATTGATTTTGTTGGAGATGGTGACAAGATTGCTTATTGACTTATTAGGAGAGATTCAAGGGCATCACTTCTCTAATGCTTTCTCTAACTACAGAAGCCATTACTGAAGAGTACTTTTGAAACTCAATTTCAGTGCTAGTATGTTGTCACTATGATATGAAACAAGAGTATCTTGTACAGAACTGTTCACATTAGAATTTAATAAAGGGCAGTTATCCAGAAGTTGCACACAGGCATCTTTCTGTGAAGTACTGATACTAAAGTAAATAGTCAGTATCTCAAGAAGTTCACAATTATTTGCACAATCTGTGTACAGTAGCCAGAAAAGAAGGCAGCTCTATGTAAAAGCACACACTTTCCCCCTACCTTTCCAGTATAACCACAGTAATAATCTTCAAGGGTATTCTGTGCACTTATGTACCTTTCCCGTTGCTGTAGAGCCAGTAAAAGATATTTTGGCTACCAATGGATCAGTGCACAGAACTTCCCCTACAGCTGGTGCCTGTCGTCTGGAACAAGGAACAACATTATATACTCCTGCTGGAATTCCAGCCTGGTTTGCAAGCTGCAACAAGAGAAACACAGAATTTGCATTATCAGTGCATTTTGTATGAGGAATAGTCACTTAATGTTTGTTTATTGTTTTGAAGAAGACAGTCCGTGAGTCAATGGAAGCCAAAAAGTGCACAGGACAACTAGTAACAGATGTCACGGTGCCAAGAGAGCAGCTTCACTCTGGTTTAAGCTGGCTGTCATTCAAAGTAACTGAAGGAAAGATATAAAGATGTTTTGTGTAGCTAAATGGCTTGGGTCCTCTTTGAGGCTCTAGACCATATTAGAGCCAACTTTCAAAGATTCTTACTAAACTAAAACCTCTGGATCAAGTCAGCCAGTCGCCTCTTCTTCATGCATGAAGCCGGGCAGAGTTATCCTCAAAGCTCATCTGACTCCCCATTTACAGCTTCAGTCCACTGCTAAGGTAAAGCTTGACATAAAAGCTCACCTCCCCAAGAGCTAGTGCTGATAAAGGTGTGTCCTCTGCAGGTTTCACAACCACCGTACAGCCAGCCGCCAGAGCTGCACCAACCTTCCGGGTAATCATAGCGCTGGGGAAATTCCACTGGGATGGGAGAAAGAAAGCACAATCAAGCTTGGGAAAACTCTGCCTCCTGTTTGTGCAGAAATAGCGGACTTTTTCTGTAATTACATGATAACCTGAACACATCTGCGCGATGTGCTTTGTCCCAAGTGAATGTTACAAAGAAGCCCTGCTAATCCAGGAATAAGCAAGTACAAGGTAGAAATGAAACTTTACAGGGGTGTTTTCCAGGGCTGGAGGAGCCAAGGCCACAGCCCCATGCTCTTGAGCTGAAAACCTTCACACGATTTGAAAAATTCATCTATGCTTACTGGGGTTATAATGGCTGCCACTCCTACTGGCTGCTTCAGCACCAGGATTCTTCTGTCTTTCGCAGACGCTGGAATGACATCGCCATAAACCCGGCGAGCTTCCTCCGCAAACCACTCCAGAAACGAGGCAGAATACAGGATTTCACCCTCTGCTTCTTTCAGAGGCTTCCCCTTTGATTAAATCAGATTGAAGATACACTGTAAGAGGCAGGCTGAAGCAATAAAAATAAATTCAAGTCATTAAGGAGTTTCTGTTCTTTTCAGAGCACTTTATAACCCCCTATCACATACACTACAATCTCCAAAAAGGATTATATGACTGCAGCCGGGATAGTTGAGAGGCTTCAATATACCATCATTGTGTAGTCAACATTTCTGCTTTGTTGCCTGGATGTTGCCCAAGAGGAGGGGCTGGAACAGCAAATGTAGCATGGGTTTATTTACAACTCTGCAGTTACAGAGCTACAAGTTGCAAGAGGCAAGATGCAAGGGTTGCAAGATGCAAATCATGGCAAAACAGTTACAAGTTTATGCCAAGGACATTTCCTGTGGGGAGTATTGCTTAGGTCTGCCTCCAGCTCTGATCCCACGGACTGAATTACCATTAGCAGCGGGGACACCACAGAGGGGCTGAAGAAATACCTTCCAGCATGGTTTTATCCAAAAGGACACCAGTCTGTGAGCTCCCAGACTGCTCTGTGCTGCAAGCCAATGCGCACTGAGTGAATCCAACCTGGACACTTGCTTTAATAACGCTGCATTTTTTTCCGAGTCAATGAAACTGACAAAACACAAACATTTCTGCCCTGAAGACCATGCTTTAGGTTGATGTTTGCTTTTGCACGCCATGAAGCACAAGGCGGGTCTGATTTCCACTGTACTGTTAGGTACTGCTGTGTTCAAAATAAGGTACTGTATGTACATCAGAGAGAGAAATGGCTGAAATGCACTGACCTAACAGCACGATGCGGATGCACAGCGCGTCCCCTCGCTCAACTTTTTCTAAGGAACAAAGACAGGTAGAGCGGGCAGCTGGTGAAACACATACCGGGCGTTCTGACGGCTGCCAGCGCCGTTTTATCTCCACGTTAGCAGCCCGGTGTTATGGCCGGGAAGGGGCTGAGGGCCGGCAGCAGCACCCACGTTCCGGGGGCGCGGCAGGCCCCGCCGCCCCTCGTACTCACGTTCTCGGCCGTCACGATCCTCGCCAGGTCGTCCTTGTTCTCCACCATCAGCTCGTACCACCTGCGGAGGCGCAGGCTCCTCTCCTGGGGAAGAGAGAAGGGCAGCCGTGGCCGCCGAGCCCCGGAGACGAGCTCCTGCGAGCAGCACGGGGAGAAGCGCCCGGGCCGCCCCTGACGCCCAGGCCGGCGCCATCTTCCAGGGCCGCTCGCTGGCTCACCTTGGCGGGGAGGCGGCTCCAGGCGGCGCCGGCCTCGTGCGCGGCCCGCACGGCCGCGCTCGCCTCGGCCGCCCCGCAGTCGGCCACCCGGCCCAGCTCCTCGCCGCTGGCCGGGTCCCGCACCGGGAAAGCCGCGGGCGTCTCCACCCACCGGCCGCCCACCAGGCCGCCCCGGCGCACCAGGGCGGCGGGCAGAGCCCAGCTCTCGCGCCGCACCGCCGCCGGGCCGGGGGGCGGCGGGGGGAGACGGAGGCGGCGGGCGGCGGGGAGCCGCGGCAGCAGGCTCGCCATGGCCGCGCAACGCGCCGCGCCGCGCCGCCCCGGAGGAGGAGCCGGGCCACGGCGGGGGGGAGCCCGGTTTGCCTGCCCCGGTGGAGGCGCCCCTCAGGGAGGCAGAGGCGGGGGCGCGGGGGCCCGGCGCCCCCGGGGGCCCGGCCCGCCTTGCCTTCGGGCTGCGGGGTGGCTCGTAGCCGTGTGCCTGCCGGGAGGCCCCTCAGGATTCTCCACACCCCGCGCAGCAACCGGGCTTCCCGGCTGGGTCGCCAGACCCAAAAGCATGTCTGCAGTGTCCGCTCGCCGAAGCTTCGGAATGCGTACTGCCCACAGCTCGTGTGTTTCTACTAATACCGCTTTGGTGATTGGCCTTTTTTTTTTTTTTTTTTTTTTTTTTTTTTTTTTGTGTGTGAAATCTGGCGCGGCTGTTGTAATGCAAGTGTATCGCAGGAGCTGTAGGAACTGCGGGAGAACGCTCCTCTCCGCTGTGCTTTTCTACTTTAACAGCAACCTCGCTGCCGCTGTGCAGTGGTGGTAGTTACACTGCCCAAACCCTGCAGATACTACAGAATTCAAGAGGGGAGAACACCTGTAGCTTATTTATTGTATTATAAATTACTTCAGTTGAGGTAAAGAAAAGCATTGGTAGAAAATAGCCTTGTCAATATGCCGGTCGTTTTCTTGCTGTGTCAGCAGCGTGTCCGAAAGAAAAGCCATGCTCTGTAACCTACGTTTCAAAGGTCACAGTGCTACAGCTCCAGGCTTCTGAAAATCACAGTTTGAGCCAGCATCATGCCTGGTTTGAAGATCTGGTCTGTTTTGCTGATTATACTATACCATTTCTGTCAAAGATGTATCCTGAGTGGAATTTCAACACACGTTGAAATAGGTAAGATATGTTAAGGAGTGAATTTATGTATCTTTTGAGTTGCTTCAGAAGAGAAATAAATTCAGATTCGTCTGGAAAGCAAAGGGATGAAATAATGCTAAAGTAATGAGCGTTCTACGTAATTAAAAAAAAAATGTAACATAGGATAGATGAGTAGTTTGGTTTTGAAGTTTGAAACTTTACTGGTTTTATAAGCAAAATGCTTGAATCAGTTTGGTTGCACAGTTTTCCATTTTCTAAATCACGGGCGTTATGTAACTGGAATGTTTGTGTCAGTGAGTCTTAGGCAGGAAGAGTTTGATTTGGAGAAAGAAAAGGAATACTTTACACAAGTTATGGGATTGCTATTTTTAAACTAGAGAATAACACAGATCATTTGTGGTAGCTCTGTTTTCAAATCACCATGTATTATTTTTGCCATACCTACATAAAATAGATGAAATGCTGTAATGGGTTTGTATCTATGACTAACATCGTGAACATTGTGTTCTGTGTCTCTTTCCGCTGGGTTGCTATCTGTAGCCTGAACAGCCTAGATTTGTAGACAATGAAGGACAGAACTGAGTGAACATCAAAGTGGGGAAATATTTCTGTTTTGAATTTCTTGTTTGCATGTGTTATTTTTAAAATCTGATTTCTGCTGTAGTTCTTGCAGGAACACTCTCGAGCAGTGTGAGGTTATTCTGAAACGTTTAGACTGACAGTTTTAACTGTTTGTTCTTCTGTTTCTGATTCTTAATCTGTTGCTCAAACAGATAGTAAAACATACGAAGTTTTCTCTATTCTGGTAATCTTATCAAACTTTCTGTGCTGCATACATGCAACTGAACAAATGGGATTATTCACGGCGTTCATTTGAGACTATGCTCTCTTGCTGAGTGTTGTACCCTTGATCAGCATCCTGCAAGCATTCACTTTTCCTAACGATATGTCAGGAAACCCGGAGTGATCAGTAGGAGTCACACTGCCTGAAGTTAGGCAAGCACATACGTCTTCACAAGCTCGGGACTCTAATTACTGAGTATGAGCTTCTGAAAACTTGAAGTAACAGATTTGGCAGAATATAGACTGTACTTGCAAGAAATCTACAAAGAGAAACAAGAGCAGATCTGTCCCAAAGCAGTAATTTTTTTTTTTTTTTCCTAATCAAGGAAGCATATTGCAGAAAACCTACATGTATATAATGTAAAGATCTCGGTTGTCTGAGGAGTAGTGTGTACACAAGGGTCCTAGTCCTATTTGGGTCCTAGTTTACAACAAATTTTGTCCTTTTGTCTGGAAATGACATTCAACTGGGATCAGCCCTGATGCTGCTAAAAGCAGTGCTTTTATTAACGTGCAAATAGAAGTCCATGGTGATAAGATACTGCAAGTTATTACCAAATCCAAACACCGAGTATTCCAGGAAGAAAACCCAACAAACTGCAGAAAGGACCTCCTCCGACTCAAAACCAGCACCAAAGTCTATCCTGCACAGACTTCTGAAAGTACACATAAAATGGTGAAAAGCTCTGCCTGTTCAAAATGTTGATCATGTTCCGTGTGCTCAGCAGAGCTGTGCTGTGTCCTACTTGTCACGGCACTGCTGCTGGAGGCAGGTCTGAGTGGGGAGGTTCTTCCTCCCCCCCCGCCCCCAGGGGCTGCTGTCAGACCCACTGGGCTCTCTGCAACTCTGGGGATCCATCTCAAAATTCCTTGTAAAGGCGACCTTGTAGGACCTGGGCTCATGCGAATGATGAGAAAAGTTGGGGGGGATGGGAGACAGGAAAACCAAACTGCCGAACTGAGACACTGCCATACTGGAAAGAGAGATGTGTGTTGAAATGTCTGAGCCTTACAATGTTAAGACTTTTTATTATTATTTTTAAGTTATTCCTGTTTTGGTGCAAGATTGGTCCTTAAGGTATCTTAACATATTTGTATAAGGGTGGTTTAGGTCAGTGGATAAAATTCAAAGTGAAAGATTGTTCAAATCCATAGAGTTTTGTGTAAATCTTATTCCAGAATGAGAGGGTTGGTTTTTTTGTTTTTTTGTTTTTTTTTTTTTTGTTTTGTTTTTTTGTTTTTTTTTTTTTTTGTTTTTTTTTTTTTTCTGTGTTGTGATTTATTTGAGAAGGATCAAATTAAATTCAGCATATTCTGGGCTATCTTGATCAGTCTTAGTTTATAAATAGCTTCAACTGAAGAGTAAAACTTTGTGTGGGAGGGTAAGATGATAACCCATGCATTCAGTTTCAACCAAATAATTTTAGAGGCAATGTTGGGTGTTTTTAGAATAGCGTTAACAGACTATCCCTGGGATCTAACATTAATTAGAAGGAGGCTTCATTAAAGGAAGGTGATGTCAGTTTGTTTCATTCTCTTCTTACTGTTCCTCAATAAATATTTTGGCAGTAAGAATGTCTGCCTGTTCAGTAAATAAATAGTATTATTTACTTTGCCGATTTTAGATTTTTGTTGGTTTTCCTACATGTTAAAAAATGAATCAAACTGTTAAACATCCGCAGTGATTCCTAAGGTACCTTTTTCAATGTTAAGGGCAACAGTGAAACTTAAATACTGTTCAGGTGGATCCTTTACAGCTCCAACTTTGATCCATACCCTATACGTGCTGGGTGTGATTGTATCAGTTCATGGCAGTAGCTCAGCTCTGGACATGGGTTTTTTTCCCTGCGGTTCTGGCTTTGTTGGTCAGCTTGGAAGCTGGGGTTTGGAGAGACACTGATGAGACCTCCGTGCTCAGACGTGCCACAGAAACAGCATTTTCTGATTAGCTCCTGAGGTGGGAAAGCACACTCTCACACAGAATGTTTTGAGAAAGCATGTTTCATGCATCTGTGCCACTTGGCTTAGGTGTGACAGTGCAGTGTATTCTGGTTTTGGTGATGCTTCTAACAAAACATGGGCCTGGCCATAGTACCTATAAATCACTACTTCAATATGTTTTTTTTCAGCACATAGAGCTCTGGAATTTTTCATTAAGCATGAAGGGAATGTTAATTATAGACAGGTAGGAAGCACATTATTATTTAATAGTATACATCTTTCTTCTGAATGCTTTTCTGTCTTCTTGCCTTTCTTTATTATTTATTCTCAGTAATACATGTATAAATACTGTGCCTGGACTGTATTTTTACCTTTTCTGTTGAAAATAGTTTGACTCCTCCTGAATACTATTAGAAATCTGTAGCTGTTATAATAATGTGTATATACCATGTGTGGTTTCTCACATGTTTTCACATCTTCCTAAGTCATACCCTCCACAAGTAGTTGTATTAGAAGAACCAGTAGAGGACTTTGGAAAGGACATTTAATAAACATAAGGACAGCAAAATGACAGCAAGGTTTTGAATTTAGTCCACCACATATGTATCACTTAACTGATTTCTGATTGGTGCAAATAGCTTTTTCTTTCATGGGCTGTATCCAGCAGAGCTCTGTGAGCATACGGACTGTTTTCATAAGCAAAACACACACGTGTTTTGTGTTACAAACATTTTCCATATCTTTTCGGACAATGTAGAAAAGGCCATTTTATATAACTCGATCTTTTATCAAAGTAGGAGATCACTCAAGGGAAGTATTCCCATTGTCCGCTGTAGACAGCGATGCTGTGGTTTGGAGGATGGAAATTCGCAGCCCAGGTTTTGTGTTTGGTTCAAGAGAAGGAGGTCACCTTCAGGAGGTGACTTCACCAGCACCTAAGTTAGATTACACAAATGCTTTCCTAAATGGCCTTTCAAATTACAGTACATACCGACAAGTTTAGTTTTGCTTACAAGGATTTAGGTGGGGGGGTGAGGGAGGGGGGAAAGGGGAATGATGGAGGATAATGACAACACTGAAATAACATATTTTACCAAGATAATAGTTGTATCTTGCTGGGTATTTACATTTTCTCATTGATATTAGTAGTAAATTCTGTTTTTGTGCTATCCATTAGCATTCTGATTCATCTTTTCCCAGTTGTTACTAAACCACCAAGATGCATTTCAGGCTGGGAGCATTTATCCTGATGCCTTTTATCCTTCAATCTGCAAAAATGGTAAGGAAAGCTTTATAAGTCCAATATTGTAACAAACGTATTTTTATATGGAAATCCTATAGAATTTAGTTGGGTTGAAAATATTTATGCTATAAGAAATGAAGTATGGCCAAAAATACTTCCTGCAAAAATATCCACCATTTTTGTTAGTAGTTTGAGCTTTTTTTGTAGAACTTTAAAAACGTTTTCAAATTTATTATATTCTTATAGAAAGTAACTTTTGGTTAAATTTATATATTTATTGTGTAGAGCAATTTGATGGAAGGATGCTGTTTGACTAAATTAAATCAGATTACTGAGTACTGCCTTGGGGAGAAACTGAGAGGACGACATGATCTTTTGCCTAAGTCTTAGGGAAAGCCTAGAGCTAATTTCTATATTAGGAAGTATTAGTGTCTTTCAGGTCAGGCACAAAGACAATAGGAGAATATGAAAACACCCCACAAAACCAAAACAGCTTAGGACTTGCTGGGGGCATACTAGTAACATCCTAGTTTAAAGCCTTTCTTTTCCAGATTGCTGTGTTTTGCTCTTTACTGGTTCCTGTTTGAAATGAATGTCAGTCTTCATTTTGCTGCTTGCAGATCTGAAGACTGCACCAGAGTATTAGTGCCCTGTACAAAGTCTGTCTTGACTTGCAGGTGGTCCCCTGATTTTTCAACTCTGGCAGGTCAGCTCTTGATCATAACCGGCTTCTCCAGCAACACTGGAGCTATAAAACAGCCATCTAGGGCTTGCTCCAGGATACTTTCTGCTAACGCGGTAAATCTGGATAGTGAGCAATTAGCAAATGGCACAAAGACAGCCTGTCCTCCAGCAACAAGCTATTAGGATGTTAGGCATATGCCAGAGACGAGGCAGTGATACACAGTTTGTGTGAGGATATCTGGCCAATTGATTGTTCAGATCTTACTGGAAGACTAAAGTATGAGTGGTGGTTTATTTTAGTGGGTCATGCAAATTCAGATCCATTAAATTCAAAGCATTCTTGGGATCCTTGTTCGATTTGCTTCATCTTTTACATGTTTTTCAGCTGAGTGCCAGTGCTTTCAATTATCTTGGTATTTGGTTTTCCTGCCTCAAACTGCAAAATCCTCATTTGTCTTTCCAAGGATACTTTCCCCATCTTTTGTCATCGCCTGCTCTCCTTTGAGTCTTAAAGTATACAGTGGCAGCTAGACTTCTCATTGTTTCTCAGCTGTAGGTTGTTGACGCTGACTGCTAGTTTTGCCAGCTACAGGCTGCTTGATTTATATCCTGATAGGCAGGTTACCCCATCCAGGTTGTCTAACAGGATCATCTCTGTTGTCATGTCATGGAGATCAGTTTGCATTCAGATTGCCTCTGCTCTGGCACTGGGTTTGCCTCCTGTCACTCAGCAGGTCACTGTTCCTGGTCTAACATCTCGTTAGATGCTAACATCTTGTCCCAGATTTCAGTCTTCCTTTTCAGGTCTGATGTTCTCCTGGGATTTCTTCAATTCCTACCTTGATTATTTCCATCTACCTCAGTTTTCCCTTTTAACAGTTTTGACTTCTGCCTTAAACCAGGCCAGTGATCAGAGCCTCTCCATCTGCAGCCTCCAGCCTACATTCCTTCACTACAGTTGAGGTCCATCTCACCTTATTTTATACTTAGGTCGCTTGTCAGCAGTCTCTTTAGTCAATGTGGAAGAAACCGGTACCTCTGTGGATCTGAGCTGTTTTAACTCTGTGCCTCCAGGTCCAGAGCAAAGCCATCCAGACTGTCTTTCCAGGCAGGAGACAGACTTATATGTAGAAGTCCGCTCTGTGCATGTTTAATTTTGGTCTAACAAATCCCATCCTTATGTTACCTAGTTCAGCTGCACTGTAAAATGTCAGGAGGCCAGGAGGTGACCCACAAGGTCTGCTTTCTCAGTTTCAGCATTTAATATAATTTCATCTTCTGCAATTTCACAGTTCTGCGTGAACAAACACATACACTTCCTCCAAGCTTATTGATGGTCCAAACAATCCAGCTCCTGCCTATCTTCTTCCCTCTTAGAGGATTTGGTCTTGTCATGTCGGCATCACTTTGCCCTTAGCTTCATGTAGGTACACAGAAATTTTTAGGCAAGGCCACTGTTAGATCCTACATAATCTCTTCTGCATAAATCCAAGTGAGAGTAATAATTGGTGTTTCAAAGGAAAACATGATTTTTCCTGCTTTCCTCTGCCCTTCTTCTGCTCCTACACTGACTGTACTGTGGCAAGTTTGCCTTTCTGTTGAAAACGATGATGACATAGCCCTCCTCCAGCCCATGGAAACTGATACCTGTTCCAAAGCATGATATTTTGAGTTGGCTGACACACCCACCAGCTTTTCTGCCATACAATTTGATGCATTCGTTTGGTCAACAGCTTCTCTGTCGGGTCTCTTTACCCTCTCCACTTGGGAGGCAGTTTTTCATTGTACTGTACCTACTCACAGGCACAGAGAAAGGGAGCAGGCACTAAATTTTGAGATGCTTCAAACCAAAATCATAGAAGGTAAATCTAGTATCTCTTTTAACTGTATAAATCATATAAAAATACAGTTCATTTGGCTCTTCTCATATAAGTGGATTGCAAAATGTATCATCTGTATGATACGAAATTGAACAAAATACTGGGGGGGGGGTTATGGAGAAAACCTTTTCTTTGTTGTTTTTTTTTTTTTTTTTTTCCTTCCCCCCCACCTCACCAAGAATAAATCAAATACTGATATAATTTTATTGCAATAGGAATATTCCATGATGTGTCTGAAGATACTCACTGGTCACCATTTCTCAGTGCAAGTATTCACTACATCAGAAGGAATTATCCTCAGCCTTGGGAAGAGGTAAGAAATGTCATTAACTTTTGACTTTGCTTCCTGTTTTTTCCTTCACCTTCACTTGTTGCAATTTCATCCTTTGGGAAGTGTAGAAAAAAATACACGTTTTAAATTAAAGTCTCTGCTGATAAAGGAAAATTTGAAATCCCGTTTTTAATTTATGAGACAAAAAAGTTACAGTTTCCATACAAAATCTATCAGTTATCTCCAGTGTGGTGTGGTGCTTATGATACATTTCATAGGTACAAACTTTCAAATGTGATTGGTGGTCTTGCATTATTGTCAGTTCTGGTTGAGTGTTTGCCACTTAAAAAAAAACAAGCGTCTTTTAGAATTCTCACTTGTGTAATCTTGGACTCAGTCCTGATTTGCTCTTGTTTATGGCATGTGAGGTACACAGGAAAAGAGGAAAAACAAATTGTCAAAGGGAGAATGATTTTAAAGGTAATACTGTTTTCTGTGCTGGAGAATTTGCTGTTCTCTCTCTGATCAGAAAGTCATAAAGGTGGAGAAGCATTTGAGAGCATGCAGTCTTTAAAACCTAAACAAGTCTGTGTGCCTTTTTATTGGCTGCTGGTGGTACTGATCTTGAAAACTATTAACCTGCAGCAAGTACAAATTCATCAAAAACCATGATTCAATTACAGATTTTTAAAAGACCTCTGAAACTTAGTGATTCAATGTGGAGAATTCTTTTCTGGAGAAATGAAGTTTCTGTTGCTGATAAATTTATTCCAAATAACTTTTCTGTTTGTAGGAATGAGTTATTTCATACCTGGGCTTTAATCAGGTACTTTTACAGTGAACAGCACTTGCACAGGAATGTCTTTCTCTCCTCTGTGTGCCTGCACAATGCCCATGGTGGCAGAGAGGGTTCACTCCTTGGAAGTGGAAGTGGTTGTCCCCAGTCCAGAAAAACACTTTAGTACACATCTAACTTGAATTACACAAGTTGTCCTGACATCAATCATGTCATTCTATGGCATTGGACTGTATGAAGTGTTTAAAGCTTCTCAAGCCACAAAAAGTGACTCCAGCATCAAGGAATGAGCAGTCAACACTTTGTCATGCTAAGTTCCTAGATTGTAAGAGTTTCTCACCTATATTCCTGTATAATGCACTTATGTAAAATGCTCACCTCTTCTTAAAGACAGGAGTAAAATTACTGACCTTACTACAAGTGGCTTGTTGTTGTGTAGGCTACAGAGAAGCTGGTGGCTTTCCTGTTTGGAATTGCCTCACATATGGTGGCAGATGTTAGCTGGCATAGCCTGGGCATCGACCAAGGATTTCTGAAGGCCATGGGAGAAGTAAGCCCATATTATTTTATTTATTGATATAACTGGATTTATTGGGATGAATAGCTTAGCTTTGGACTCTGGAGGGGAGGTAAGAGAAAAGCTGGAGGCCTGTTTCTGGAAGATTTTCAGAGGGACATAGTGTCACGAACACTATAAGAACAAAGTTGGTGAGGTTTGGGACCTGTAAACTTCAGGGTTGCTTGGACAATTTGTTTCTGCTCATGTGTTTGTATGGAAGGATTAATAAAATACATATGGGAGGATGAGTAAAATAGCAGACAGTTCTCTTGGTTTTGTCTTTCTCCAGATTGATTTTCATGGTTCATACTCTGAAGCTCACAGTGTTGGCGATTTTGGTAATGTTTCTCTTTGCTGATCATAGATCATTCTATTGGAATAACTGCTCCCCTTCAAAGCCAGTGGGTGATTCTGGCTCTTACCCTGTACAACGCAGGAGCCAAGAACGAGTCATATGGACACCGTGTTCTCACTCTGTCCCATGGCTTGCAAAGCCCTGCCATACCTGCCCTCATGCTCTGTGTTTCAGGAGGTGTGATAGGGCACGTGGACACTTGTATTAAAGCCAAACACAGGCTGAAGGATGCTAAAGTTTAAATGGAGTCACTACTATGGTTTGAAATTTTACATTGTTTTTATTCTCTGGAAGTATAAAATATGCAGCATACTTTCAGGTGAATCATTTATGTATTCTAATTACATAGCTGGAGGATCTACCATATAAATATAGGTAGCATAGCCATACATAGCTTCATTCGTGCTGCTATTCATGATAGATACTTCATGGGTTTGGTTTGTTGAGCTTCATGGGTTTTTTTCGTTCTTCCGTCTGCAGGAGGAGATATACTGAGTCAGTTTGAGCTGGACTTCAGTTATCTGGCATCAAACTGGTAATAATTATCATAAAATTTAATAATTATTTCTGCTTACTCTCAATAATTGCTGTGTTTTAACAAAATTCTGTCCCTCTTTATCTTTCTTTCAAAATAAACCCTTGCAGCTATTTGAATTTTTCTGAGTTTGATATTCCTTATATGCATGTTTACCATTCCCTGATGTGAAAAACTGGAAGGACATAAGAAAAAAAGGAGTTTTATGTATAGGAACACAGCAAGAAAGATTAGATTCTTTATCTCTGAAGGGAATTATAAGTAATTACATGTAAAATAATCAGGAAAAAAGGATTCCTGGAATGTCCTAGTAATTAGTTAGATAAATCTAACTTAGATTTTCATTTAAAGTTTTGGAAGTTGAGGGTGTTTATGGTTATAGATGCTGTGGAATTCAGCCAGGCTTTAAAAGCATAAAAAGAAGCTGCAATTTTAGATATACACATTTTTTTTTCTCACAATTTTTAACTGAAATTAAAACTCATACGTCTTTTTTTCTACTGATAAAGTAGGTCATTTGAGTAATTTTGTTCAAGTAGGATATAATTCATCTAGGTGTAGTAGGCACAGTTCATTAATAAAACTCTGGCACAGCTGTGGGAAAAGTCTGTTTGTCGAGGAGTAGATTTGGCATATCAGAGAGTTGGAGAACATCCTCCAAGACTGTGTGATCACCAAGACAGGGAACCAGTGTGGGGCGTGTGGAAACAACCAGCAGTAGCCATAAGGGAATGGTTCTACAGGTTTCTGTCTTTTAACCTAAACGAGAGGAGAGAGTGGTGCAGAGAGTAACTGCACCTGCAATCCTGGTCTTTCTGGCATTTGTAAATCTTCATGACTTCTATAGTCTTTGAAATTTAGCGTATTTTAAAGCAGGCTATTGTTATTACAAAAACTATAATCTTCTATCAGATGATGTGGAAAATCTCTTGTTATAATACCCTTGTCTTGATTTTTAGGTATGTACCTGTCAAAGACCTAGCAGCTATCTATAAGGAATTTTATGGAAAAGAGATCATAACTGAGAGCACAATTACTGACTGTACTTACCTGCTCTTTCTTGAACTGTAAGTCAAATAACTTTGTCTGGGTTTTCAGAAGTGAAACAGTTGTAGGAAAATTATGACAATCTTATTTTGAAATGCCTTATTAATTGAGGCCAGCAATACGGATTCCCTACTAGACTCCAAAATCATAAAACACCTGAATTTTTTTAATGGCTATAATACAAATTTGGACTGCTTAATGACTGTTAAATTCATTGTGACACCACTGATTCAATGTCTTACATTAAACAGCAAAGTGCATTAAATAGCTATTTATGCCTATTTGTTTGAGAACAGCTGTGTCTTCAAGCACCATTGCATTGTGGCATGTTAGCAATATAATTTTCATGTACTGAAGGAGTAGTGTACATACCTAAATAGGTGGCTTACCTACACTTTATGTAGATCCTTTCAAGACCAAGAATAATTCAAAAGCAAGTTTTGATATCTGGCAATATCTGCTTTCGAATTTTCTAAACAGCCTAACTATATCCTTTATTTTAGTTAATTACCGATAATCACACAGCATTTGCAAACACTGTGAATCCCTCCAAATTAAGAGCAGCAATAAAGTTAATATCATTACTTCTCACATTACAGCTTTAAAAAATATATAAACAACCAACAGGAAACTGTAATTACTTGCATAGTATTTACCATACAGAAGCCTTGAAAAGAACTGTTTAAATAATTAAATATTATTAAATGAAGCAGATTTATTTCTGAAGATTTTTTTTTTGCTTTCAGGCATGGAGAAAGGCTTGCTGTTGCCAAGGTTGGTTTTCTGTTTTCTTTGTAAAAATAAATATACGGCATGAAGATAAGAAATCCATCTAAGGATGTTGTTTGTCGCTCAGCTTTTTCCAACTTATGCTAGTAAATCTCCATTTCTGGTGGAGAAGTTCCATGAGTATTTCCTTGGAGGGGTCGATGACATGGCATTCTGGACAAACAATATTTTTGAGCTGACAAGCCATATGCTGGAGAATGGAACCAGGTATCGCATGTTTTCTGCAATATGAAGCGCAGTAATCGAGTTCTGACACCCATTTAATTGTTCTTCTGAAGGCAGGTTCTCTCCTAGAAGAGGGGCTGAGTTTTAAATACCCTCACTTGGACAGAGGGATTTCTGTGGCTGTCTTTTACCCAGGTGCGCAGGGTTACACAGGCCTTGAGTTCACATTTGTTACATGTTCACGCTGCTTTCCCCAGGCAAGGCTCTGGCGTGCCCAGCTGATAGTGACAGGGAAAATTTGGGGCATTCTTTAAGACATACTCAAGGGCCTGCTTAAATGTTACATAGCTGTGCCCTGAGGTTCTGCCTGGCCTGGCAGTCTGAGCTGTGGCTGTGGCTTCTGGCTGTTGTCATCAGCCAGCAAAGAGGTCCCTTCCTAGGGGAGGTCAGATATTGCATTCAGACACTTTAGGCAAGTAGGATTAGAATGAGTAACAGTATACATTCTAGTATAGGAAGCTCAGGCTTGTACTCAGAATGTTTTTATCGAAGTTCTAGTCTTGTAGTGCTCTATTATAAGTGTAACCTCACTGTAAATAAATTTATAAGACCAACAATGACAATTTATCCATCCATTTATACAGAAAATATCACTGCAGCTATTTTGGGAAAAGATGTTTGAAAAACTGTATGGTACAATCTGTTGCATTCTTTGTTCCAGAGTGGCACTTTCATTAAAAGTGCTTTAGATTAATAGAATTAGCAGGACATGCTACAGTAACTTTCCTTTAGGTGTTATATAAAGACATGTAAGATTCATACAGAACCTAATCAAGGTCATTAAAATAAATATCAAAGGGGGTTTTAGGGATTATAATGATGCTCTGATTTTGAATAATCAGGGTTTCTTGAGAAACCTGATGACTTCTAACAGAGGAATCAATAAGGATAAAAGTTGTATATTTAGTTTCGCTTCCGTTGCGGGAAAATCTTTAAAATGCATTCTGCGTATTTCTTTAGTGGCTGCTTCCTGCCTGAGAACCCTCTGTTTATAAACTGCACCGAGGAGCACAAGGACAGCTACGTGTAAGTATAGCTCTGAAGGTTCAAAAACTTACTGATGGGAGGAGAGTCTTCCACTAATGTGGACAGTGAGCTGTTGAAAATTAGAGATCTTTTGGTTTATCTTTTTGTGTGTGAATTTGAGGTTCTCTTAACATGAATCAGTAAGTTTTGCATAGAGGAACTGTGCAGAACCTAGGAGAGACTTTTGCCTTCCAGCCTAAGGACAAGAATACTTACCTAGCACTTGAAGCGCTAAGTCTTCACACTTTATTTGCTTGTCAGTCTTTGTTCTGCTAATCATGAAAATACCGATTCATGTTTACTGTTACCATAGCTAAATTCTCTCCTGATTCACGTACAGAAATGTGGAAGTCAGCTGTTCAGAGTACAAATGTATGTATTCTTCTAGCAAACATCTAAAGAGAAACCACCTTAACTGGTATCTCTTGAGAACTCCATTTATACATGGGAGAAATGGCTACCTGATTGCATGCAATATGTTTGCTTCTCCTAGCTTCAGTCAGTAATTCAGTTATATTAATTGTTATTATTGTTGCCTTTATTTTAGCAGAAACAAACAATCAAACCACGAACGTCACCAGAATACAACTTCTTTGCTTACAAAAACACTTGAAAAGAATATAAATTATACAGAGAGAGGGGTTCACTTCAGCATACAATCTTGGGCAACAGTAAGTGAGAAGTGACAGATGTGTCAGGTAAAATTCAGCTCTGTATAGAATTGTTTTTAATTTCAGTCTGAAATGCTGCGTGATGGAGTGGGGTCTCTGGATGTTAACAGCAGCCTCTGACTTAACTGCATGGACATTACAGCGCTACGTTCATCTATATATGTACATCATAAATACTCAATTTTTACACTTTTGTCATTGTATAGTGAAGTTAGAACCCATTTTGCAGTGCCAAAAATGACAAAATATATCTTTAGTATTTACACTTTAGTATTGACGTTTTACAGAACCATATGATCACTTTTGGGGGTTAGGAGGTCCCAACAGAACATAGCAGTGAACAATTAGCAGTGCTCTATTTAGAACTTACAGAATTTTCTGTTTTTCAAAAAGGGTGCTTATGACCTGAGTCAGAGTCCACTTTGATCCACATAGATGTGGCGATTGCCACTGTTGCTGACTTGTTTTTGATGTGCTCCATAACGTTCTAGAGTTTCAGCCTGTGTTTTAACCATTCTTGTGTCTCTTTATTATTTTTATTTCAGAATTCCCTCCGCCTGATAAACCGTGCTTTTTCAACCAGTGTCTGGAAAGCATTAGCAGCTACACATCAGAAATCTTCTAAGCACATCTCCAAGCCAGCAGCTTCATATTTTCTGACGTCATCCTATGCTAGACTTGGATGGTTGGTAATTTTCTTTCCTCCCACATCCCTCTTAGTTTCTGCAAATTTTGAGTACGCACCAAAATATTAATGTTTATTCTTTGGATACTCTTTAAAAGTGACAGTCCAAATCCATTAGTGGTACAAATCTGGCTGAATGGCTTCTATTGTCTGGCCAGAACAGCAAGTTAGCCCATAAGACCTTTCCTTCAGATGTTAGCGTAAGCCTCTTTGTGTTGATATGGAATAAAACTGTATCAAGGACAAAATTTCCATTCAGGTGTGAATTCTAGTCAGGTAACCTCTTTCTTTGGAATGGTTGTCTTGTCACTTTTTTCCATTCTCTCCTTAGTGAAGGAAATCAGTGCTCTGTGTGTGATCAAGCTCAGAATGGAAGGAACCAAAATTAGAGCGAATATTGGCTCTAGTTCTGAACAGTATAGGAACAGTTACCCTTTTTTTGTTATTGGTTGATGTTTGCGTAGAATTAATTGTCTGTCCCAAATTGATCACTGTTGGTGCCTAGTGAGTGTTTTTGACAACACTATGAGATGAGTAGGGAGTTCAAAGGTAGATTCAGGACACGGAAAGAGGCATGTTCTCTCTGCTTGCCGTAGAGGTTCTAGTTTGACCTGCAAAAGGGAAGAGTAATAAAATAAATTTGCATTGCTGCTCATCTTGCTTTATTTCTTCTGACTCAAAAATTCAAGGTTTCTTTCTTGGGTTTACTTCACACCAGCCAAATTAACAGTAGTTAGTTCTTTTCTCGCCACGTTCCCTCTCTAAACTCCAACATGTTAAAGACCTGTGATCCCTTTGCTTATCTACTGTTAAGTCCATCAATTAAATCAGAGGTTCAGTTAAAGAGATACTTAATTTCATCTTTTGTAATCTGTCATATGCAAGCAGCTCTTTTTCATGCTCCTTGCTCTGATTGCTCTCAGGTGCCTTCTGTCATGTAAATCAGTTCCTACAGATCTCAGAGGGAATCCTCTAGGCTCTGTTTTTATTTAAGAAAACAAAAATCAAATATATAATATGACAAATGCTGTGTAGATTTTTACAAGAATAGATGAGGGAATAGATGAGGTCTTGGTTTACCTGAAAGTATTTATTTTTTGCCAATGTTGTAGTAGTCTGGAAGCCAATGCTATGATTTTGTTGACTTGCTGCCTGCACAGGGCGATGATCTCAGCTGACCTAAACCGGGATGGATATGAAGATCTGGTGGCCGGAGCACCGGGGTACAGCACTTTGGGCCATGTTCAGATAGGACGGGTCTACGTGGTCTATGGCAACCAGTCAGGTTTGCCACCAGGGGATATGGATCTAGACCGGAAAGCTGACCAAGTCCTACAGGGTCATCAGGTGAGGGGTCAGGTCAGCTATTTGTCACTTACAGCGTTTTGCCTGAAAATGTGGTAAATTTTGACTGAGCAACAGTGTCGTTACTATGTATGATGATTATTCCTGAATTACCCCTCCAGGTGAAAGGATGTTGTGTGCCTTTTGAGAAAAATAACCCTTACTTAAGTCACAGGAACAGTTAAAGCAATGTGATCTGTATGTTCGCTTTTATTACTGTGCCAGGTAAGCGGGCTTAAGAACATAATTTTCCCATGAGTGAAACTGAGGTAGCATCTCTGTAAGTCACAGTAAAGCTCATTCAGGTCCCTGTATTGTGATTTTTTTCTTTTTCCCCCTTTCTTTTTAATCTAGAATTATTAATTTCATATACATTTTGATTCCTTTGAAGCTACATTTATTCATTAATTGATAACTTCTTACAAAACCATTGTTTGACTTTAGTAAGAGTACTTGTTATTTCAAAAAAAGAGTAAATTACAATTTGACATGATGGTGACTGGTTTGTAACTGAGAAGCAGGATCAAATGATCTTTCTGGGTAATGAAGATGATCCGCTGTGAAAAATATCTTTATTCACAAAGAAGAGAATGGAGATGAGATACATTTCTTTTTAATCTATTTCTGTGGTTATAAACTGTGGAGTAACAGCTGCTGTCTTCTTACAGCATGTGTCAGTGGTTCACAGCTATAATGCTGTTACCAGGAAAGATAGCAAGTTTAACATCAACAGTGCTCTAGGCTCAGAGGAGGAAACAGCAAAGCAGTGCCATATTATGTTCAGTTATTGTATATTTTAACACCTCCACATCCTCAAACAGAACAGTTGACTCCAAGTTAGTGTATTAGTATGACAGTTATTACTTGGGAGCACAGTGATGCTAAGAAAAATCTTAAGAATTGTTGGGATAGACTCTTTTCATCTCTGTTTCCAGTTCTTCCCTGTGCTGTGATTGCAAATGTGCATTAGGTTTTGATGGTTTTGTCTTGAAAACATTTGTTATTTTCATGAGAGCAATCCCTCTTCTTTTAGCCTTCAGGAAGGTTTGGTTCTGCCCTGGCAGTCCTGGATTTCAATGAGGATGGAGTCCCAGATCTGGCAATTGGAGCACCTTCTGTGGGATCTCAGTTTCTTACTTACAAAGTAAGCCACATACATGGGTTTGGTGGGGTCTTTGCCCTCCAAACAGAACGTTTTTAGTGATACATACTTGTTTCACCGTTCAAAAAAGGGAGGGAATTTCTGTTGTTGCTCAAGGTGGCATTGTAATTGAAACACCATGACCTTTGTGGGTACTTTGATTAGAGCAATGACAGCTATCTGTATTTCTCTTTCAGTGGCCTTTTTCTGTATGAGAAATTCAAATTAGATTGCAACTTTGCTGCACTGATGTGCTGGAAGTGCAAGGAGCCATTCATGAAATACGAATGTACCCTTTTTATTTAGGAACAGAGTCTGGAACAGACCTCATGGGTCAGTGAGCCTTATTATCTGCTGTCACAGGCCAACAGATTATATCTAAAATGTGATAGGAACACAGACACACTTGCTAAAATAATCAAGTTACAGAGGCTTAGTGATTTGCAGTTTACCAGCTGAGTCCACGTAATGGTCCCTGAATATTTTCAGCCCATGCAAACTGAGGCAAAATGTTTTGGTTCATACCATGTTCATTAAGCTTAAAACTCTTCAGAATTTCAGATAGTAACTTAGTTGCCCAAATGGGAATTTAAATGATTTTATGTAGACCCATTAGCTTGGAAAATTGCATGCATCTGTTGTGCTTGGCACCGTGTGCCATTGCATTAAATAATAATTAACAAAATTTGAGCCACGTGAATGTGGGTATAACTGTCCTTGCTCCTTACCCACAGTATAATGAAAATTTATTTCTCTGTACTTCTCTGGCTTGTTATAGAAGTACTCGTTACAGCATGGCTGTTCTTAGGTTTGGGGTGGAAGACAGTGTTATGAGAAGGCTCTGATTGGAAAATTGCAGTTGTATTAACAGCACTTGCAGAACTGTTTCACTCCTTTGTGCTTTGTCTTGCATTTCATACGTGGTGCTGACATGCCGATGCTCTCATGCCGTATTTGCTTTTTCTGCTGTGTAGGGTGCTGTGTATGTCTATTTTGGCACTGAGGGAAGAGGCTTGGCATCTCAACCAAACGTTACCATAACTTGTCAGGTATATTGTTCGGGCTAAAGCAGGGCTACGCAAGCGGGAGGTGGGATAAAGGGGAAAGGGGCTTATGGGCTTAAAAAATAGAATGTTAAAATCAAGCTTCTAATTGCAGGGGAATTTAGACTGATGGGGAAGGTGCAAGCAGGCTTTTGCCTAGGTTGGTTGTATGTGGGAAAGACGTCTGTACTCCAGTGCAGGAAGGCAGCAGGGTGAACAGAAAGATGCATAACCCTTCAAAACAAAAGAAAAAGAAAACAACTGAAATCAGGGAGTGGGAGGGTAATTTGATCAGAAGCAGACAGTTAACTCTTTAGAAGTAAATCTCTCTATTTTGCTACAAATTGGGTGGTTTCAGTTCCTTTTCAGGCTTAAACTGTTTATTGCAGCATTCCTACTGTAACCTTGGTTGGTCCCTGCTGGCAGCTGATGTTGATGGGGATGGAAATGCTGATCTGGTTGTGGGGTCTCCATATGCACCTGGCGGTGGGCAGCAGAGAGGATTTGTGGTTGCATTTTTCTCATATTTCAACAGGAGTGACCAAGGTAATATTTATTGAGTACATTAACCCTTCCATGTTTTATGTGACTGCTCATTTGTTCTTAATTAATCATAGCATAATTCAAGTTCAAAGGGATCTCAGGAAGCATCTAGTTCAGTGTCCTGCTCAGTAAGGGGACAGCTATGAAGTCAGACCAGATTGCTCAGGGCTTCATCCAGTCGGGTCTTAAAAACCTGTGATGATGGAGAATGCACAGCTACTCTGGGCAGCTGTTCCACTTCTTGGCTGTCCTTGCAGGGGAAAAACTGTCTTGTTACAGCCAGTCTGAACCTCTCTTGTTTCAGCTTATGCTCATTGTCTCTTGTCCTCCCGCCATGCATAGTGAAGTCAGGGGCACAGGAAGCATTGAGGAACCCAGTACACTGGGAAGAGCCTGGCTCTATCTCCTTGCTAACCTCCTCATGGATACTGGCAGGCTGCTGTTAGGTCCTCTCAAAACCTCTCTTCTCCAGGCTGAATAAGTCCCAGTTCCTCAGTCTCTGCTCACAGGGCAATAGCTCCAGCCCCTAACCGTCCTGGGGGCCCTCTGCTACATTTGCTCCAGTTTATCAACATCTTTCCTGTTTTGTGGGGTGCCAAACTGAGCAATGTATTGCAGGTGCGGTCTAGGGAGGAGTAAAGGGGGAACATTGGCTTCTCTCAATCTCTTTGCCATGCTCTGGCTTACATAGCCTGGGATGCTGTTGGCTATCTCTGCTGTCAGAGCCTCCCACTCAGCGCTCTGCCCACCGGGATCTCCAGGGCCCTTTCCACACTGGTGCTCCCCAGCCTGTCTGTCCCTGGCCCATATCGCTGCAAGGGCATCTCCATTCCCAGGGGCAAGGCTTCGCATTTTGTCCTCGCTGAATTCTGTGAAGTTCCTGCCAGCTGGTTCCTCCAGCCTGTCTGGGTGCCTCTCAATGGTAGCCCTGCCCTCGAGTGATACCCCCTCACCTCCTGTCACCCGCCAGCTTTATAAAAGGGCATGTTGGTGCCTTCTCCAAATCATTTATAAAAGTGTTTAACAGGATGAGTCTGAAGATAGGCCCCTGAAGGCATTCCACTTGTCACAGGCATTCAGAGTACAACCCGCTAACGCTGCCCTGTGAAGGTGATCATCTCAACCAGGTTTCTCCCATCTGGTTGTCTGCCCATCCCCATGGCAGCAATGTTCCACCTCCGGAACAAGAACAGGGTGGGAGACAGTGTTGGAAGCCTTGCTAAAGCAATGGATTCAACTGTGTGTTGGTGATACCAAGGCAGACTCACTGGTCTTCCTTGGAAATTTGTAGATGTACCTCAAAAGGTGAAGCTTTATCATTCTGCATGCTCCTTCACGTGGCTGAAGAGGAAAGCTACAGGTGAATACCATTAATGAGTACAGGTGATGAGGATTGTTGTGAATGAGGGAGGAAAGGCCACGTATGGAGCTGAATAAAGTTAGTAGGGGTTGGGCAGCATACACAGGTGTTCAGAGCTTTGTCAGAAACATGTAACTGAGATTTCCAATAATGCTTGATTTTTGTAGCTTATTCTACTTCATGTAAAATTAGAAACCACAAGGAAAATTGATTTCAAAACAGTGCTGACTGACATCTTTGCAAAACCAAAACACAGTTATTTGAAGTAAAGCCAGAATTACTTGAAGGTCCCCTACCTACCACCCTTTGAAGAATTACAAGTTCTGACAAACAGTTTCAGTGTTGTCCTATCCCTAAGAAGGAGTCACTAGTTTAGGGCAGGCTTGACTGGTTCTGTAGGCTGTTGCAAGGATTTTGAAGCAGGCTGTGTTTAATAAAGGCTTCCACCAGCCAGTACAGTTGCAGACTGTGCAAGCAAAGTTAGCGATAACTGGTGCCATATCATGGACAGTGTAATTTTGCTTACAGAAACTTATTGTCATAGGATGCATCAGGGCAGGATTGCTAACAGATTTTTCTATGCCAGGGTACACCAAGATGTAATTCATATTTTTCTGGTCTGTCAGGACTTCTGTCAGTACAGGATGCCAACTGGATGGTGAAGGGGGAAGAAAACTATGCTTGGTTTGGATTTTCGCTTGACAGCTGCCAGCTGGAGAACGTAACATTACTGCTGATTGGTAGCCCCACGTGGAAGAGTTGTGCTGGGTGTGTTGTATATGACAGCTTGCTCTGTCCTCCATTCTGCCCTATTTCTGCAATATTTAAGATTTGTAATAGAGCAGACTTCCAGCTTTTCAGGAAGTTTCCTCTTTGTCCTGCTTAGAATATTTTTATTAAGTTCATATTTTTAAGCCTTCACCCTTCCTTCTGCAGGGGGGTCTTCAGACCCTATTGAAAGGGTCTTTGTTATTTAGAGACACTTAAGAATTTCTCGGGTTTTCTTGGAGAGGGGGCACGAAAATGCTGACAGGTGAGCACACCTAAAATGATCCTATAGGTAGCACTTACTTCAAGATAGCATTCTTAAAAGCAAAGCAAACACAAAAATGTATGGAGTGATAAAGAAGTAGATAGACAGACCAAGTCTGTGCTCTGAATGTTGTGAAACGAGTTAGAACAAGCATGGGAATTGCTAAAACAGACTTCTAGAATTTGGCAGCCACTATTATTCCGAACTAAAAGGGGAAAATACTTGAAGAGGAGCAATCCTAGTCGAATGTACAAAAATATGTTGTTACATACAAATATATTTTAGACTGTAATTCCAGCTGCAGTCCCTTCTCATCGGATATCAGGCAGAGTGTTGGCAAGGTGTACGGATATAACCCACCAGGCACGAAGCACTGGTTTGCAGTCACTGGAGATAAGGTAGGGCTCCTTCTGTAGAATGGGACCTTATGACTAGTTCAGTGTGGTGACATGCTGTAGAAATGACATAGGTGTTTTAAAAATCTAACAGGTGATGGGCAGAATGGGTTTGTCTCTGGCCAGTGGTGTGATGTCTGTGGCTGGGACCACAAGGGCAGTTTTGGTGGTGGGTGCACCTACTGCAGGTATGTCCTGAAAACTGGAAACCGTTTCTGCTTTGGGATGTTTATTTCTGTATGACCAGAGGACAGATGCAAAGTTGAAAATTAGAAGAGAGACCTTTAAGTTGCCACATAAATAATAAAAAAAAAGTAGAAATAATCACTGTAATCACTTTTAAGTGCTTTACATGTAGAGTCCCCTCAACTATGCCTCAACTTCAATTTTTTTTTTTTTTTCCCTTTCTTAGAATTAGCTTAGCAGAATTACTACCTTGCATTTTATGGAGCGGTGATTTGCTAGTAGACTGCATATTTCTCGCAATTAAAGCGACACAGTATTTTGTCCTTACTCTGGTGGTACGCAGTAAGGAATTACGAAAGTCAAAGTGTAGAGAGCTCTAACCTGAATGCATTCTTCCCTGGTACTATTGCTGAGAGATTGTTTCTATGCTCATAAGTGTTAATGCCATACAACACTTGATCTTGTTTCATAAATTATATTCACTTTGTCTGTGTTATGTAATGCCAGCATTACTTGCTGTCAGTGTCCTGCAGGTATTAAACCCGAGTTCCTATGTCTGATGCTCAACTTCTGTTACTCCTCCTTTTTCTCAGACAGCCTGTCTAGGATTTCATTTATCTCCTCAGTGCTGCACCAGGCTGGGCTGGCTCTGGTGTATGACCTGACAGACAGCACCAAGCCCTCTCTCCTCAGCACATTCAGCGGGGACAAGAGGTTTTCTCGCTTTGGAGGAGATGTATACTTAAGCGACCTGGATAATGATGGACTAGGTAAAGCTTGATGAACGTAGATCAGAGGCGAAATGTTTTACTTTTGGCGACAGGAAGACTGGTCACCTACATACTCACACGAGTGCTAAACACAGTCTGCTTCCTCAACTGACTTGTACCAGTATTCCATCGTGCCTTGTGGGAGGCATCTCTCAAATCCCAAGCAACTCAGTTAGAAATTGAAACATTTTAACTGTCATCATTAATAGGAATTGTGGCATCTAGAGGTATGTCAATGCAAACTCTCTGGTGTTTTGTTTTAGCATTGTTTCACTTCTGACGTATTCACATGTCATCCTTGTAATATTTGCAGACGAAATGATCGTGACAGCCCCGCTGCGAACTCACGACATCACGGTGCTGTTTGGCGGGGCAGCTGGCCGTGTTTACATTTACAGTGGGAAGCTGGCTTCCGCAGGGAATGTGACAGGCCACTGCAAGTCCTGGATATCTCCCTGTCCTGAGGACTGGGTAAGAAAACCTAAAAGTGAAATCAGGACACACGGTCATAACAACAGCTAATTAATTACATCCAGTACAAATATCGAGTGACTTCTGACTCAGTTTCAGAAAACAGGAGGTTATTTATGTTTCTGAATCTGTGGGACTTGGCTCCCCCTGTTCTTGAATTACTTTGTTGTTCAGGAGCCAGGGTTATTTCACTGGTCTTCTACTCTCCTAGTGTGGTTCTCTCCACTGACTTTTCTCTTTTTTTTTTTTTTTTTTGTTTTTCTCCAGGCACAGTATGTCCTGATCTCTCCTGAGGTAAGTAACCAGGAGGCAAACTACTGAGAGAAATGAGAAAGTGCCACTTTAGAAAAACTAACAGCATTGTAACAAGCAATGTTGTTTTATAGGAACTATCAAGATTTGGGAGTTCTGTTATCACTGTGAAGTCTGAAAGCAAGGTGAGGAAAAATTACTGTTGTTTGTTGCTTCATAACATCTTTCTGCCTCACTCTGCATGTACTAGCCAACAGCTCACATATGTATCTTACTCACTTGCAGAAGGCTTAAGTGCTTTACATAGTTAATAGTTAAAACTTTACATAGTTAAGTTTTCATTTAAACCGTTCTCTGAACTGGTAATTAAAACCATTTTATAGGTGGGTCAGTTATAGAATTGCCAAAATTTTGGCACCTGATGTCTGAATTGAAAGAGATCACTTTAAAGTAGACTGAACTCTAAGCCACTTGGGAGGTTGCTGAGAGTTTGCATGGTGCCAAGTGGGTGTGCTGTTCATACCAGCCTGTACGCGAAGTGGATGCTCAGCTATGGAGTAAACCAAGCACCGAACCACCCCTCTCAATTCATATTTACAGGCTCGCTGTCCTAGCAGTCACTTGCAGTGAATGAACACTGTTCCTACATCAAATATTTCCAAGCACAGAGAGGCCCAGCTCATTTTGCATGCATTTGTGTACCTGTTTCTCTTTATGTCTCTCAGATGCCTGTTATTTTTACCAAAAGTCAATCCCTATGTTTGTACAATGCACTGAGGAACCTCATTTTCAGCTTGAAGGTTACTTAGCCCTTGTTCAGCTGAGGGGAATCCAGTGTTCTGCTTACTCCGACGTAACCGGTGTGAGAACTGAGAAAGCCTCAGTACTAGGCTGAGGGGGTGGGCGACGGGTCTGCAACAAACAGTGTTTGGCTTCTTGCTGTTAAATCACGCGAAGGAGAAACACCTGGAAATGTAAATGCTTCTAGACTAGGTTAGGGTGCACAATCCAACACTGAAACACGGGCATCACTGATGGCTTCTGCACAAGTGCAAGCGAGGCTGTTCTCCAAGCAGTTGTGCTCCTTTGCTCTGGCACCACTCCAGCCTGTGCCCCAGTGATCTGACCCCTGAGAAACAGTTTACGTTGGCAAGAGATTTGTTTGACTGGTTCCAGCTCCTTCCAGTTTCTCAAATGCCATAAAGCCTGCTTGCCAAATCTGTTTTGTCAACTGCTGTTCTGCTGAGATGGGTTGCTCTCATTTCGCATCACATTACTATGTGACACTAACGATATGGACAAAATCTGGTTTCCGTTAGGGAAGCTTAAGGCAGTCGTACGCCTGCAGTTGCATTTTGCTAACCCTTGTTCTGTATTGATCTCTGCAGAAAGAAGTTGTAGTGGCAGCAGAGAGAAGTTCAGCAAAAGCTCGACTTGGTGGAAGGCTTTTTGTCTACTCGCTCTAGAAGTTCATGGTAGCCTCTGAGGCCTGGGCACAACTGGCCTGTTAGTGAAGAATCCCTGCAGCAGCTGTGATAACTTCCTTAACACAAACCAACCAACAGACCACATGACAGCAAGCTTTTGATAGACGGATGTCCCAGATAGCTAGGTAGGGTCCTAGGGGGTGTTAAGGGAGGGAGGGATGGTCATGGTTTTTAAGTGAAGATAAGCATTCACAGTGGTTTGACTTGCAAACCAACCAAAAAGCTGTGTCAGTCATGTAAAAGCACAAATTAATCCTGTTGTGAGCAGCAGCATCACTTAACCTAGAATGAGCAAGCTGATCTGAAACCTTTCAGAGGCTGAAAGGAGCAGGCGGCTAGATTTTGGTAGTAGTATTTGGCTGTACAAGGAATGTTCAGTGGTCACCTCTACTGGCCAGATTTGAACATTTTATTGACAAAACTAGGGAAGAATAGCATGTATTTTACAATTCTTTGTATACTGTGATACAGAGAGGGATTCTAAGGTATCAAAAAGTTGCTGTCAAAATAATAAGCACGGAGGAGGGGCAGCTCTAAGCCTGACAAAGGTGGGCGGCACTCAGGACTGCCTCTGTCTCTAGCAAGCCTCAGGGCCTGCACCCTGGGTGTAGACCAGCCGCACTCACCCAGGGACAAAAACACAAACAAGACTGATGACATTTTAGGAAATGCTTTTGCACTCAGGGCTGAGACTACTCTGACACCCTTTCTTTGTATTTTCATGTAAAATTCCATAACCGTGGTAACTTAGAATTGTTAACAACTTTTAGTGTTAACAGTGTTGTCTTCAACTAATTAACACTAATTTTGTATGAAACAGAGTGAGCATCAATTATCTATTAAACACCTTGAGCAGCAAGATGTGATGCTGTTATTACCAACACTAGAGCGCAGACACATACATTTCTTTCTCTTGCCTCCTTCACAAACACAAAGCTTTATTTTTATTTTAAAAAACACAAGTCAGTGGAATAGCACAGAACTCTAGAAGTCATACTCCAAGCTGACACACCTCAACTTACCTTCTTAGGAACTGTCTCTCTCAGGGAGGTTGTTTTTAAAAAAAAAAGGGAAAAACAAGGTGAAGATTAGCTTGATGTATAATGTGTTCTGACATCTATTTTGGGGACTTGCCGAAATAGCAGAACACTTAAAAAAAATTCAACTTTATAAAGAAGTAACTGGATGGAACTGGGAGCACAGTATTTACCTTACAAATCTGTGAACTGTAGCACAAGGCAAAATGAGCAGTGTATTTATAAGGGCAGAATAAAAAAGTTTACCTTTTTAATTGAAAATTGATGAAACCAGCAAGTTCTATGGCAATTACATTCTGAATATACAGCCTCCACTAGCTTTGGGTTTTCCTCTGTATGATCTCAGAGTAATTTTATTGCACAAGAATACATTTTGACTACTTGAATTGCAAGAAAACCATTAACCATTTACGTATGTCCGTAGAGAAAAAGGCAGTCTTGTCAAAGATGTATCTTTCTCTAAGGGCTTTTCTTGTGCTCCGAGTCAGTTTTGTACAGGAAGAGGAGTCAATCCAGTTCACAGAAGCCTCTCTGCACCAAAGACAGAACTTGGGAAGCTTACAGGAAAGCTTCCAAACAGCTGCACCAACACATTTCAGTCCTGGCCTAATGCAACTGCAGCTCAGTTAAAAACATCAGCCTCCATCTCCCTTCAGGCGCAGGGCTCTCCTGGGGTTTGCCGGCCAAGGTACGCGAGCCATTGTTTCTTCCACTGGACCGCCCAGTTTAGAGGTCTTTTTACATCTCTCTACCTGCTAAGCAAAAAGGCTGCAAAAAAATTCAGCTAAAAAACTCAAAAACATTACAAACCCCATTCATTTTCTCACCTTCTCATGCCTTTTATAGCTGTAGTTGAAGTCACATACAGAGTAAGAACAACTGTTTGAAAATAATTACGTACAACCGATTTTAATCAAACTAGGACCAGAGGCCTGCATAATTTTCATTTATGTACCTTTTTATTTCCGTTTTTGACTGATTAGTCCTGAGTAAAAACGTTCACAGATATAGTCAGTGTCTTTTCAACCCCTGCCAGTACAGTGATTTACCTGGTGGCACGTAAGGAGCTACTCACTGCATGTTACAAAGAGGTTAAAAATCCCCCAACAAGCAGCAGACAGTGACCTGATTTAGGATTTTGTGCTTTCTCTACAGCCTGAGAGAAAGCAGTGCAGAACTACAGCCTCAGAGTTCAGAGAGAAGTCCTAAGAAAGAACACAAATAGTGGGCATAAGAATTTTACTCCTTCCTTCAATCCATGCCAGGACGCCAGGCTTCCACAGCCTTTACTAACCTGGCTACTTCCTGGGGTGCAGGCCAGTCCACGCTTTGTCTTTTTTTGGAGAGAAAAGAGAGAAAGCAGAGTCCAGCTTAAGAGAAGCCAGCAACTGCTCTGTTGATTTCTACCAGCATTTGAATCAGTCCCTATGACAACATGAGGCATTGTTAAACTGCAGCTGTGTTGGAAGCGTGGCCGAGGGGCAGCACTTGTCCCACTGCTGACATGGCCTACGCCTCAGGCCTAAATTAATTGTTAAGGAATACCCAAGATAAGTAGCTACATTTCAAAGCCGGTTATTGCTCACTTAAGGGAAACTTATTTCTGATTACTGCCAGTTTAGAGGTGATGCTTCACAAGAGATGCAGGTATGCTTTTTGCTTTGGAAAACTCTGTTCTCTGCAGTTAAATAGGGCCTTGAGAAAAAAAAAAATCCATTAAAAAGCCACTTTTGGGGTGGATTTTTCTTTGGCGTTTCAAGTCAGAGTCCTAAATCTTGTGGCTCAGAACCTGCATTACTGAGGAATGCTGACTGCTGTCATCATTTAAGCTGAAAATGCTGTTCTCTTGAAGGCAGGCCATTATATGAAGCATTTGACAGGAATACTTGCAATGAGAGTGACTGCACGTGATATAGAAAACCAACAGGCCATACATGGGGTGGAGCTAAGACTACTGTGGGAAACACAGTGCTCTTTTCCCTTGTGTTTCTCTCCTTTTGTGTGTGAGCATTAAAATCTCTCCACAGGTTTTTGGCACATAATACATATTAAATTAGCAACTTCAGAACTTTGTGCAGTTTTCAGTAAGGAAGAACAAATGCAAGGAAAATGTTCAAAGTCCACTCTGGAACAACAGAAGTCTCTTCATTCCTGCTGTTCCTATTGGTTTGTTAATGTGCTTCTGCTCAGCCCAAATGGTTCTGCTTTAAGGTTGTTCTTTATCTCCACTCTTCCAGCTGCTGGTTGTTTTTTTTTCAAAACTGCAGGAACCTAGGTAAGATACACAATAGCCCGTGATTACATGGGAAGCTGTCCTATATGCAGCAGAAGGAAATAAAGCTTCAGAGAGGCCTGAACCCTGATTTTTTTCCTCTTATTTTCTCAACCCTGCCTCTGGATTCTCCCTCCCCTCCAAGCCAGAATCAGTATGTGCTGGAGTTGGTTTTGAGCAACACTTGAGGATAATCCACATCAGCAGCAATCCACAATGAACTATTTCCATCTGCCTCTTAGCAGCAAGGGAGGGGACAGAAGAAAGGGAGTTTATCTGGGTCTCCCTTTCTTCCTCACTTGCAGCAACTTGACTTTTGAATCTACTGATACTTCCCTGTTACAAATTTTAGAGTGCAGAACAGAGGTGGACAGTACAGTCCCCCAAGCTTTGGCCAGTGATCAGCAGGGAAAATGATGCACTCAGACTCTTGCTAATCTGAAGGTGGTCTCCTGGGAAATCTTCATACAGCCTGGCACAACAGGGCTCTGCGACGCCCTCAGCATCGCTGGCAATGCTCACCGGCGTGCACAGGAGGAGCTACTGCAAACTTCAGATCGGGAGGCAGGACATCTCAACTCTGGCAGCGTTCTCCAGAGAGATGTTACAGCTAGCACCTGGCCTTGTCGTCCTCTTATCCTTACCTTCTCTTCTACAAGATGGGGACTAAGTCCATTGTGAGTAGGTGGGTGGCAGGAGGAAGGCAGCATCTGTGAAGTCCCTCTCTACGAACAGACCTGAGAAGGTAAATTAGGGCTGCTTCTACCATTAGCCTCAGCTTCCCTTGAGCTGCCTGCAGCACGGCTTGGGGAACAGCCCGCAGCTTCACTTCTGGCAATACCCTGCAGTATCTTACTGCTCACGTGTCTGTCTGCCTGTGCAGGGGCTTCCCACCAGTCAGTGCAGCTAGGGAGAACCTTCTCTTTTGTCAAGGAGCAGGCACTGAGCTGAATTCCCCGGTGCTCTGGAGCAGAAACCCTCGCCAGCCATACGTACATGAGGAGGGAGCGGAGGCTCCAAGTGCCGCCCGAGGAAGGAAAGCAAGCGTCGCCATATCAGACCGCTCCCCAGAAACATAATCCCCGTCACCAGCCAAAATATTCTGGGATCCTACTGACAGAACGTTCCTATTAGTGATGCAACTCTCTCTTCAGCAAAGGGATTATCCAGAGATAATCTCTCACTCCCCAACAGTCTTCTCCTCCTTTATGGGAGGAAGTGGTAAACTCTCTACCAGCAACAGCCAAGCCCTACCTTGGGAAAAGGGCTGGTTCATAGCAAAGCATTTCAGTTAGTGTATTCCGTTACTGTCCCGTGCAGTTTTCCTTCCTTCATCAGGAAGTTTGGAAATTGAACCCTTCATTTAATGGATTTGGAAAGAAACAAGTCTTTACTTTGTTTTGGCTTGTTTTTGTTTTGGTGTTTTTTTTTTTTGTTGTTGTTGTTTTAAAGACAGCATGTAAATTTGTATCCCCCAGTCTAGATATAAACTTGTAATTGACAATAGAGTATTTCCTCTGGTGTGCTGGAAATGCCCTGGCTGCTTGCCAGATACCCTTGTATCTGGAAGACAAAGCTGGTCTTTTCAAAATAATAGATGATTATTAAAGAAACTTTAATACTGCCTTACAGTCAGTCCTTATACAACCATAAATTTGTCTTCCCCTTTCTTTTCCATGGACATGACATGGAAAAAACACTGCAGTACTCTGCAGTCAGCCATACAGTAATTTGCTTACAAAAAAGTGACTGTGTGAACATGTGAATCACTGGACTAAATTATGTTCATGCAGTAATATAAATCCAGAGCTTTACCTATGGAAAGAGTGAAGTTGTAATGAATATAAAATGCACAGTAAGAGCAGGGCCCATGCTTTATACCGCCGTTAAAAGCAGCACTTGCTCCTTACCTCTTCAAGAGATGACTCCAAGTTCATACCAAATGCAACTCCTATGAGTCCAAAGAGAGACAGAGAAAAAGTCCCCATAGTCAGCTGCAAATTCAGTCTCATCATCACATTACGGTGGCTAAAGCAGGGAGAAACATCTGTAAGCAGAACCCAAAAATGGATTTGCTGCCTAAATTCTCAAATTCTATACAGTGTACACTAAAACCAAATAGTGAGAGAGGAAGTCATGCTGGCAATAGGCAACCCAGTGACAAAGCTCATGAAACAACAGTAGAGAGGCCATTGTTTTGAAATTGCTGTATCAGGATACCTCTAAGGCAGCAGGTTCTGCTTAACCATCAGCAGACTTTCCAGCATCACTCACTTCTTAGAGTTGTATATACACAGAGTAACAGTATATTTCCAGGAAAATTTGTGTTCTCTCACCACTAACTGGCTGGAACTTACATGTCCATATTCACAAGAAACAAAAATTTACTGTTACCTTGCACATGAATATGCTTACAAAGAAGTAGATTTGGTAAATGCTGCAGATTATAAACTTGAGCCTGTTTTGGAGAATTCCATATTCAGGTCTTCCCCCCCCCAAAACGATTTCTGTGGTTTCCTGAAGCAGCATCCACCTATTGCTTCTACAGGTAACTCCCCAGTAAAGAGGAGAAAGAATATTGCACACTGACCTCAAAGACAGAGTGGCATCTGCTTGCAAATGCAAGCTACAATTATTTTTCAGTAAGAAAGCTGACTAGTAGTGCAAACTGTACCATACAAAGAGAAAATACTCACTCCAAAGTTACTCACTCTTGTAGCACTCCATAGTGATAATGCAACTTGTACTGCATGCCTGAGCAGCCCAGCCAGGCTCTTATATAATTCAGTTTTGCTGAATTAAGAGTAAATTTTCCTGACTAGAATTTTATTTTGCCCCTAAATTTGCAGACATTTCCTTTAGTGATTAGCTTCCCAGAAGGAACTAGGAGAAGCTTGGCTTCTCCTGCTTGGGAAAGGTGATGCCTAGCTAGAGAGGCTTTTACACATACTAGTTAGGGTGTCTTGTTGCTTTGCTTTAACCAGTTCACTGATAACAAAAGTGCAATGCAGCTTCTAGTGCTCTGACTGCAAGTGCATTCAAACCCTCATGAAGATGGAACTCCCCAACTTCCCTTATAGGCAGGTTTGAGAAAGGTGAGGCAACATTAAACTCTGCTCAGCTTTTGGCAGTCCGACAGATAAGGGCTGCTAACCTGTCCAGGTTGATGAAGATTATGCTTTCCGAGTCGTCAATCAGTACTCTGAGTTCACGAGCTTCATTTGCAAGATCTTCTGCTTGTCTGTAATAGTTCTCCAGCAGCAGCTCCATTTCCTCTGCGTGGTCAATCCCAGATGTACTCTCCTCACTGTGAGTAACAATTTATATTGTTCTGGTTAGCTACACGTTGTATAGAAGTGTATTACTGATTTGTTAAGACAAAGCACATATGAGTTGTGGGGAACAGCCAACAAGAGTGCTGTTAGACAGTAGATCTCAAAATCCAGTCTTTTCAGTGAGGAACTTCCATCAAGAACAGCATAAAATAAAAGGCATATTTTTATATCTGTCAGCTGATCAGCATAGGCAGTTATTTTCAATAGAGCAGTTAGCATACTATTTCCTCAAGGCATGCACACCACCACAAATCTTACCTTTTCAGATATTAATAAGTTATAAAGTTATGTGAGTTTTATATTATTTATAAAGTTTCTGTTGCTATATATGTGTATATTATTATTACTATAAAATACTGACAATTTTGAAGGGAGATGCTTAATTTCTTGGTGCCCTCCAGTGGTGGAAGCTGGTAAAAGTGCAGTCAAAACCTCCAAGAATAAAACATGGCCAAAAGTCAACATGCAAACAATTACACAGTGAGGGAGATGTTTTAGGTGTGTATTAAAATAGTTTAGTTGTAAGGTGTATCAGCTATACACAGTCATTACTGCGAAACGTTCTGGGATCACGAAGCAGCCAAAGAGTGAGCATCAAATGGAAGATGCCGCTCTCCTAAGTGAGGTCTGAGACACTTTCATCTTATTTTGTGGTTCTGCTATTGGCACAGCAGCCTTCTCTGGAACAGGAATGTATGTTTCTGGTGGTGCATTGGGTCATTCACTGTGTAAATGACAGCTGAGGCACCTGAGACCCACAGGAGCTTGGAAGCAAGCAGCAAAGCCAGGAAGATTTGGTTGGTTGGTTGGTTTGGGGTTTTTGGGTGGTATGACCTCATTTCTCAAGAGACTAAACCTTTTAAAGAATCTCCTCCTGGTACTGCTGACTGTTAAAGGAACCTCTCTGAAATGGTTTTCCAAGAAAAGACATGATATGTCTTAAGAATCAACCCACGCAAGCTCCCTGAGCACCTAAAACAGAGCCCCTAGTTTCCCTCTTATGGAACAGAAATTTTTGAGTGAGCTAGGCTGATTTTAAAGCCCTTTGGACCCTGAGGTTTTTACTACATGGAGATGAGAGGAGTTGCACAGCTGAAAGTCTTGGAGCACTATCTGATGTATTACGGATTCAGCTCAAGGTCTTATTTGATGAGTGTCTTTACATCAGCTCTTCTGTGGATATACAAAGGGAAACAAAAGGCATACAGACTTGAAAATAACTGCCACCTGATTTGCTTTCATTAATTAGCCTCCATCTATCTCACGAGTCTCCGACAGTCTGCCATCCCTTCACACAAAGACACGATGTCTGCCTCACCTCGTCTTTCTGGGCACAGCTCACTATTCCTGTTGTGAATGATCTCTGATAGCACCTCTACGCCTAACTGGGTTCCTCCACACCTCCAGCTTCTTGAGGTCATCAAATACCACTCACCACCTGCAGCAAGCCCGGAGCCAGAAGAGCTGTCCTCACACTGCCAACCTGCCGGCAGACGTGCTGTCATGGCTGGTGTTTCCCCGCGTGCCTCCTGCATGGACTGCCTCCCTGTGCCCCGTGGCTCAGCCCCAGCACCCTTCACACAGCCTCCCACCACCTCCCCTACCCTCCGGCAATTGTGTCAGAAAGAAGGGATGACTTCAGGTTTCTCCTGGCACGAGAGTGTAAGGTGACCTTAGTATCTTCCCTAGATGCTCCCTACACACTGTCTACTGTCAGGCAGGAACAGATTTGCCAGCAGCTTGGATTAATTCCAAAGGAAAGCTGTGAGCAAAACCAGGACGAAGACTAGCTGCTGGTTCAGGAACAGCCTGGAATTCAGAGTCCTCCCAACAATGCTCCAGCAGAAGCATTACAAATGTAAACCGGGTCCCACTTTAATAGTGAGTTTCTGCTGCACATTTAGACTAAGCTCTGCAGGGCAAGAAACTTACCTCATGATTTCAAACCCATGCTACTGTGTCAACAGTATAAATATCCACAAGCAATGTGGCTGGGCAAATGTATTATTCAGCAACTTCGCAAAGGGCCCTGAAAAGCAGTTTCTGTTAGCTGCTTAAACATAAAAGATCTCTGTATGCTCAAGATTTAAATGCAATTCAGCCCAAAGCATATTGGGATCTGATATACAGTATCTTTTTGCTTTTTCATTTTTGTTAAAGTGACCGGTGCTCCTGCTGCTGCGTGCCATCTTTCACCAGAATTCGAGAGTGCAATAGCAATGTACGTTTGTCCTGAAATGCTGCTCTTCAGGTGCACAAGATTGCTGCAGGGCCTCTTTCCTTCAGGTTCTGCTGGTGAGCAAAAAGCCAGAAGCAGGGTGTTCAGAAACACTTCTAACAAAGGAAGTGTGGTGTCTGACCTACGTAAGACGAGCTTCAAAACCTGCATCTTCAGGTTTTTTTGGTGAAACTGAGGAAAATTCTCACAGAAAGTGTTAATTTGTATTGAAAAATAGTATTTGCTTTTTCTCCTCCTGCCATCCTACTCCCATCCTATTACATACCAGATGAGCTGGCCTGTTATGCCAAGAACTATTTGAAATTGCATAATATGACCAGTGCTAATGGAGTCCCTCTCCAAAATGGCAAATAAGACGATTTCTGAAGTGGCAAGCATTAGAGCTTTAAAAAATTAGCAAGCCTTTTTCTTTCTGCTTTTTGGCAGAGAACACCCAGTTTAGTGTTCAAGTTCTCCTTAAACAAAATACACTGTTAAAAAAGCATATGGTTTCAAAATATACATACAATACTTGTGGATCAGTCCATTTAGACAGACAGAGCTCTTCTATTAATTCTTCTTCATCTAAGATCTCCAGAATTGTTTCTTTGAAAACTTTTAGATCTGTTTCCAGTTCTGACAAGCTGAAGAAAGAACAGGCAAAAGGTCAAGTAATCCCCAGTGGCACCAGTGCATAAAGGCAATTTCTAAATGAGCTTGCCAGCCAGCACCCTCGCCAGACATAGCAGCCAGGGCAGACTTCCTTGCAGGGTCCTAAGAGCTCCTTCAAAAAATTCTCCACAGGCCACCCACGTAGCAGTGGCAGTGATCTGTCTGGGGACCAGCGAGCTATAGACACACACTAGAAAGGATTTAGATGTGTTTTCTGGGTATATTTGTAAGTCAGTAAAAACAAGTGCTCTGTGAGCATGTCGCGAGTGCGTATTCGCACTGTCGTATCAGGGAGGCTGATACATGAAGGTACCAGGTATCAGTACTCGTAACCTTAAAAGCATAGATCCAAAGGCTAATCTCGTTTTACATACACTTCCATGATGTTATTTTGTTCTCCTAGGTATTATTTTGTTCTGTCAGGTGCTATTTATGAAGCTTGACTGTATTTCTGACAAGTCGGAATAGATTTCCCTTTTTCTGCTTTTCCCCACATCACTAGGTATTTCATATCCCGATTTTTACGTTTACAAATAAGACGCACAGCCCAGTGTTACAGTAATCTAGGACGTTAATATTAGATACCATTTTTCTAACATTTCATCGCACATAAAGTTCCACAGTCATCTTCTAGTCTCTTCACAGCTTACTCTTATTTACCTCTTGCCATTTTGCAGGAGAATGTGTAGTTTACTCCTATCCACAGACAAAAGCTTGGGGTCCACTAGAGCTTCCAGTGTCTCAAGGATTTGAGGCTGCAAAGTGTTAAGTCTCCCCTGCAGTTTGCTGATCTAGATAACAACATGATCCTTTATAAGAATTAAAGCAATCCCTTCAGAATGACTTGGGCAACTGACTCCTGTCTGTGAACGCAGAATTCACAGTAACAGGCAGTTAACACAATCTGCTTTCCAATGCCCAGGAAAATACTTGCTATAGGGATACCCCTTACAACATAAAGCCAGTATTTTATAAAAGTGATTTGCACTGAACTGAAACCCAGTGACAACCACACCAGTAAGGCTGATAAAGCTAAAACGCTATTTGTCTAGAAATGCCATAATAGCATTAGCAAACATAAATTTTTAAGGATAGCTAGAAATAATTATCTGACTTTTGCCCAAGAGGCCAAAAGCCTCAGCACTTTTGTGTGACTTTCATTTCAGCTACAGCATGTCTCTAGAAAGGTATTCTGACTTGGTTTTTAATTGTCCAAGTGATGGTGAAGCCATTGCATCCAATTAGCACTTTCTTGGGAAAGGTATTGCAACATGCATACACGCAAAACCATGAAAACTAAAGCAACAAAAGCCAAAACCGAAAGAGAACTTCTACAGTAAGTGTGGAATACATATACAAATGTGTATGTACAAATGTTAACACAAGATTAAAGTCAGATCATCCCTTCTATGAAGCAACAACTTCCAAAACAATTTAAATAAAAATGAGATAGCTCACCCGGTACTGCAGGATTGCTTCTATGGCTCGGAATTCAAAGGGCAGGGCATAGGTAACTAGCTGACCTTCCCCAGCCAGCTGAGATGCTAGTTCATTGAAGAGCCGGTGTTCCAGATTTAAATTATGGTAGTCTAATATCAGAAGAAACTCTGGTGTTATGACAGCCTTCAAGAACTGAAAAAGACAACACATGTATGAGTCTGTAAAAAAAACCAACCTCTCTGAAGATTTCTCATAAGTGTAGTGCACTTGATAATTTAGGCTTTGAAAAAGCCACTCTTCAAATGTCTTTTCAGGCAGGAAAGTAACAGAATCTCAGGCTAACTGCAAACTACTGGACTCCCCACAGTTCAGACACATCACTGTGCTAGTGGTGGTATGATTGAGAAGAGGCTCCTTGTGAGTCTTTACTTCTATGGCAACGTTAATAATGTTTCTGCTGTGCTCAACTAGGAAAATGGTCATTAATATGTACTGTTGGTCAACCCATACCTCTGATTGCTAGGGAGAGCTCCAAAGACACGTTTCCTGCAGGACTACGCGTCACAGAAAGCTTGTATTAAAAGAACTGTGCAAGAAAAGGCAAGCGCCAGGATACGGCATGGGTCAAGTTTACACTCAGCTATAGGGCAACCATTACCTCCATTCTCATGATGATCCTGTTGTTCCTAGTTGCAATGCTCATCAGGTGTTGAAATCTGAGATCTCGGGCTTGAAGACTCAATTCCTGGTACAATTCTGTTTTCTTCTTTTCTATCATAAAATATTTTTAGATTAAGACATTTAGGGGACAAGCACATGTGTTCTGAAATTACATTTCAGTGTGTTACTAAGTCCCACAGAAGGAAAAAAAGCTGTGCTATCTTTAACACAGGTTTCCTCCCATTGATTCTTCAATGTAACTTATTTTTTACAAAGTTTAGAAAACTGTATCTTGAGTGGAAAGAGAAAAATTCTAGATATAAGTGAAAGAGTTGACCATGGAAACCAAGTGACTAATTTGAGAAAGCACATGTAGTCCTGCAGGAAGGGAAATGAAAGGCAGGGAAAGTAGCATGCTGGTCAAAAAGGGAAAATACAAAGTAAAAACGACCTTCCTGTGAGAGATGGTATATGTTATTTTCAAATACTACTTAATAATATGTATAAAAATTGTAACAATAAAGATGCTATGAAGACTAATAGAAGTCAATAAAACAGAAGAAACACCGCAACACACCAAATAAACACAACAAAGTATCCCAAATATATTTTTCTACACCATGTAGATTCTCAGTTGGGATTTTCTGTCTTGGACAAGGAACAAACAACAAACAAATCAAACTGCAATGAAAACTCACCAAAATAGGTTGCATTTCCCTCTTTGTCAAGCTTCATCTAAAGGAGTGGAAAAAAGGATATTCTTTTCACAGAACTACTATAAAACAAGAAATCACTTTCTAGAATTGTTTGCACTTGCCTAGAAGTGGAAAAATACATTATGAAGAAGCAATTTTTTATGCCCTCTCTTCACAGTTCATCCCAATTAGTAAGAAAAATATTGCACCAAATTGCCATTATTTCACTGTCTGCATACACACAAAACAAAACCAGTGTCATCTGCATGACCATGTTCCTACGTAAACCCTGGGGAGGAGGTGATTTACAGAGGATCAGATTTAGAACAGACTAGACTAGACTGGACTGGAAGAGACTATTTCAGCTGGAAGGGACCTACAGCGATCGCCTCCTCCAACTGCCTGACCACTTCAGGGCTGACCAGAAGTCAGAGCAGGTTATTCAGTGTGTTGTCCAAATGCCTCAAACATTGGCCGGCTTGGGGCATTGACCACCTCTTCAGGAAGCCAGTTCCAGTGTTAGAGCACCCTCTTGGTAAAGAAATGTTTCCTAATATCAAGTCTAAACCTTCTCTGACGCAGCTGTGAACCATTCCCACACATCCTAGCACTGGATGACAGGGAGAAGAGATCAGCAGGGCATCTTACATTTTTGGTTACAAATTTTGTGACTTCCTATGGAGCAATGTGAAAAATTTACAAATACAATTTAAAAAGTAAGAGTGACACAAATTGGGTAGTTAGGCCTTGTGCCTATGTCAAGTATTACATTAACATGCTATTCATCCGGTAACCTGCATCTAAATCCTTCTTGTCTTAACAATTGTCATTCCAATTATTCATTCAACACTTGTATCTGCTAGCAAAAATATTTTATTGGAAAAACTGTCATGTCTGGTTTAATCAGAAAGCTTGCTGTTTCGCTCATAAACCACCTAGCTTAATACCATACTACTGGTTTAAAAAAATAACTTTGTGTGAATTAAACATAGCTAGGCATACACTCCAGTAGAGCTGCAACAGGGTTACAGGGCCACAAGGACCTTGCTGCAGAATGCCTGCTCTTCGTCCTCGGCAAGAAGGCCTCAGTTTCCCTCACATGCACTAATAATTTCAATCAGGCAGTCTGCAAATGGCTCTCAGACTAGTTTTTAAAAAGAATATATAGAGGGCTTGTTTTCCCCCAAATCCTACATTTGCTTAGAACTGCAGCTACCAAGACACAGGAATGTTACTTCTAAAAAGCATCAGCAAGACTTTACAAGCTTAAGAAGAAACCTTCTGACTGCAGCACTTCTAAGAGTTGACCTGCCTTCACAGTTAAAGCAAGAGGACTTCCAGAAGATGACAGATCTTAGAAAAACATCTTGGTGGACACCGTATACTATATATACACACATATATATATACATACATGTAACTGGTCCTCAAGTCAGAATACCTTAAGCCAAATATTTAGAAGTAGGGATGTTCTCCGAGAGGAATCCATCTGCTTTGATGATGCATTTTAAACAAAAAAACAAAGAGTGCACACCATCATTTTGCGCCAGTTGGTGGAAACGCCCCCGCGCACTTACCACTGCAAACACAGGCGCCACGCTCGCCAGGGTGCCTTGGGAGGCCTCTGTTGCCGCATGCCGGTGAAATTCACCTGAGGAAAGACGAGACGCTTGCACTTCCAGCCCGCCGCGCTTCGCCTCCTCTCCCCGCGGGGCCGGCTCCCGGCGGCTCGGCCCCGCAGCCCGCCGCCTCCGCCCACGCCGCCGGCCCGCTCCCCCACGCCGCCGGCCCGCTCCCCCACGCCGCCGGCCCGCTCCCCCACGCCGGGCCCGGCCCCGGCCCCGGCCCCGGCCCCGCCGCTCACCTGCCCATCGCAGCCCGCGGGTGCACGACGGCCCCGCCGCCCGCTCCCGGCCCCGGCCCAGCGGCAGCCACAGGCGGGGCCCGGGGGGGCGGCCCAGGCAACGCGGCAGAAACCCGGCGCGCAGCATAGGCGCGCAAACCCCGCGCAGAGCGGCCCGGCTCCTCAGCGCGCAGCCGCGGCGAGGGCGGAGCTCGGGCGGCTGAGGGGGGGCAGCGGCGGGGCAGCGGCGGCGGGGCGGGGCGGGGAGGGGAGGGGAGGGGAGGGGAGGGGAGGGGAGGGGAGGGGAGGGGAGGGGAGCGGAGCGGAGCGGAGCGGAGCGGAGCGGAGCTCGGCGCCGAGACGGGGACGGGGACGGGGACGGGGACGGGGACGGGGACGGGGCGGCCCTTTCGCGCCCGCTCCCCGCCGCGGGGTCCCCGCAGGGCCTGGGCGGCCCCAGCCCCCTCCGACCGCCACAAGCCTTCCCTGAGGTAAACCTCGCGACGGCTGGCATTCTCCTTCTAACGCGTGGGGGGGGGTATGTTTTTCCATGTGTAGACAATTGTGCCCCCAGTAAAGGTCTTGCCATTAAATTTCCTTGCCGTACTACCAGCTGGTTGGTCGAGGTGTAAAAGTTTAATTGGGAGCCTGCCAGCTTCCACTATTCGCTGTTATTTTTGAACTGCAGCTTCCGCGTGCGAAAGGACAACGCGAGTAGTGTTACCAGAAAGTCGTAATTCATTCACTCTCTGAGACTCAATTTCGGAGTTTTAGAAAGCAGGCATTCGTTATTACAGCGGTGGACACACGGGGGAGAGCTCCTCCTCATGTGTGTGTCTGGAAACAAAATCAACAAACGTTTAGACTACCTTAATCATACATATTTATTGCATTTTTATCATATTTTTATCCTATTCCTAACTTTTCTGGGAACTCATTAGCGTTTGTCAATGTCTCTTGCACATGGCTGTTGGAGGCTGCAAGTGGTCATGGGGGGGGGGGGGGGGGGGGGGGCTTCAGATGAAGGCTTATAGTCTTCTTCACTGTGTCCACCAGCTGACCCTTACTTCTGTGCAAACTCAGCCCTGTGGTCACGTAGATCTTGTCCTTCCAGGCTGGCCTGGTCTGGTTTTGGTGCCAGTTTGCAGCTTCCTTACCTTTATGTTACTTTGCACCTGCTACTACATGGCTGAACCGTCTCAAGTCAGATTATTTAGGAGTTCCTTCCCCTACAGTTACTCTAACTGTTCCTCAAAAGATTAGCATGTGTTCTGTAGCACAACGGTTAAATGGTTAAAACAACTTAAATCGATCTTAATAATTCTACTACAAATATATATTTTCTAATAATCTTAGTTCACAGGTATCAGTAGCAGGAGTAGCCTTCCTTTGGCCCGTTCTGCTGAAGCACGTAAATCCACATGAAGGCAAAGCCTGCATTTGAAGCCCTGCAGCGGGTTGTGTTATCAAGATGTACTTGGAGCACCCACTGCTACTTAGTGGGGAAATAAAAAAGGAAGAGATTATGCTGCTAATGGAATGATTCGTGCCGCGTGGCTGTCCCAGACAGGAGTGCCCAAATCTAAGCACTGTCCTGAACACAGCTCAGCGTTCTGAAGACAAGGGGCTCGGGGCCCTGTTCTGCTCTTGGCAGAGCTGTAAGGTAAAGGGAAGCCACCCAAGGGTGGACGGTGTCCCTTCCTGCACGGTGGTGCCTGTGCATTTGTGCGTACATTTGTATGTATGTATATTAACATGCATAAAGGAGCATTTATTCAATGTGGATTCACGTGTACAGAATCAGAAGGAAGGTTTACACGTGCTTGGCGCAAAGGTAAATGATTTAGCAAGGAAGTAATTAAATGAAATGTTCCTGAGAAGTTATATAAAACATGTATGTGTAGACTGAAGCCATCAGAGGTTTTCAGTTTCAGGGAAAGCATGCCTGAGTGCAAATGTTGGCCTCCTTTATACTTGAGATAAAGCTGAAATCTACTTAACTGGAGTATTTTAGCTCCAGTTTTGGTTAATCACAGCAAGTGGAAGTAGGTACAAGACTAATTTAATACTCTAGGATGTCAGAGATACTTAAACAAAATTTGGAAATGCCAAACAGCACAGAAAATACCACAGGAGAGCAGGAAACAAACACGCACCGTTGCTGGCAACTAACGGCAGCTTATGTTGGCTCTGCACGTTTGGAATGCAATGGCTAGGGAAGCATGTGAAGAATACCTGCCAGAAACTTAGATTCAATGAATTTGCAGTAAGTCTCACACAGCTGACATTTCACACACTTCTGTAAAAAAGGGTATAGTCGGATACTGGGTTGATCTAGTTGTTTTCCTTTGTCCATCTGTTATTCTGTCTGCCTGCACAACAGAAGTGTTGGAAAGAAGATGGCATAACTTCACACCAAATATATATTGATACAAACTTTGATATGTACTAGTAAGTACTGGTATTGTATCTCATTGTAGCTGCATTATCAGGCATCACTGTAATAGTCTGGAAGCTGCTTGTTGCTGCTGCCGTACGCACGAGTCAAATATCCTGTCTGTTCTGCAGTGCCAACATTTGGGAGCAGCTTGCTGTATTTCATCAAAAAAATAATGGGTCGAGCTCATCTGCTGTTTGTTGCAGCAGCTCATTGAGACGAATGGGCACGACGGCTGTTCTCTGTCCAGCCAAAGTGAGAGGATTGCTCCTGCACAGGCTTGCTTAGCCATGAAACTGCCATCCAAAACACGAGCTATTTCTGAGGTTGAATTACATGAGCAACTAGTTCCACTGCTGGCTGAATCTCAGTGCAGACATGAGGGACTGGGTATATGGGAAAGAGTGAGCAGAAACACCAAAGAAAAACACGCAGAAAGAGAAGGAGATTGTAGGTATCATCAGAGGAGTCCTTATAAATCTCTACTGAAGATTTATAAGGAACTCAGAGAACTTTTTGTTAAGGTTGTGGTAGAAAGGCATATAGATGTCTGGCTACAGAGAAACTACCTCCCAGTGTATGATTTGCATATTTAATCAATCCTGTATATATACAAAGATGTGCCTGAACCCGTTACCCATTTCTTCTCCTAAAAGAAATGCTCACCAGAGCCCCGTTTTACTCATGCTGAGAAAAAACAAACAAACAAACAAACCAAAACAAACCACATCCAAAAAAACAGATAAATCAAAAAAACATAAATTTGCTTCCAGACAGTGGGTGAGTGTCTGGTGGATGATGTGTGCAGCTGAATAAGAATAGAAAGAAAAGGAAAGACCCCGCAAAAAACTTAAAAAATATAACATTCGTATTTAGAATTTCTCTTATGCGAATGAATCAGGAATAGTCAGTTGATAATTTCAGGTGCCGTGATCAAAGGTAGCTGCAGTAACATTGAGAAATCTTTGCCTAGAAAGGGTGATTTCACTTTCATTACTCTATACCAAGACCACATGGAAGATGTTTTTCAACTTTTTCCCTACTTAAGCTAACCCCCTGGAATTTGTTTCTCCATGGAGAACCATTTCCTTGTGTGCCTCTAAGGGTTTATCAACGCCTTTCCCCCATATCCCCCTGTATCACCTTAGCTCTCTCAAGAATACTGTTAGGAAAGACCCATATCATCAAAAGCTGTAGCTTAAATTGTGATTGTATAATGCTTTTTTAAAGCAAAAATAATTGAAAGGTTGTTTTTGTTTTTTGTTTTTTGTTTTATCTAGTAATGGTGTAAGTAGGTGAAATTGCCATGACATGCGTTTTAAATTTACAGCTGCATCAGTGCATCAGTATTTTGTTTCTTCCAGTTAGTGTGTGTGGTGATAGTTGAACCACCTGGTATTCGTGTACTTTAAACTGTTGCTGCAGACAGCCTGACTAACTCAGAATTACAACAGGGAATAAAGTGTCTGCTATTGCTTAGTCTGATTTTTAGATAAACTGCACAGAAGTGTAGTTACTAAGTGTGATTCTCAGCATTGTGTGCAATAGAACAAGCTGAATTTCATTCTGTTTAGAAACTTGATCTTTTTCCATTCTCTCAGTCTTTTCTTCAGCACTAGGACATGCTCCCGTCTTCATGACCTCCTCATGTTTTGCTGTCACTGAACTTTGTTGTCAGTGTCCTGCAACAAGCTTCCCTGGTCCTGAAATGGCAGAGGCCTCCCAGCATTTCTGCAGAAAAAGTGACCCTGTTTGATGCTATGTCGCTTCGCCATGGCCCTGTTCTTGTCACATCCCCTGACGCGTGCTTGTTACGTGACCTCAAGTCCCTCACGTCACCCTGACACGCGACCTGACCTCAAGCAGGGTGAGAGGTCTGGTGGTGCTCCCTTCATAAAGAGGTTGTGCGTCTCTGCATTTATCTTCATCGTGTCAGTGGGTTCAGCAGCTTGTCTTGTTACTGTTGAGAACGTGATAGGAAATTGCTTAGAAACTGAAACGATAGTGAAGATAAGAGCTCAGGATCTGGAAAGGCCAGGAGGAGTGGATTCTCATGGATGAAGGCCCTGCTGTCATGGGCTGGAGTGTCTGAGCTTTTCTGAGCTTTCGGGAAGTGGTTGTACTTAGGCAAGGTGGAAAACTTGCTGACTTTATACTGTATTGTAAACGCTCTGCTTTGGTTTTGTTCCTATCACTGAAGAAAACAAAATGCTTTGTTCTGAAAAGGCTGGTATGAAGTAGCGGGTTCTGCAACCCACGGTGGGCTGGACATCTGTGGCTGCTTTTCGTAGGAGTGGTAAAACTGTGAGATTCCACTGCAGCATGAGTAAAGGGATGGAGGGCAGAAATGCAAGCGGCTGAATTTGACAGACGAAGTCAAGTAGGCACAGCTATCAGCTATGCAAAGGTTGAACTATGGGCAGAATTCTCTGCATTGCAATTCTTTACAGGACTTGTAATGTGCTCCAAGTTCTGGACAACGATTTTTCCCATCAGTTCTATGTTGCTTTAAGGCTAGCTGTGCTCTGGTACCATGTAAGGGATATTTTATTGCAATCCACAAAAGTGATTGTAACTAGTGCGGCCATAGCTAAAGACCAACTGTATTTTGGCGTAGCACAAGAGTTGAAATGGGTACACAAGTAAAATATTCAATGGCTTATTCCCAAACCAGAGAGGTTGTGTGATGGCAAATTAGGCCTAAGATCACCAAAAGAGATAGAATCTGGCACAAAATAGAAGAGAGTTGATGTATCGCTGCTTGACTGTGGAACAGTGTGCAGGTCATCAGCATTTTTGGTTTTTACACATAAGCATATTTTTAATACAAATCTTCATTTCAGGTTGCAGTAGACCAATGTTAAACAGTATTAATGTGAGGATGGTAAATTCTTGGTTCTCTCATTTATTAGAAGAAAAGCAGCAGCAAGTAGAGAAATTTAACCATTAACCAATAACACTAGCATATTTGACTGAAACAGCTCTTTTTGTAATGGTTAACTGCCCTGCTGTAACTCACAGCAGGGGGGAAATTTTCCCATCAAAGAAGGCAAGATAAAAGGAAAGAAAAATTCCTTCCATCACGTGTTGAAATCCATTTGGAGAACAATCATATTCCAGGCAGGAGGGTCTAGACCAGTTTTCATCTTGCAACAATCAGTGGGGAAAAGGGACTATTAAGGGAGTTCAGTTTGAATTTAAGGCATTTTCTCTTTATTTTCTCTCAGGTTTTATGGTTTCTTGTAGCCAAGGTGTGGCAAAAATCCAGTGGAATCAAAGTGTTTGTATTTTATCATGCAGCTTCCTGGAAAGAGCAAAGCAGAGAGCATTAAAAAGTATAGCCCGAAGTCACATCCCAAGCATGCTGAAAGTGTTTTCAAGTAAAGAAAATTTATCCGTAGTCAGAATTTGTTTAGACACACCAGAGACTCATCTGTTCACTGAATAAGCCCATAAAATGCATGCTTGATTGATTTTTTATAATTTTTAATAATCTAAGATTTAAAAAAAATCTACTATTCTGGTAGCACAGTATCCAAAGTTACTTTTCAAACATTGAACAGTCTGGAGATATTTGGCTGAGAATTGGCAAGGAAAATGCAGCTTCAGGTGGATCATTTGTTTACAAAGTTTTAAAAATAGTTTAAAATGAAAATGGTATCAGGATGATTTCATCATCTGGTATATTTATCTGTGAAATCTAAGGGAGTCTTTTGATGATGGTAGAGGTTGGATCTGGTCCTTAATATGTATATTAATTGATTTCTTTATAGATGCTGCATCATACCTCCTCTGTAGAATTACAGAACTGATTTAGGAAGGAGTGCAACATTAACCCCATTTGACTTAACGTTATCTTCCTTGAACCACAAATGGGTTATTTTACATTTTTTTGTCTATTGTTTTTCTGTTTTATTCTGTTGATGTATTTTTGTTAAAAATAAATTTTGCCCAAGGATATTCTGATTTATCAGTCTACTGTTCATGGTGTATTTCAAATCTGAGCTTGGTTTAGCGTGGCAAGTCACTTCTGAGTCTGATTAACTGAAATTATCCAGATGGAATTGCAGGCTTGGGTCAGCTCAGCAGAAGTTGTGTTAGCTCTTGCGATAGATCCTGGATTCTTAACAGAACAAATTAAAACAGACTCACTCAACCAAAGAATGGTCAGAGTACTGAAAAGTTTTTAAATATTTCAGGAATGCAAATAACTAAATAAACTTACCCAGATATTGGGGGAGTGCAGTTTAGTTTGTTGTTACTAGCAAATTTTGCCCATTCACATGGCAAGATGGGGGCAAAGTATGCAGTGTCCCTAATATTTATGTGTCTTCTCAAAGAGACATTGAGGGCATGATATAAGTAGGCACATTAAAAAAAAAAAAAAAGAAAAAATAAATCAATATATGCAACTGATCTGTGTAGTCCAAGAGCCTAATTTCAATCCCAATGATATTTTTTTTTCCTCTGCAAGCGCACAGCCCAGCTTTATTTCTGAATTGCAAGTGGTAACTGTTATAAATTGAGACTACAATGGGTCGTAATCCAATTAAAATTGTATTAATTATAGCAAGTAGAATATGAGCAAAAACAGCGCTGGACGACAGTGGAGTCTGTGCTCCACCAACTGCCGTACTGAGTAGAACAGACTGTCCCTTTTTATGCATCCTGACTCCCGCGTTCATAGAGTGGTGGAGATACTCTGTTTCAACTGTTGCTGGGGTCTAGAGTGGTGGAGATACTCTGCGCATGTGCCAACTGTTGCTAGGGGGTCGTTTTCTGCCTCCTGGTGGTCGATGATATCCTTATGTGGAGTTGTTTTTCTTTCTTCTGTTATCCGACCTTTAAGTCTTAATAAACAATATACTTAGCTTATAGTTTCTTACAGTAACAGACAACCTGGAGTAAAGATCCAGTTTTCAGGTGAGATTTTTAATAACTGACAAGACGTAAAGTATGAACAGAAAAATGGTAGGTATGATTTTTCAGCGGTTCATTTGTTTTGTACAGGGGTGATCCTGCACACACAAGTCGCAATCGTTAGATGTTAATAATGAACCAAAGGCAAAATCAGGCACTGAATAACTAAATCTGCAGAGGAGAAAGCGTGTATCAGGATCCACAAAGGAATATGGAAAAGAAGCTGGGGCGCAGAGCCTGAAGCAGTCACTCCTGTGTTACCGGAAAGTGGTAATTCATTCACTCTCTGAGACTCAATTTCGGAGTTTTAGAAAGCAGGCATTCGTTATTACAGCGGTGGACACACGGGGGAGAGCTCCCCCTCGTGTGTGTGTCTGGAAACAAAATCAACAAACGTTTAGACTACCTTAATCATACATATTTATTGCATTTTTATCATATTTTTATCCTAACTTTTCTGGGAACTCATTAGCGTTTGTCAATGTCTCTTGCACATGGCTGTTGGAGGCTGCAAGTGGTCATGGGGGGGGGGGGGGGGGGGCTTCAGATGAAGGCTTATAGTCTTCTTCACTGTGTCCACCAGCTGACCCTTACTTCTGTGCAAACTCAGCCCTGTGGTCACGTAGATCTTGTCCTTCCAGGCTGGCCTGGTCTGGTTTTGGTGCCAGTTTGCAGCTTCCTTACCTTTATGTTACTTTGCACCTGCTACTACAGGGCTGAACCGTCTCAAGTCAGATTATTTAGTTCCTTCCCCTACAGTTATTCTAACTGTTCCTCAAAAGATTAGCATGTGTTCTGTAGCACAACGGTTAAATGGTTAAAACAGCTTAAATCGATTTTAATAATTCTACTCCACAAATATATATTTTCTATTAATCTTAGTTCACTCGTATCACCTGGGGGAATCGCCTTTTGGTGAGGACCCCGCTCCCCTTTGCCGCCACGCCGGGCCGGCAGCCGCGCGCTGTCGTGCCCTTCACCTGGCAGGCTAAGCCTGTTTTCTTGCGGAAAGGGGAAAAAACCGACCCCTTCCGTAAGAAACCCGGAGCGGAGCCGGCCAGAAGCGAACGCCAGGCACATCTCGCGTTCCCCCGCCAACCTCCCGCTCCCCCCTCACGGGCGGGTACCGGCCTCCCGCCGCCGCCATGTCAGGGCCGCTCCGCCCTCAGGGCAGCGCGGCAGGGCGGGCGCTCCCCCCCTTGGCTCAGGTGCGGGGCCTCGATCCGGTTGCCTCTGCCCGCTTTTCACTCCCCCCCCGCCGTTGCCTGCCCGCCTCCAGGCGCGGCCCTTCCTCGCCCTCCTGCCCTCAGTCACCGCCCGGTGAATAATCCGGCGGCGGTTTGCTCCGTCCCCGCGTCCCGGGCACGGGCGGCAGGGAAGGACGAGCACACGCGGGATAAAAGTTTCCCGAGGAAACCAGGGCGGTGACAGCAAACCGCTTTGCGTAACGGAGGAGAAAGACCCCGCGAGGGTCCCCTGCGCGTGTCGGGTCGACTCCCACGCGATGCGGTTTGCTTTTTACTTTTATTTCTTTTTTTTTTTTTTTATTAATTGCCTGGGTTAGCGTAATTCACGTGAACCTCCCCAGGCGCCCGGGAGCCGCCGGAGGTCCTGCTCTGGAAAGGCTGAGACGGTAACCCCCTCCTCTGCCACCCTGCCGGGCCCCGGTGTGGGTGTGGGCGCCGCACCCCTGGCAGGGAGCGGGGTGACGGGGGTGCTGAGGTGGGACCCCTCTCCCGAGCCCCGCGGGTGCAGCACAGGAGGCCCGAAGCCCCCCGGCATGGCCAGTCCCGGGGCGAAGGGGTCGCGGCTCTCGCAGCCGGCGGTGAAGAGCGTGCTGGTGTATCGCAACGGGGACCCTTTCTTCCCGGGGCGCCGCGTTGTCGTCAACGAGAAGAAAGTGTCCAACTTCGAGGTGTTCCTGAAAGAGGTGACAGGCAGGGTGAAGGCACCCTTCGGAGCTGTGCATAACATCTACACCCCCCGGGGTGGGCATCGTGTCCGGCAGCTGGAGGAGCTTCAGAGTGGAGAGCAGTATGTGGCTGGTGGCAGGGAAGCCTTCAAGAAACTCAAGTGAGTTGCTAAAAAGTAACGTAAGATTTCCATGGAACTTGGACATGAGCATTTGGGGTTTGGCACTGTGGCAGTACTAGAGAGAACCCCTCCCCCCCTTTTATTAGGCATTGCGGGAAGAGAACTTAAAGGCTGTGACCCATGGCAAAAAGAAAGGTAACCGATAAATGCCAAACAGCTTTAAAGATGAGCCTCAGAAAGGCTGCTGTTCCTATCAATATCATATTGCCATCTCCTTGATGTGATGGTAGGAAAGGAGAAAGAGCCCTTTAAACCAAAGGACATGTGGCGATTTCATGTTGTGATGTGTGTGCTTAACTGAGGGCTGAGCATCAGCATTCATGCTCAACGGTAACAGTGAGAAAACTGTAGAAAGGTGGAGTGTTGACAGTCCTGCCGTGAAGCTGCTGAGCCTGGGAATTTAATTCCCAACACTTCCTTTCTTGCTTAGTTTTAAAAAGTCTAAAATATTCTACCCTGCTATCTACCTCTCTCCACTGCTTCTGTTCATTTTGGGTAGGTGTATTGCCTTTTTATGACCAGGGCAGCTGAGTCCCTCCCGTTCTTTAAAAGATGACTGACTGCTTTCTTTCCCAGCCTGGACACCAGGAATTAAGCTGACAGTTTCTCCATTTTCTAGTGAGCGACTGGGAGAATATTGTGGAGGAGATGTGGGCTTTTAGGTGCATCTCCTGAGTGGCTCTGCATGTGCCACTCCAAGTAATGGTTCTTAATTCTGGCAGTGAATTTGCGGGTCTCAATTGCCTGATTATATGTTTTGTTCAGTCTATGTGGGCATTTTTCCTGCAGTTAAATTAAAAAAAAAAAATCTCAAAATTAACAGTCCCTTTCTGGAGGTGGTTGGGAATTTATATGCTGAACCACCAGCTTTACAGGACCTCACTCATCTTGTTTTTGTAGAGTTAAGAACACTACATTTTTCAGGAGAGCTCATGTTTCAGGATGAAACTGTGTAACAAGCAGCATCTCTGAGCACTCTGAAGGTTTTTCTCACTGGCTGCTCCTGAAGATTTATTGAAGCTTCTTGGGCTTCAGTGCAAAGCTAGAGAGAGATGTATGACAGGCTAGATATAAGCCCCTTTACCTCTGTATGCTCTTCCGTGTCAAATGCAGTGCTCAAGTCTCAGGAAAGATCTACTGTTTGTGTCGTTTCGGTATTAAAACCTGTGGTTCTGGTGATGGCTTAAAGTTGTTAGTTGTCAGCACATCATAGTTCACCTCCCTAAATGTGTTTTATGTTCAGTAGACAGGCTAAAAGTAAGTAAAGCTATTAGCATGCACTGCATAGAGAATTGGGCACTCTGGATTTATTTTGCATGGGAAAAAGCATTTCTTTTTCAACATTTGATGTTTTATGTATGGAGAGAGCTTTTCAGACTTTTATGGTTGCAACATGCAAGAAGTATTTAAGATCAACAAAGAGAATACTGTAAGAAAAGCTAACCTAAAGGACTTGGTAAGAGCAGTGTGCGTTATATATCCCTTGATAGTATGTCACAGTCCTGTGCTGCAGGGAGGATAAACAGGATGACTTGAGATCTCTTCCATTTCTGTGTTCAGAGCTGAAGTTCTTCACCTGTTAGTGTTTATGTATATAATGTTGTAAATTTGGCAGTGCTCTTACAAGCATTATTTCTGATAGGCTGAAGGGCTTAATGTTGATCCTGTTCTTAACCAGGTTGTAGACAGAATGATAATTAAGGAGATATCTTAGCCAGAAAAGTCAGAGGAGAGGAGGGAGTCAGCTGAAAGGGACAGTTTTCTGAAAGGAATTGAAGGAATTGAAGAATATATGTTTGTGTGTGTGTCACAGGTGAAGATAAAGCTGTTGCAGCTGTGGGAGACCAAAGCAGCTGCCCTAAAGGATCTGAGTCTGGTCTGATAGCAGCAAGAAGTTTGTACGTTTTTTAAGATTTTTTTTTTTTTTTGCAGTGATGCTTGTTGGACACATTCATTGTTGTGATAGACGATGCAGGGCTGAACTGTGGAATGGAGGCTTGTGGCACCGGTGTGTGTGAGCATAATGGAAAGGAGAGACCATCCAAGGAGAAGCAGAAGCTTCAGGTGTCATTGCTCCACTTCAAATAGGGCATTTGTTTCTTCTCAGATGCCTTATACTGAGAACTGAATCTTTTCCTGCCCTGTCTGCAGTGAATTCTAGACTAAACTGCGCTCACCTTTAGCATGTAAACCTCTGTCATTCCAAGCCCTGAATCTTAACATCTTGAGATAGATACCTGAGGTTATATAGTTGATATAAACTGCTCCTATGTTTAATTTTTAAAATAAAAATAATCAGCATATTAAAATTCTGCTTTTAGAAAAATATGTGGAAATTTTCTTTATGGAAAGAATTACTGGCCACTGTTGGGAATTTTCATAATATGTGACAAGTTTCCCAGCTTCTTTACTCATTTACAGGTGTGCTAAGTGAATACACGCTTTTTTGGTGTATGTGCAGTGAGATGGGTTGGTGTACTGTAGCTGTTGCACCGGTGAGTGAGAATGCACGCTCAGGCCTGCACCCCTGTGGAGTTCTTCCCTGATTCTCAACTTCATGATAGAAAACAGTCTATGCTGGAGCTGGTTTTGATTTTTACCTTTTTTACAGCATGCTCCTCTGCCCTCCTCCTACCTTTGCCTGTTTTCTTGTATCTGTGCTCATTAATTTTTGGTAGACCGTCTTCTCTCCAGCAGTGGCTCTTAAACAACACTGTAGTTTCGTTGCTGGCTCGGACAGCCACTGAGTGGAAGTATTTCTGCTTTCTTAGCAAGTGGGAATATTTCTGTAAAGTTTTTGGTCTGGGATCTTTTTTGAGTGCTATTATCCCACTTTGGGATAGCCTTTTGCCCTGTATAGACCTTTTCAGATTTGTAGATCCCTAAAGTTTGACAACGGAACACCCAGACCTCTGCAATAGTGAATTTAAGCCTTTGACTATGTATTTGCTTTCCTTTGTCACTTTTCTTAGTTCTCCTCAAAGCAATTCACAGATGCCCAGAAAACAAGAACCACAGTCAGCAGCTGTTCAGCAGCTGTTGTTATAGGCTGTTGGAACTATTTTATTGGAGGCATTTATTTCTTTTCGGTCCTGTAGGCTTTAAGAATTTTTTTTTTTTTTTTCTTGGTCTCAAGAGAACTCTTTCCTATTTACATGGAGGATGTTGCAAAAGTTGTTTTTGTTTTTAAACATTGTCCTATGTTGCTACATTTACCTTTTCCAAAGCACTGGCTTGCACTTTCAAGCATCACCTGGAAGCCTTACTCTGTCTTACCATCCCCACACACCAAAGCCTTGAAATCCTCGTGACCATTCTGTGGTACCTTGATAAACAGTTACCATGCCTTCAAAGAAAGAACGATGCTTTTTCTTTCTCTCTCTTTTTTCCCTTTCTTGCTTCTACACCTTCATTCAGGTCCCGTGAATTCTCAACTTTGGCCAGGCAGGAAAGTTTCCTCTGGCAAACAGATCTTATCCCTGTCATTAACTACAGAGCACTGTGTTCCTGGAGGCCCGCAGATGATTTGTGATCTCTGAGGTCTTTCAGTGAGCCTGCGCTGATGCTTGCCATCAGGTACACCCGATGTTCTCATGTAGGGTCTTCTGGTCGGAAAAGCCTGGCAAAGTGCCTGTGATTTCCCATGGGAATTGGGAGAACCTGTAACAAACACCCATCACCTAATGTTGGGTTAGATGCTCCCGGTGTAGAATAGATGCCCCAGCCGTTTTTGTTTGCATGTTTAGCTCTTGGCAGAAGGTGCTGAAAGGTGCTGCCGGACCGAGTTGTACCTGCTCCTGAAGGTATCTCTTCCTACAGAGCTGAGAATTGGAAACATCTGGCAGGACCGGCAGCTACTGGGAGCTGCATTCACAAGAAGAGCCGCTCTGGTGGCTCTCAGAGTGCTGGCAAGGGGAGGGAGTTAGCCACGTCTGGGTACCTGGACGCTGCCTCTTTGACAGTCTGTGGGCTACTCAGGCTTGAAGGCTTATTAATTCCCTTTCTTTGGAACAGCGACGTACAGCTAATCCGTCACTGCACGTTTTAACTAACACTTGTGTGTTAATGCAGTGTTTTTGTGGGAATATGTACTCTGATGGAGAGCAGCAGTGTTCAAATAGGTGCATTTTGTTTTCTTGTCCAGTTGAGGCTTGTATTTTATGAATATAAAATACTTGCGAAGATGCTATTGGCTCATCACAGCCATGAGAAACTAGGACACACGGTGTTCGGATGAGTCCCCGTCCCTTTGAAACACAAGTGGTGTAGATCCTTTTAAACTTTAGCTGGTGCCCTGGGTCAAACTTGGGTATGGAGAAAAGCTTTAAATCTATCAAAGTCATACTGTGAGAAACTAAGAGACAGGATGATGACTTTGAAAACTCTGATGGGTTGATACTGTGCTGAGATTTATTGATCCACCCCACAGTAGTATGTGAGCTTCTTTCTGACAAGGGGGTTATTGATGGTCTGTTCTGATCACCAGTGACTTGAAGGTGGGTGATTGGTTCTCCCCTGTCTTTTGTATTAGCTCAGAGGGCTAGCCTGCAGATTTACGTTAACACTCCTTCATTAAGATCTTGAATTAGTTACTTTTCATGTTATTCTGAAGCGTGGTAAATTTTGAAAGCTTCACGTGTGAAAAAAGTTTAGAAACATTTGTGTTGTGTAAGTTGGGTGCTTCGGTAAATAATCAAAACTGTTTTCCTTCCACAGCTATTTGGACATTGGAGAAACAAAGAAAAAACCTGCTGAAGTCACTAATGAGGTAGGGTGGCTGAAATATTTAAGTAAATCTGCAGTTAATATTAGTGCCATGCCTGCATTCATGCCTGATTCTTTATATGTATTTATTATGTTTAATAATACAATGATCTACCATTCTGAACATACTATTTCAGTGATAATTACTTTGATCACTCTGAGCATGATGCACCAATTGTCTTCTGCTCAGCTTTCTGAATTGCCGCATCCAGTTAAAAACTTTCAGTAAAGAAAATCTTCAGTTGTCTTAATTGGATCTGGTCATAAACCTAAGGGAGATTTTTCAATGCAGAAAAAGGTGGTGGCAAGGAGAATCTTGGGAGCTTTGGACCAGCAAATTTTCTTCAAAATCTGGTATTTTCTCTGGAGAAGGGACATTTTTGTTTGAAAAAAGTTGAAATGCTTTTCCCAGTCACTGCTGGTGTCAGCTGTAAACTTCTAACTAGTTTGAGCCCATAATTCTCTAAACCCACCTGTTTCTCATAAACAGTGCTACACTACAGCCTGAAGAAATAATTTCAGGCTTCGAAATCCACTGTATGTGGATTTTTGTGAGACGTGTGACTGCATTATTTTTACTGTTCTATTATGTATGGAGATAGCAATGATTCCCAGCAACCATTTGAATTACAGCTTCTGCCTGACAGGAAGCATCATCTCACCTGTTTCTCAATGTCTTTTGCCTTGTGCTCTCGTAACGTGTTTCCAGCGTTTTAATGGTTTGTGTAGCAGGTGCCTTCAGACAGCAGGACACCTTGTACTAGAAGAGCCTCTCAATTGAGGCCTTAGTGCCCTAATGACATGTACTGTGATATTTATTCAGAGGCTATTAAATACGACACCTGCCTTTTATAATTGCTCATAACTTTGTAACCCATACTTTTTTCTTTCAAATGGGCACAATTGACAGGAAGATCAAATGCAAGTCGGAGATTTGATATACTACAAATGCCATATAAATTTACTCCAAGTTGGACTTTTTCCCAGGTCGTTTATTTATGCAACTGACCAAAACATTGCAGAGAGAGTTTTGTTGTTTTTGTGTAACCATTCATGTCTCCCTGTTGTTTGGGTCTTTTTTACAAAGGAAGGGGAATGATTTTTTAAAATATGAAAAGTTAATTAAACACTGATGAGGCAGCAGGGTTATACTCTGTGGCTGACATGTATATAGAACTGAGCTCCACACTTCCACATATGCATTATCTAAGCTTTCCCATTATTCATAAATTCCATTTTTGACCTCCAGCAATTTCTTATTCCCGTCCCAAGTCTCCTCTGATCAAGTTTTGTGACACTTGATGACACTAGTTACTTGCAGGCTGCACAGGCAGAGAATCAAGTAATTCATCTCGCTCTTCATTGTGTTCTAAGTAAGAGATTATAATTTGAGGTGGAGGGAAGGTAAAATGTTTGTACAGTAGCAGTGTTGCACTTACCTGAACCTTCAACACATAAAATATAGTTCTGAACCAAAAAACCTACCTTTGGGTGTATGACCAGCCTTTACCATTTTTTCTGAGTACCTGAATTTGTGGATAGCACCATATTTTATGCTAAAACAGTATCTGAGTGAACAAGAAAATTATTCTTACATGTCCAGGACAAGAAAGAGAACTTGAGGAAGTTGCTTCTAATTATCTCTGAAAAAGCGGTGGTTTGCGTTCACAGCTCTGTGTGGCTCCCGTTAATGGTGTGCAGTGTGACTAATTCCATGTGCCCTTTGCTAAGGCAGTTATCTTCATGGAAGACTCTGAACCAAATCCCCTGATACTTGCCAGTTATCAGGACAACCGGAGGCTTGCTACTTTAAGGGTAGTTTTAAGGCTTATTATTTTGCTGCAAATCCTTAGAAGATTCCCGATATAATAGGAATTCTGTGCAGTTGGAGAAGTAGTCGTTGTGGGTTTTTTACTTACAGTTGTATGTTTGGTGAGAGAGGCTTCTGTTCTTTCTTTTTGAATCAGTACTCATTGTATATTATCTTAACACTGTCAGGCATCACTCAGCTTTGAAGTAAACCAGTATAAACCGTTCATTATCTCAGCTTGCTTTCTTCCTATTTGACTTATGTTTGCAATCTCCACAGTCTCTGTGAAGAGTTGAACTCCTCACTTTGAGTTTAACTTTATGTGATTGATTTATCTGGGGAGAGGAGTCATAAAAATGAGATGAAACCTTGTAATAGTCTACAGATTTGTATCTGGGTTTATGAATAACATAATTGTTTTTATGCCTTAATCATTTAGCCCTAGGAATTAACTTTTAGGGGGCTAGTAACATGAGTTTTAATGCCTGAATATGCTTATGTTAAAGTGATATGCGGAAGCAAGTTCTGGTTTTACTTTTTTTCAGGCATTTACTTAGAAATCAGAAACCTAGATGTCTTTTAGGACCAGGAGGGGCAGCAGTACTCTCTTTGATTCTGCTTGATTTACATCGGCAAACAAAAAAATAATGTTTTTCCATGGAACCTTGTAGCAGTCATTGATGCTAGCCCACAAAGGTATTCTGCTTTCGTAAGGCATTACTTTAGATGGAATTTCAGAAATAAAATCCTCCCTGTTTGTTTCATTAGAAGAAGAAGAAAAAAAATCGGTGTACGTGTGAATGACAACATAGCCAAAGGAAGAAATTTATGGCTCAGTCCTGCAAAGCACACTAAGGTGTAATTTGTGAATTGTCTCAATGAATTCAGTAGGAAGGTTACCATGGAGTTATGCATGTACAGAGAAATTTGTGGGTCAGGTCTGAGTTTCTAGTGTTCTGGTGGGCTGGGGTGGAGGCAGGAGGAAAGAAAATGAATAAAATTATTTGGTTGATCATTTGGCTCGCTGCAGCTTTGCGGACTCCTTGCAGATCAAGGACCAGTGTGCTAGGTGTTGAACAAAAAGCTCACCGATGGCCTTGTAGGCAACTCCAGGCTAACATTCGGGTGTGTTTTCAGACTGATCTTTGTCAGGGCAATTCCTGCTCTCCCTGTGCTGGTGCTGAAGCTTTGACCTGCTCTCCTTCATTAGCTTCACCTCTTTTTTTCTTTCCTTCCCTTGGTTCCCTTCTTCCTTCCCTTCCTTTCCTTCTTCTCCTCCCCCAAACTCCCTGATGTTTTTAGAACGCACAAGAATGTCAGTGCTGTGGACACTAGCCCATTCTCATGACCTCGGCAGTGCTGCTGTTAGCCGGAGCTCGGAGACAGCAAAGCCTGTCCTTCAGCGTGCTGCTGGGGATTGCCTCCTGCCTTTCTCACCAGGCAGCTGGCCTTGCTCTGACCTGGCCTGGAGGGTGAGCACGCACAGCAAGAAATGGCCTCGTGCCACAGTGCTCCTGCATGCTGGTGGGGCGCCTAGCACTGGTGCAGGAGTTTTTGGTGAGGGATTTTGTCGATCCTTTCGTTGGAAGGAGATGGCCATGGAGTTATTAGAGCTGGCTTGTCCTAGACCAAGTTTTGGAAGCACATTGGTGCTGGCCTGATGGTGATGATAGTTTTTCTGTACCTGCCTAGTGCCATATATCAAGGATCTGAAAGCTTTAAAAAGGTGGCACAGAAACAGCATTTGAGAAATTCATGTTCAGTGATTAAGGATGATATCATCATGCTTAGGTACAGGGGTGTCAGTTCTGGTTGTATAAAGATCATTTAACTTGGAATTTCCTATTTGGTGCATGTTTCTCAGTGCAGGTTTTTCTCCAGTAAAACAGTTACAGATATCTATTTCCAATTCTGGTTAATGAGGAGGGAGACAAAAGGAAGAAAACTTCATGCAGCAGCTGTACATTGTGTATTTGTTTGCAGCTGTAGGTTTTCTTTTGTGTTGGTTAAACTGCCAAATGTTTGACATCTGTTTTTGTGGTGTAAATTTACGGTATAAATGAGAAGTATAAAGCATTAATTTCTTACTAAAATCTCTTCATGCTTTTCTCATGGAATGACAAGTCAGAATAAATAGTCCAGCAGAAATAGGATTATCTTCTTTAGTGAAATCTGTGAATCTGATTTTGTAAGGAAGATGTTCCGGGAGGGGGAGGGGGGGGTGTGTGTGTGTGTGTGTGTGGAGGGAGCAAAATAAATAAATAAAAAAATAAGGAAAGTTCTCCATCTTGTGGATTCTGAGAATGAAATCTAATGAAATCCTTCTGCCTCTGTTCTTGTAAGGTGTTGAGATTTACCATTTGGTATCAGGTTCTGTTCCTGACAAGAGGAGTATTATGTCCCTCTGTTATGCCCTGGTTCAGTTTTAGCCAGAGCTTCTCAAATAGCATGGTCTTGTTGGCCTGTAAGATGCAGCTTGCCTTGCCTGACACATTTGGAGCTAGCGAGGGCTTACAGCTAGTCAGCACCTGTGTTTTCTGTGTGTCCTTTACAGCTGACAACAGGAGCTCTGGGGAAGGTTTGGTCGAGGAGGTCTTGATGTAGATGTGTTGTTACAACACAGCAGTGAACCAGCTACATAATGTTGTATAATTCGTTAAGCACTATTTGTCTATTTAAATGTGAGAAGTGGAACATGTGACCACATGGGATTGTCTGTAAGATGGGCCAGTGTTGGGATAGTTTAGGAGGAAACATTTTTTTATCTCCAAACAGATAGATTTATCGATGAGGGTCTGTACCACCAAACACCTTATTGTAATATCAGTAGCTGATTTCACCATAGCCTGTCTTTGGTGAAAGATGGATGAGATGGAAAGGGGGTATTAGATGTACCCCATCAGGAGTGTCAGCATCCAGAAGCAGATAAGCAGAGCAATTCAAGAAAGCATGTGTTCCTACTTTTTTTCAAGTGTAGCAACTGCATATGGCAGTTTATTTGTGAGGTCTTTTCTTTTAAAAATAAGCATTGTTTTAAAAATAGTTGAAGTATGACAGTAATAATAATGCTCTTAAAATCTTGCAGAATAACTAGTCTTGGTCTGTGAGACCCAACCATCAATAGGAGCTGGGCCTTTTAAAAAATATTATTTAAAAAGCCCTTAGTCATTCTACTACTGGTACAAATCAGGTTT